TATTAGGGAAATAGCGGGCGAGCGGTGTTGATGCAGGATTGCGCATGCGCCGTGAGCGGTTCTGGTACTTTTAGGGTCGCAGCGCCGCTTCCAGCGATACCCTCACGAGGGACGAGCAAAATATTAAACACGCCAGAAATCCGTGCGAGCTCACGATTGCTGATCGGTAGCTGGCCACGTGGTGTTAATCGCCTCTCGTAACCCCCTGTACACTACACCACGCTCAGCGCAAAACTCGCCCCGATCTCGTGGATTCTCGCACGAGTGGAAAATCGGCTCAAAAAAGTGAAAAAGCCGCACAGTGTACGCCCGGCTTTAGTTGTTCGTCCTTTCATCAGAAAGTATTTTGAGCCTGAGAGCGTTAAAGCTGTCCCAGTTTACACAAAACCATTTTTTTTCACCTTTTTCCCTCACAGTAGTGAAAATGAGTCGAACCGTGACATCAAAACCAATCCATGCTCCGAACCAGGATTTTACAACCCTAGTCTCTGGGTAGCTTTACCGTGTTAACCATTCAAACCAGTAACCCGTTCGTTCAAACAGGACAGCCTTTGTCTTTGCTGATCCAGGACAAAGGACAATGTCTTCAGAGTGTCTCGTGGGTTCAGTCTCCTCCTGACTCACTGAATCTATGAATGAACTGATGAATCTAATAAAAGTACCGTCTTATTAATGCATGACTCTTCCTCGTGCAGAAACCAACTGAGAGGCTGGTTTGACACCTGATGCCACATGACAGTCTTCTTCCAGTTGGCCCCTTGATGTTGCTCAAAGCTCTCACATTTATTCAGAGTTTCTTCTTTTCTGACCTCGGAGGCAAACTGGCTCCTCACTCCGAGACGCTTGAAGCCGTGTAACACTTAGGCAGCAAATGCCCCTCCTCCTCCACCAACTTACCCCCATTTATTCTGTCTCCTCTGCGTGTTCTCGTGTCACTCACAGCCCGCTATTCCCAACAACAAAGTTCACAATATTGCACTTGTGGCACATGTGCAAACTGTGATAATGTGACCCAGATAACACTCGAACCAGTCTTCTTTATAGAGTGTTGAGTCTAAATTGGGTCAGATTCTGCCCCACAGTCAGACAACGTTTATGAATTCTGGTGATTACGAATAAAAGGGGGAACTTCTAGTCACTGTGAAGTGTTTAATACAGATAATTCACCTTTCTCCAAGACCCACTCCAACATATTTACTGAGGTTAACCAGAATGGACCATACCACCTGAATAAAATGCAGACACAGACTGGATCCTTTTGGGATTTTCCATAGGAACATCCACATCACTCGTCTGTATGAGCGCTAACTCCGCTGATAAAGGAGTGCTCATCACTCGCTCTTTCAAACCTCAGAATCTAAATGATCTCATGTAAGAGACTTTCTGACACAAATAGTTAAAATACTGTCAACTGATGCTTCCAACATCACGGATTTATCAGAGAGGCGCTGAACATGAGCATCTTTGTAGGTGGCTGGTAGTTAACCGCCACCTCACACTCACACACACACACACACCTGGAGCCATGACTCCGTTAAACTGATCAAGTTTGCGGACGACACCACCCTCATCGGGCTCATCTCTGACGGTGATGAGTCCGCCTACAGGAGGGAGGTGGATCGGCTGGTGTACTGGTGCAGCAGCAACAACCTGGAGCTCAATGCTCAGAAGACAGTGGAGATGATTGTGGACTTCAGGAAAGTCACAGCCCCATCTCTCCCCCTCGTCCTGACGGACACCCCCGTCACCACTGTGGACTCCTTCCGCTTCTTCGGAACCACCATCACACATGACCTTAGGTGGGAACCATCCATCAGCTCCCTGATCAAAAAGGCCCAGCAGAGGATGTACTTTCTGCGGCAGTTGAAAAAGGCCAAGCTGCCGGCCCAGATGATGGTGCAGTTTTACACGGCCATCATTGAGTCCATCCTCACCTCCTCCATCGCTGTGTGGTACGCTGGAGCCACGGTGAGGGACAAACACAGACTGCAGCGCATTGTGCGCTCTGCTGAGAAGGTGATTGGCTGCAGCCTTCCATCTCTCCAGGACCTGTACGTCTCCAGAACTCGGGGGCGTGCAGGTCGGATAGCAGCTGACCCTTCGCACCCGGGTCACAGACTTTTTGAGCCGCTTCCCTCAGGCAGGAGGTTACGGTCCATCCAGACCAGAACCAACCGATGGCTGACTGACAACATCCTCCAATTCCTACATTGGCTTTTTTACCTATTCCAGTTACTCGATCCATGTTATATCCTTCTTTTTTACATTATCTCTCGTTTGATCCTTTCACATTCTTCTTTTTTCTAATCAAAACGACAGCAGAATGCTAGAGACACTGTGGATAAAGACAGAGGTGGATGGAGCTCAGGAACTGGTCAGATTGGAAAGAAAGCTTCATGAAAGTCCTCAAACTATAATGTTACACAGTTAGGAGAAATAAATCAGTCCAAGGGTCTTTAGCCCTTCCTCCAGCTCCATTCAACCTTTCCAGTCCCTCCAACATAACCCCTTTCTGCTGCAGGGCCTCAAAAGCTGAATCAACAAGCTTTATATGTGAACAGGTTAAATTATTTCTGGGATTTCTGAGATTCTCCTCATAATTTTACTCCTCCTGCATTTTTTTATGTTATTGTTTATTCACAGCAACATCACAGAAAGCACTGCTTTGTGTAAATTGTCGTCGTCTTCCTCCGCTTATCCGGGTCCGGGTCGCGGGGGCAGCATCCCAACTAGGGAGCTCCAGACCGTCCTCTCCCCGGCCACCTCCACCAGCTCCTCCGGCAGGACCCCAAGGTGTTCCCGGACCAGATTGGAGATGTAACCTCTCCAACGTGTCCTGGGTCGACCCGGGGGCCTCCTGCCGGCAGGACATGCCCGAAACACCTCCCCAGGGAGGCGTCCAGGAGGCATCCTGACCAGATGCCCAAACCACCTCAACTGACTCCTTTCGATCCGGAGGAGCAGCGGTTCTACTCCGAGTCCCTCCCGAATGTCCGAGCTCCTCACCCTAACTCTAAGGCTGAGCCCGGCCACCCTACGGAGGAAACTCATTTGGGCCGCTTGTATCCGCGATCTCGTTCTTTCGGTCATTACCCAAAGCTCATGACCATAGGTGAGGATTGGGACGTAGATCGACCGGTAAATCGAGAGCCTGGCTTTCTGGCTCAGCTCCCTCTTCACCACGACAGATCGGCTCAGCGTCCGCATCACTGCAGACGCCGAACCAGTCCGCCTGTCGATCTCCCGATCCCTCCTACCCTCACTCGTGAACAAGACCCCGAGATACTTAAAGAGCAAGTCACCACCAAATCAACTATTTTTTTCTGATAAACTGTATAAATGTGTGTCTAATCGTGCTGCAGACACGTGTAGTTAATAGTTTTGCACTTTAGTGCATTTTAGTTAAAATTTAAAATATCTGCCTGAAACTGTCAGTGTTGTGCCGTTGTCAGGTAAAAACTCTTCACTGCATTTGAATTTAAATCTGCCACCGCTATTGGCTAAGAGGTATGCTATGATGTAAACTGGTATATTATGATGTCACAATGTTGTGAGAGTGTGTATTTGTTAGTGGCTCCACCCTCTCGGTCTGCTAGGCAACAGCATTTGTTGCATTTTTCAAACATGAAGTGGGAGTGAAGTACACTTCTTGTAAGGGGTGACTTGCTCTTTAAACTCCTCCACTTGAGGTAGGACCTCTCCCCCGACCCGGAGTTGGCAAGCCACCCTTTTCCGGTCGAGAACCATGGTCTCAGATTTGGAGGTGCTTGTGTAAATAAATTAATAAATTCCATCTTAAAGGTACGAGTGCAACTCACAGAGCAGAGGCCAGGTTACACTATTAGTGATGAACAGAGGAGGTGTGCTGCTAGTCATGTTACTGACCCTGGTTCTGTCAGACTAGAAGACAAGTCTTTCTTCTCCAGTCCTCTCCCTCTCCTCTCCTGCTCTCCTCTCAGGTATTGTTCTGTGAAAGGCAGGCCAAGCATGCGGGTCGCATCAAACGAGCGCAGTGAACATTTTAATTGTTTCCTTTATCGAGTTGGCTGATTGAAAGAAAGAAAGGAGAAGCTGAGATCCATGGGAAAATTATACTTCAAAGGCTGAAGTGGTGGTGCAGTCAGCAGTCTGTGGAGCTGCTGGAGCGAGCTGGTCGGTCAGCGGCGCCATCCATCCTGTCAGCAAATCCAACCTTATTGTCAGTAGCTAGCAGTTACGGTTTGTCACGTTGAAGCGCAGAAGACCCAGTTCAAGAGAGAAAATGGTGCCTGGAGTAAAAAGAGCTGCAGTAATAAGACTCAAAGAACACGTTGACGTGTGATTTCCTTTGAGACAAAAAGACAAAAGAAGACTCCGTCCGTCAAAACTTATGTAAGGCCTGTCACGTCACCCCTGGTTGTTGCTGTGAATGTAGCGCCGCTTTAGCTCCTCAGCCAGGATCTGCTGTCGCGCTCACCTGAGCCAAAAGAGAACACGTCTCCCCCCTCTCACTCTTCATCTCCTCATGTCACTGTTTGTCTTTATGCCCTTGCAGGGGATGGCTTCGTCAGCGCGTTCCAAAGGGGAGCACAAGCAGAGAGTCTTTCTGACGGTGTCTTTTGGCGGGATCAAGATGTACTGTGAGAGATCAGGGGTGAGTAGCATGCCAGTGTAGCGCCGCTAGGCTGCAGCCGGCTGCTGTAGCGCAGCACATCCACACGCGTGCATGGCTCAGTTCACAGCAGCTGCTAGCGCTACCGTCTTAGATGCAACTCCATCACGCCTCTGCCGCTGTATCCACTAAAACCAAAATTGATGTTATTCATGCATTACTGTACAAACGGCGTCCTAACACGCTTAATTATAACACATAAAACACACTTGAACAAGCCAGTTTCCCCTTCGGCCTCTGAAAATGAAACCTGGCAGCATTCAATTACGGTACTTGAATTTAACATTTGACCTCAAGTCAAGTGGTTTAACGTATACATGACTGGGTTTTGCTCCAGGACCTACTAAAGATGACTCAGAGTCATCTGCCGGCTAAAATAAGCGCTGTTGTGTTGATGTTCTGAGACTCAGCTGTTTCCACCTCCACCCTGGCTCCACCCCCGCCCCACCGCACCCCGGCAAAGGCCTCAGACGCTTGATATTTCATTTACAGGATGATCAAGGGGTTTGGCTCTCCCCTGTCCTATGGTGCAGAGCTGGCTGCATAGGCCCACTACGCTCATCAGAGCTAACCGCTAATTAGCACTCAGTTCCACCCCTTAATGATCATTGCTGCTAATGCTAATTAGACCATAGCTCCACCTCAGCTGTCGTTAGTGCTAAAATGAGAATTAAGCAGCAGCGTTTGTCCTGTGGCTGCCGGTTTCATCCGACCACCAGCGGCCACCAGCACCCCCGCCAAAATAAAGCACGACCATTTCACATCTCTCCTCGATGTGGCTGTGGTGACAGTAATGGCTCGTTTCTCCTGTAATAAAAAGAGCATCGAGACTGTCGCCCTGACCTATGAGATCGCCCGCTTCTGACAAGCTCAGACCCCCCCCCCCCCCCCCCTCCAATACTTTGTATTTTAATTACTGATTACAGGCTGTAAATACCACCCGACGTGGGATATCCCTCTGGAGTTATTTAGGTGGATGTGGGGATCACTCCGCGGCAGGCTGTCTGCAGGCATTTAGACGGGAATATTTTATGTAAAGCTGACATAATTCTCTGCCAAACTGAGCTCACTTGTCATATTAGTTTTGTATTTTACATTAATCTGCAGCTTTACCGGTAATGGTCCCTACAAAAAACTGGTAAACAGTCCAATGAAAGCTCCTCCCTGGTACTTAAGCTTATCCCTGCTAACAGTGGAGCAGCAGATGGGCGTGTCTAAATGACAGCTGAATCACTGTCTTCTGTATGTTTTGGTGTTTTATTGCATCACTACGCCTTTGAACACAAAAGTAAGATTATGTGTTGCTGTAAAATAGGTAATCCTGCTCTGGAAGCAAAACCATGCAACTGGATGTGACCCTCATTAAAGGGCAATGTGCAGCTCACTAGTAGCTACAGCGACTGTGACACGCTGTATAAAAGACATCTGAAAACGCTTGAGTTTTTCCTTCTGTGGTTGCATCTGGTTCAACAATATGCAAAGATGTGGGTTTGACCGACTTTTATCTTCCAACAGCGAGTGCAGCAAGTGTCGGGTTTTAAAAAGCAGAATATGGGATCAAACATGATGGTGCTTCATGTTTGGCATTATCCAGGAAGAGCAGACATAAAGCAGGTGTGACCAACATCGCTGCTTTTGTTTTACCCAGGTGCTTCTGCATCACCACTCCGTCCACGAGATCAGCTACATAGCCAAGGACACAAGAGACCACCGCGCCTTCGGATACGTCTGTGGAAAGGAGGGTCACCACAAGTTTGTGGCCATCAAAACGGCACAATCTGTAAGTATTAGTCCAAAATGGTTTCACGAATCCTAATAACACTAACTGAAGAACCGTTTTCTTTGGTCTAGTCGATAAAGAATGTGTTTGCATTGATAAAAGTGGCAGAGTCATGCGGACTTTATCTCTGCTTATATGGAGTGCCTCTCTGCTGCTGTTTCTCCTAATCCATCCTCGACAGCCCTGACCGTGAGGCCAAAACTTCCTGTCGATAAGTGTTGCCATGTTCTATTCCTGCAACCAGAGCCTATGCAGTAGAAATGTGGTGTTTGTTTAGCTACCAAACGCTTGAAATAACACTTTGAATCAATAATCAATTTCCCTCTGGGATGAATAAAGTATTTTTGAACTGAGTTGAATTGAACATAAAGCAGGAAGGTACTATGGAATCACGGGAAGCAACAGAAAGGGAAAAAAACAATGTGAGTTTTGTTTGTAGGACAACGTCTTGTTTGTTTACTTGGAGGGGGCGGGGCTTCAGACTTGTCCTGGAACCACCCACTAGAGCAATGACCCTCAACTGGCAGCCTGCGAACCACATTCGGCCTGCCGGTGTCGGTACAGGATCGGCTCGGGGTCCTTCGACTGCCGATGACATCAAAGTAGTTGATTGGCTGAACATGAACCTTACGGGAGTTACGTAATCACGTTACGTTGATATCACGTTACGTTGGTCCAGGCAAATCTTTCTGTTGGAAAGATGGACAACTTTTACAAAGAAATCCATCATTACCTCTTTGAAAATACACTTTTAGCATAGAGCTGCATGTATATTAGGGCTGAACGATTAGCTGCACGTGCAATTAAATTGCGATGTGACAAAAGGAGATTTTCTAATCGCAAAAGCTGCAATTTGGCAGCGAGTGGTTAGCACAATGCTAATATACATGGAAAAACCCATAGGAATGCTAATGCTAATATCGCCGATTACATTCTTACAAATTATGAATTAGAAACGTGCCAAATGATTACATTTGGAGTCTAATAGAAAGTAAAACTACCATCAATCAAATAAGTACAGACAGGTATTTTAGTAAAGCCAGAAAACTTTTAACTCCAGAGTTTTGGCTAGCAGCTATGAGCGTACCTGAACTACGCATGGACAAGACGTCAAAAACTCTAAACACAAAATACTTCAATAAACGGGACGCACTTCTTTCCTGCAAATACAATTTCACAGGTGTTGCTAATACCTATGATCCTTCAAGGGATGTGCTCAAATGAATACAATATAGTGTTTTATTTTACAAATACCATTATAAACACAAACTTACGTCGTAAGAAACATTATTTTAATAACGAAACTGCTAAATTCTTTCCAACAGTATAGATGTGTAGTGTATTTTGTCCGAGTGGGTTTGCCGTACATTGACGTCATCGGCAGTCGAAGGACCCCGAGCCGATCTTGCACCCGAGCAGATCTTGTACCGACAGCGGACCTTTCCGCCTGGCCCCCAACCCTTTGGACCATAACGTCCACCAACTGGGGTACTTTGAAGTTAAGCAGCAAAATCCATGCCCCAAACATCAATAACACATTCTCCAAACACAACTAACACTAGAATCAAAACAGTTTGGATGGAAAACAAAACCATTTTAAATATTAATAAATTAAGACTTTATATCAGAAGAGCATCTGATCGTGTCTGCTGGAACAATCTCTGACCCTTGAACACATTTTGCACTCGAGGGTGCGGTTTCTTTCAGCTCAGAGTAGATGCACTTTTTCTGCCCCAGGATACTGTTTGGACTTGATTACCACATGAGTTCCTATTGGATTTCAAGGCAGCTATGAGCTATCTCTTTTACTAAAACCCCGTCTACTGAGGTAACCTTGAACTGAAATGGTGTAGACAGAAGGATGTACCCCAGGAGGGGCTGGACCTGCCTCTGTTTTAGATTGTTAATAATTCTAATCTCTATCAAGGTGACCTTCTTACTCAGTGGATGGAAAACCATAGAAATGACGGTTTTCTGGGTCAGGTGGGGGCATAGGCGTCTTTTTAACCGGGGACGCCGGGGACATGTCCCCGGCAAAATTTGTGATTGGCAGCTGTGCCCCCCCCCCCCCCACTTTAAAAAAAGCCTGCTGATGAGGATTTTTGTTTTACCAGCTCAGATCTTATACCAGGGGTCGGCAACCTTTTCCCATCAAAGAGCCATTATTACCCGTTTCCCACAGTAATGAAAACACTGGGAGCCCCACAGCGGCCGCAGCGTTGTGGGCGGGGCCTACCCTCAGACAGCAGAGAGCTGCTCACAACCAGGTGACAGCAGCCGGTACCGGTCGCTCGCATGGGCGTCGCACCCGTGGGGGATTCAACACCCACACTTTTCCTTCTGTTTTGCTCAGCTCCACTCCAGTCTGGTTTCTCTATGTCGCACTAACTCTGTTTGCCTCATCTCCTTCTTCACCTCCCGCTTCTGACAGCCGATGTCGGGTTTCCAGGAGAGCAGGAGAGGGAGGGACGGAAGAGCTCGACTGGATTCATAATTTTACATCTTGACATTAGCTGTACAAAGTCTGAGTTTGATAAAGTGAAGAACAACAATTTGCAGAGGTTTATAACAGGCGCAGCACCAGGTTTTCATTTTTGGGTGGGCCACGGTAGTTTTGGACGGACCTTAATAAGCAGTGACTTAGTGAAGCAGGCAGGTCGCGCTTGAAAATTTCGTTTAAAAAGACGTCATAAATGTGTTCCCCCGTCATTTTTATTTCTAAAATATGAAGTAAAAACTCACAATTTAATTTTCATTCATTTGTCATTAATATGTAGTCTACAACCGTGTGTTAAGTGGACCATCTTCCAGTAAAAGCAAAGCATCCAGCCCACCTCTCCAAATGCGTAAATGTGCATCAGCCGCTAGTTAGGCGCGCCGCGCGCTCCATCAGCTACGTCAGCCCAGACAAGAGCAGAGCAACTAGAGAAAGAATAGATAATTCTGTCTGGATGTGGACGGAGATTACATTTTACAGCAGCCTGATCATCATTTAAATACGTAAACCTCACCTGTCTTCTAGTCCACGCTATCAGCATTATTTTAATTGGTGTGTGTGTGTGTGTGTGTGTGTGTGTGTGTGTGTGTGTGTGTGTGTGTGTGTGTGTGTGTGTGTGTGTGTGTGTGTGTGTGTGTGTGTGTTTTCCACTTCAAACACTGGTCTAACCAACCAGACCAGCGTGTCCAGTAACATATTAATGTTTCACTTCATGTAGGCTAGGAACGTTTCACCTGCCGTGGCCCGACCGCTTCTGCTCCACATAAACTTTGTGCGTAATCAAATGTCTCTACGGGTGCTTTCTGAGCTGAAGAGCTATTCTGCCTCAGACTGGATGCGTCATGCGTCTCCATGTTAGAGACGGGAACAAGCGCTGTTCAGCCAAAGTTTCATAATTTCATAAAAAGAACATTTTTCCAAGTGACACATCCCTCAGAGAGACCGGGTTTCCAGACTGTTTCAGTGGGAGGAAATCTTACCGCATGCGCCGTGGTTCTGCACTGCGCTGCGAACCCCTCAGATCTTCAGCCCACTGTCCACCGTGGGCGCTCCGAGCCGCACTGAACACAGTGTCCAGTATAAAGCTCTGATGTTCTGATGGGAATCAAGTTACCTCTGCGATGTGCGTATTAAAATGTCAGCTCATCCATGCGCATCAGTGTGCGTCGGGGTAATTCTTTCAAAACAACCAACATCCTTGAGTTTATCCGTCAATATGTGGCAAGGTGCAGAAACGAGGGTCCGGGCGGGATTCGATCCCCAGACTCCCGGGTGAGAGTCATACGCTCTAACCAGTCAGCCAAAGGGACATCCCCTTGGCCAAGTAGCAGGGCGCATTATCTATCAGGACACTGTGACAGGACACTCACACTGCCACACCTGATTATGAAACTTTGGCTGAATAGCACTTGTTCCTGTCTCCAATGTGGCGACGCATCCAGGAACCTGTCTGAGGAGAAGCCCAGAATCTCACATCCTCTTCAGCTCAGGAAGCGCCTATATGATTACGCACAAGCGTGACGCGTCAACCCGGTCTCACAGTAAGACCGGGTTGGACCTGTTCAGGTTTACGCAGACAATCTTTACATTTAGAATTGGCATACAGATGTAAAATTAATGCAGTAAAATATAAAGCTTTTTATTTAAATATCCATTCATTATTTTACAAGCACAGAGAGCCGCATCAGATGGATGGAAGAGCCGCATGCGGCTCCAGAGCCGCCGACCCCTGTGCTAGCCTACTTTATTGTCCCCAACAATTTTTAAACCCCACTCAAGTGTATGGTTATTGTCCCCAGCAATTCTGAAAACAAACTGACGCCCTTGGGTGGGGGGACCAGGTAGAGGGTTAGGGTTTTGGTTGACCTCTCAAAGGTTCGACCTACACAGCTTTTAACAAGTATAGGCTTGAAGGCGCAAGTTCCTTTGAGAGTTTTTAATTGACTTCTGTCCAGTGAGCACCTCTGTTAAAAATTGCATCTTAAGTAGAACAAATCGTTCTTCATTTTCCAACTCCCACATCCAGGCAGAGCCTCTAATCCTGGATTTACGCGACCTCTTCACGCTTATCTACGACATAAAACAGCGAGAGGAGCTGGAGAAGAAGGCCCAGAAGGACAAACACTGTGAGCAGGCAGTCTACCAGGTAAGGCTTCCTCTGAGCTGTTCAGCGCATTTTTTTTATGTGAACCATTTTGAGGTGAAATCACACAGAAATCAGCTCCTGATCGAGATAAAAACATTTTAAACATGGATTCAACAGTGCAGCTAGATGTAAAAAAAGATCTTTCACTTTTCTTCTGTTTTGTCTTTTTCACTTGAGGTTTTCAGATTAACAAACATGTTTCAGTATCAAAGATGACCTGAGTAAGCACAAGATTCAGTCTTCAGATAATAATTTTATTTATTTAAGGGAGCCTGTGTGTAACAGATCGCTAAACTTTATAGCTTAATAAGAGCCCTAAAGCAGAAAAGCAGACCGAACCATCATACTGCCACCACCGTGTCGGACAAAGGAAAAGACTGAGATGATCGCATGGTTTGGGTTTATTCGTTTTCTATGTATTTTCTGATGAGACTGAAAACCAAACGGTGTCATCTGTCCTTTGTTCCACCAACACAGACCATTCTGGAGGACGAAGTGGACGATCCCGTTTACCAGGTGGGTCTTTCGGCTCTAAGTAATTTTGTTATGTTATTAGTTCTTAGAGTTGCCTCTGTGTGTGTATATATAATTTAGACTGGGTTCACTCTTTATTTGATGTTTCTTTCTCCTGCCACTGATCTGCTTGAATTAATATTGCATAATCTTGCACCATTGCAGTAATACAGTAGATCACCCTATAGCGGACCGTTTTGTTCAACCATCCAATCTCATTTTGCAGTGTTGTAGAATCATATTTAAGTGAATCTGTGTCAGTGTTCCTATTTTTCCCAAAGACATGCCCTCTCTTTCCCTGACTGGATGTTACCCCCACCACCACCACCACCACCCCCACGTCCACTTCTTCTGCCCTGCATCTGTTTGGCTGACCATGACTTTGTGTTTTTTCTGTTTGCTCACACTGAATACAGACAACTCTAACTCTTACCCTGAGTGTTGGTAGGACAACTGCCTCCCAGATCATCAAGCGTGTTTCACGTGATGTCATTCCATTTGTAGCTATCAGATGATGTTTGTGTCGGTTGACAAAACTCCAGGAACTTTGAAAAAATACTTTGACATTTTGAGAAAAGACACTTCCTAAAGGGAATGTTGAGATGATCCATGCATTCCTTACATGTGGGTTGGATGGAAAAGATGCAGAAAGCCTAACAGTTTATAGAGCTAATACAGTATCTGTGTTTTCCTGCCCCCCATTCCAGTTTTGCGTGGCTGCAGTTGTCACATGAGTGAAACCTGGAGGGGGACCCATAAGTGTGTGTGTGTGTGTGTGGGGGGGGGGGGGGGGGGGGGGTAAATATTAGGGTAACAATCGGTCACAGCAGGGGTGGGGAACCCTGGTCCATCGAGGGCCGCTATCCAGCATATCTTAGTTTCAACCCTGCTTCAACACGCCTGATTTCAATCAGCAGGTGATTAACAGGCTGCTGCAGAGCCTGATGAGCTGCTGCACAGGTGTATCAACCACTGAATCAGAAGTGTTGGAGCAAAGACGTGCAGGATACCAGGCCTTGAGGACCAGGGTTCCCCATGTCTGAGTCACAGGAAGTTCTATTCACAACTGGACAAACAGAAAGGCGTGCCCTAGGAGAGATGCTGGTGAAGGTTCTCAAATGGAGGCAAGTTTCCTTCATTTGAACCCCTTTGGGTTGTAGGAGACAGAAATGAGTGTGCATGAGGACGTGATCCGATGCTAACCCGCACAGACTGAATTAACCATCACCCGTCCATTTCCTCACTCTAAGACGACATGAAAACTTGTTGCTATTAACCGTACGTGAACATTAGAGATTGTTTTGTTTTGACTTTATAGTGTCAAGGCTGAATTCAAGGTTATTTACCAGTGGTAGTGTTCAGAGGAACCGGTGGTGCTGGTGCTCGGCAGCCTTGCTTCTGTCAGTGAAGCTCACCACCACCAGTGTGTGAACGTGTGTGTATGTGTGTGTGGGTGGGTGGATGACTGAGGTGTTGTGAAGTGCATTGTAGAACCCAAGCAAGCACTACATCAAATCCAAAACATTTACCGCTAAGCATTTATTTGTCGAGCCAACACCTCAACGTTGCATATTTTAGCCAAGAAAGAAGAGCAAACAGAGTCGTGTTAAGCCTGGTTTATGCTTCTCCGTCAGCTCCGCAAGGACAGACACGCACGGATTGACGGAAGCGTTTTGCTCTCATACTTCTCCGTCTCCTGGAGAGTGTTGCAAAGCAATTGCCCGGCAGGACAACAGAGGGCATAGCGCTGTTCTGTGGTATCCTGTCATGTATCGGTCCAAGATCGTGTGTTTATATTGTGTTTTTTTGTATATAAGAGACTTTTTAGCACGGACAAATGTGTCTCTCATTCTCCTCCTCCTCTTCATGCGCTCGCCACCCCTAAACCCACGTTTCCTGTCCTTTCCGTCCACAAATAAAACGCTTGCTGCGCATCGTTTCACTCCTCCAGTCACGGGGAATTAAACGTTCATATTTTTAGAGTTTTTTCGCGAGGTATTCTTCAAGCTATCTCCCTGTCTGCCGCTAGTTATTCTTGGCTCTCTTTGCAATGGCGGCGCTGTAAACAACAGCGGCGTCCTGACCAATCACAAGCTTGCGTTGTCCGTCTCAACTGATGGATGTTTAGAAAAGAGAGCTCGACTCCGTCCGTCCTTGCGGAGCTCTCCGGCAGGCACGCAAGGACGGATAATGGCGTTGCGTGTCTCCGCGCTGACGCAGACGGAGAAGCATGAATCAGGCTTTACTCTTAAGCTTGGTTTATGCTTGACACATTAACTTTCCGCTTGGTGATGCGGCTCGCGGATGGAACGCGCTTCACAACTTGCAGCGTTTATAGTTCATGCGGCTCGTCTCTGCAGTGAGCCAATATTCTCCCAAACTGTAGGGGGCAGCATGGAGCTCTACGGCATGCATCCAACACTACACCATAGTAGAAGTAAAAATTACTGTTGTTTACAACATGGCATTTCAGCATTTTTTAACAGCGTCCTCGTCTTTTCCGACAGTGCGAGCTATTTCTCTCCAAGAATTATTAACAACATGTTGATCGCGGTGATCTCTGAGAGCTGAATCATACAAATGTCTGTATTTACGAACCTCTGCCGTACTAGTTCTTGCTGGTCCGCCATGTTTTTCCGCGTCCGACCGTCCGCGTGGTTAGAAAATTTCCTAGGTGCGGAAAGTTTTGGCCGTGCGGAGGCGCGGTGGAGGGGCGTGGTTGTTAAAATGACGCAACTTTTCCGCGCGGAGCCGTGCGAACCTCGCGGACGCGTCAAGCATAAACCAAGCTTTAGACAGTCAGAGGTGAGATGTTTGCGTATCATGAAAATGAAAGACTCCTGCCATTTTCCAACCCAACACACTCCAACTATCTTCTACCTCCTGAAACAGGCATTTACTCACACTAGACCACAGCAACATTTATTGAAACGAATAAATGACTGCTTTCACATATTACTGGAAAACACGTTTTTTGGTACAATTAACCAATGTAAAAGACTATGTGGGTTATTAAACTGGTGAACAGCATCCATACACACATCTAAAAGTTTAACATTTCTCCCAGAATGTCAAACTATTTTGTTCTGCTTCATGCAAGATGTGCAAAGATGGTTTTCTCCATATATAATCCCATTGTTGAGACATAGTTGGAGAGAGGGCTTTAGGTGGGGAAACCTACTGCTGGGGTTGGAGGGGGACCTCTAGCTAAGACCTCCACGTTGCTTGAACTACTGCCTGACTTGTTGTACTTGTGCTCTTTTCTCTTTTTCTTTCTCTTCTCATCTTCCTCGTGTCCCACTCTTCACACCCGTTTCCTCCTGATCTCATTTCACTTCCCTCTCAACACAATTGGTGCTGCTACATGTTTTCATTTATTACTGTCATGTCTGTGTTTTATCCCCCCCCCGCTTCCCCCTCCCCCTTTCCCTCTCTTTCCCACACCTCCATGCTTTGTCCACACCTTCTGTTTTGTAGTATATAGTGTTTGAGGCCGGACACGAACCCCTCCGTGGCCCCCAGTCAGAGGAGAGCGTTTACCAGGTACCAGACAAGCTCTGCCCCGTTTCTTCCACCTCTTCCTGTAGCTGCTCCACCAGAAACACTAGCTCATGTTTGGGTAGCTGAATGCTTTTGAGTACCTCCGACATTCCTTAACAGTAGGTGGTAATCATGAGCTCTAGTGAGGCGATGATGGACACCTTCAGTAGTCTAACATGAGATGTGAGTAGCCAGTAATATAACAGATGTGCGACAATCATAGATAGCAAAACACAGTTTTATACATTTATTGAACCCCGCAGCGTATACAAGCTAATGTTAGAAAGGTTAAAATAATTCAGTTATGTCTAATATGTGTTTAGCAGAGAAGCACCAAGAACTGATCTCAGAGTGAAGCCAGATCAGGAGACGTGGGAGGAAACAACCAAATATTAAGCGGTTGGAGAGGTATCGGGGCCAGGAGCGACAGCTGTAGAAATAGACAGCAGCGTTCCAGAGTCATCTCCATAAGTCAGATGAAGCTGCTTAGATCGTTGCTGGGTAGACGTCTTCACACAGCACGTTGCTCCAAGCTTCGTTAGTGATCGATGCTGATTTAAGCAGAATCGATTCAGCAGCACATCGGTGGACTTAGCATAATCCCACTCTGCATCTAAAATCCTGACCTGGATAGGAATTGATTCAGGGAGACTTTTTGTGTTTTTAATAGACATGTCTTAATCCTCCTGTGTTTAAGTGCCCAGCCAGTAAAGCAAACCAAACAGTTGTTGATCTGTGACTTCATTCGACGTCTAATCTAATGCAGGTCCCCACCAGTCAGCAGAAGGAAGGGATCTATGATGTCCCAAAACGCCATTGCATGACTGTAGGTGTTTTCATTTTTATTATCATTTTATTTTCTTTACTGCTTGCAAACCTCTCTCTAGAATCCTCTGGAAGGAAGTCCCGTAAACCTTCCTTGACAGCTTCTATTCTGTTTGGCAGCCAGTGGGCTCAACACAGCAATTTCCGAACATTAGATGATTCCGATGGGATTTTTATTGGCTCTGTGTCATCCTGACCTGTGAAGAGTTAAAACCAGCCAACTGGTCTGCCAGTCAGACACATCAGTAATTACACAGAACATTAGATAGGCAAGCTTTGTGCACTAAATCCAATCTTGTGCAGAATTAGATGCATATCATCACCAGATGGTCAAGACAAAATAAAAATCTGTTTCTCGGTCCCACTGGACCAGAACACGGGACTGGTGGTAAAGGAGTGCCTGTTTCATCTTCCTCAGAGGATGAAGATGAGAGGTTTGTAGGTGGGGGAGCACTGACTTACGTTGCATGTGTTGTTCAAGGTCACTCCTTAAAAACTATGGCATGGTACGGGGGCCAAAATTATGACTACTGCCCAGCAGCAGGAGGCTATATAAATTCCGAAGCAAACTACTGATCCTATTGATGATAAGCTGGCGCCAGTAACTGAGAGGCTGGCACTGCTTACTGAGGAATAGCACCTTTACCGGCGTTATTACTAGATACGCTAGGGACTAGCAGCCCTCGGCAGGTCATTGATAGGTTCAAACGCTCCCTCTGCTGTCTATTAGCATGGATAGGCTAGCGTTAGCCTGGACGGGCTGGTGTTAGCAATGGAGAAGCTAGCCATTAGCGTGCCTAGGCTGGCCACTAGCTGGATTTCCTACCCCCTTGATGGACCATTAGCATGGATAGGCTGGCGTTAGCATCGGAGAGGCTAGCCATTAGTGTGCCTAGGCTGGCCACTAGATGGATATCCTACCCCCTTGACGGACCATTAGCATGGTTAGGCTGGCGTTAGCATCGGAGAGGCTAGCCATTAGCGTGCCTAGGCTGGCCACTAGATGGATTTCCTACCCCCTTGACGGACCATTAGCATGGATAGGCTGGCGTTAGCATAGGAGAGGCTAGCCATTAGCGTGCCTAGGCTGGCCACTAGATGGATTTCCTACCCCCTTGACGGACCTTAAGCATGGATAGGCTGGCATTAGCATTGGAGAGGCTAGCCATTAGCATGTCTCGGAGAGTCACTAGTCAGCTAGTGGCCAGCCTAGGCACGCTAATGGCTAGCCTCTCCAATGCTAACGCCAGCCTATCCATGCTAATGGTCCGTCAAGGTGGTAGGAAATCCAGCTAGTGGCCAGCCTAGGCACGCTATTGGCTAGCCTCTCCAATGCTAACACCAGCTCGTCCAGGCTAACGCTAGCCTATCCATGCTAATAGACAGCAAAGGGAGTGTGTGAACCGGTCAATGACCAGCCGAGGGCTGCTAGTCCCTAGCGTATCTAGTAGTAACGCCGGTAAAGGTGCTATTTCTCAGTAAGCAGCGCCAGCCTCTCAGTTACCGGCGCCAGCTTATCATTAATCAGGTCGGTAGTTTGCTTCAGAATTTATATAGCCTCCTGCTGCTGGGCAGTAGTCTTAATTTTGGCCCCCATACCGCGCCATAAAAAACTGCCATCAAAAACAACTTGAAGACAATTCAGTCAAACATTGACCCAAAGATAAACAGTGCCCAGCTTGTAGTCTCTGCTGTTCGTGAGCACATCAGACCGGCGGCCAGCCGCGGCCCAGTGCTATCTCACCTCAACAGCCCATGCCGGGTTAGGTTGCAGCCTCCATATCTCTAAGTGTTACTGCTTGTCTGTTGATTCAGTCGGAGCTTTCTGAGAACCTGGAGCTTCTCTGATCTGTTGTCAGTGTCTGCAAGGAGAAACCTGTGTACAATGTTTGCCTTTTGTTACCTTTTAAAATTTTGACTCGGTCTGTAATGGTTCAACGTGTCATGCAAGCAGAAACGTATCTGTTATGTCTGAGCCTTTTGGAGAAGAGCATAAAGCCCGTGTCAGCAGCGACTGCTGCCGTCCCTTTGTCTTTCTCTTTACCTGTTCTGGGTTTGTATGTTTATTCAGAGCATGCTAATGTGCTGTGTTTTGTCTGTTTCTGTGCTTTTGCATTGATTCATTGTCTGCTTGAGCATGGCCTCAAACATCCCATGCAACTTTTTCATTCCATGTCTTCCACAGCCACTCTGCTTTTGTTAAGTCTCACTGGGCTGCGACTGTTGGAAACAGACTCTTAACGACATCCACTGGGAAGTTTCCTAAATGTCCTGAAACTTTGGAGCTGTTCTCCATAGATCTTTGATCCATAATCGTTTACGGCAGCGGTAAACTAAACTTCTAGAGGTGGCGACCACGAGAAATTTAAATAGCCTAAAATAAAGGTTGTTTCCCTAATCAGAACCTCAGGGTAACTGTATCAAAACTTTGCAGCATGCACATGTCTCTCCACCCGGCTGCACAAGCAGGCCACCATAGGTGTTACCAGCATATGTTCTGTTTTTGTCACGTTTTAGTCGGTGAAAGAGCATACATTTCTGATCTAGTATGCTGGTTCTGCATCCCACAACCAGCGTCCCGTGCTGGACCAGCATACCAGCACCAAACACAACATATGCTGGTAACCAGCGGTTTTCTCCAGCAGGGCATTTCACCAGGCCAGCCAAAAGGACCCCAAGCCATTTCAGGACCCACAGGAGTGCCTGAACTGGGGGAGCTACTTGCCCAGTACAGCCACTGAGCACAACTTTTGGTAACCTGCTGATTGGTTGTAATTCAGCAGACGAGGCTCAAAACAATCAGTATTTGTACAAGTGGAGGAGTTGCTGGTGAAAAATGGAAGGAAAAGAAAATAGCTAGTGTTCACGCTGCTTTAATTGCTGTTGCTAAACTCCCAACAATGAAAAGTGCAGCAGAAATTTTCTCAAACAGTATAAGGCCAGGGACACACCGGCCACCGAAGCGCCACGAAACGGGGACCGCCGTCCTTTGGCGCCCTTGTTATCCTATTCTATAGACCACATGGGCTGCCGAAGCACCGTGCGCCGGCGCGTGCCGGCGCTCCAGCCCGCGCCGTGCAGCGATCGTTCGGCATCTGCTCTATTTTTTTCGCGAGCCGCGGGTGAACCGTGTCAATTCTGGCAGGAAGTCAAACCTAGACATAAGAGGCAGGCCGGTAAATTTAACAAAATAAAGCATTTCAAAATACAATTCCGCGATAGTCGAATGTGTTCGTAAACATACACTGCATAAAAAACACACACACACGTGAAGGGGGTGTGGTTTTGGGTGTCTTTCAAGCAGAGCAAACAGGACAGAGAGGCAGAAAGTCAGGACAGCTATTAATAACTGGTTCACATCATAGGATCACACACACACACACACACACACACACACACACAGCAAGGGGGAGGGGAGTGTAGAGGAAAAGAGCAGAGAAAAGGCAGAGAGGAAATGGAGGACACCAAGTGGTTAAAAGAAAAACTACGAGGCGCGCCTCGACCGGAGCGGAGAAACAAGCGTCTGGTCTGAACTGAGGAGCAGCGAGCAGCGAGCAGCGACCGAATTTCGTGAGCGCTTTGCGGCGCTTTGGCGGCCGGTGTGTCCCTGGCGCAGAGCACTGTAAAAAAAGACGCATCTTCTGGTCATTGAGCACCACATTTTATGTCACACAGCCACTCTCCCGGTCCTCCAAACTGAGTAAATTATGACGCATTTTGACAGAATAAAAGTTTTGATGTCAGTGGACATTTTTTAGTACTGATCAGTGACATCTCTCTCTGCCAAAAAGGCTGCGATGTGCTGATGTCTTATCAAAGTCCTAAAATGGCTGAATTTGTATGGAGACAAAGTGGCAGCTGAGAGGACCAAGCACTCAAATCTCCAGGCCAATTTTCCCCTTCCGAGAAATTTCCCTGCACTCCAATACAAGGTTTCACTGTTGGTGATTTATGTTATTAAGGATTTCATAATTCATAACAAAATAATTCTGTTCACCTAATGATGAAATAAAAAAGTTTAGAAGGAAGCTTTGTATCTAATTCTGATCATTTGGATCCACACTGGGGAAAAGGTTTGATCAGACTGATGAGCTAACGGCTAATTCTCAAACGTATCACATAAATGTTTTATAAACCCGTACACCAGCAATCAGTTCAAATTACAAGACAACCAAGTCCAAGTCGAGTCCAAAGTCACTGATGTGGAAGTCCAAGTCCTTAACTTTGAATTTTCAAGTCATATTCAACTGACCTGTCCAACTTCAATTTAATGACGATGATAAATAAATTCCAGAAATAAAGTTTCTTAAAGCTTCATTTATTTGCTCAAACAAGCAGGAAGTGCGACTGAAACTGATCATAAACAAAGTGCTGCTGCATTCAGCAGTAAACCAAACCCAGAACCAAGAATGATTCATGATTTTTGTCCATGTCGTGCCTGCGCTTTGTGTTGAAATATCAAATATGCTCGAGTCATCACCAAGTCAGCAGATGCAAGTCGCAAGTCATTGGCGTTCAAGTCCGAGTCAAGTCGTAAGTCTTTATAGATTTTGTCAAGTCAGAAGTCATTAAAATAATGAGACTCAAGTCTGACTCAAGTCCAAGTCATGTGACTCGAGTCCACACCTCTGTAGTGACGTGTCTCCAGCCAGTCGCCAACAGTCGCAGTTCTGTGAGACTTTAGGAGATAGCTATAGGAGACCACAGAGGGGACTGAAGCGGGGGTTACATGGGGTGAGGTGGCCTCATGGTCTCAGTTGGGCGGTTTGAGGAGGTGGACGAATTAAACACACCCCTGTGAGTTTTTATCAGCTGGCGGAGTCTCATCTCTCTCGTGACTGGCAGACAGAAGAATCATCAGAGTGGTTGATAGCCTTTTACCACCTCAATTAGAGAAAAGCATGACAGATCCATTATCTGCTAATAAAACGAGGGGATAGTTGTTGCATGCCATCCTCAGCAACAAGCGAATAGATCCCCTCCCCACCACCACCCACCTGCCACGCTGCCACCACGCCTGATGTAAAGGTAATTTGGGGTTTCCTGACTGGGAATCTCATGAATCACTGGACTTTGTCTTCTCTTTGTCCTACGGTTCACTTCACAGAATATCAACCATTTTGACCTGTTTGGAGACATGTCCACCCCGCCTTCGGTGAGTACCTCTAGTCCAACCTCTTTCGGTCTCGCAAAGATGCTGGTGGAGGTCTAAGTTGATCTTCCCTTCCCCCATGTGCCTCCCACTCAGATGCCCCCATCACCAGCCAACACGCTGGACCCAAGCAGGAGCAGCCGGCAGCAGCAACACACTCCTGCTGAGCTGTACGCGCCCTTCAGCCCCACCTCCGTGCCGTCAGGTACCAATCTGCTCGAAGCCTTACTGACAAACCCAAATATTCCATATTATGCCATCATTCTCTTTCATTTATGTCATATTTATGCTGGTCCCGACAGTAACTGTAATGTTTGTTATCCATGTTTTGGTGGTTTGTTCCCTCTGTCCCCCCGTACTCCAGGTTACATGACAATGGGTCCGGTTCAGGCAGCTCAGTGGGCCCAGCAATCGTTTCCTGCCCAGGCTCAGACGCTAGCCTTCCCCGTGCAGGGGCCCCTCCAGGTGGCTCAGGTCCTTCCTGGAGGTCAGCCGCTCATTTGGAGCCAGGCCAACATCTTCCCAGCCACTCAGCAGCAGTGGGCGGCCATGGCAGCATACATGCCAGCCCAGACGGTGGGCGTGGGGGGCCACGCCATCCCAGCTGCCATGCTCCAAGGCTTGGTACCCATCACCACAGTGTGTCCCCAAGCCTGTGACCTCTCAGCCCCCTCCTCAGCCATCACTAGCCCCCAGCATACAGCTGACCCCATCCTGCTCCAGAGGCAGCTCAGTCCTGGGAGAGAGGGACTCGGTGTGGACTCGGATGCTGGCGAGGTCCCGTCTACGTCAGGCGTAGGTGTGGCTGTGTCAGCAGGGCTGAGCAGGTGTGGAACCCCGGGTCTCATGGGTGTACCTGACACCCTGATCTGCAGCCAGCTGCTGCCTCCTCAGGCTGCAGCTCATCAGGAAGAAGAAGGGAGTTGTAGTGACCTTGATCTCTCCAGGATGACTCTAAGCCCAGGAGCGTCTACTTCGCCGTCTACCGAGTCCCGTAAGAACAATGATTACACATTTTTAAAGATCAAGTTCATTGAGAAATAGTTTTAATTGTCATTTTACAAATATAAAATACAAATACAATCGGTCACTCTGAGTTTAACGTGCAGGTTAAATGTGAAAACACCCTTATTTTCTTCATTGGCCGGTGATAGAAGATAAACGAGGGAATTACTCGGGTGCACTGACCGTTGCTTTGTCCAACTGCATGCAGAGACGGTATGAAAGACAACCATTGATTCCGGCCCACGACTGGGTGGTTTCAATGACTCGTGGCCAGACTGTGTATCTATACGTCTGACACATCCGCAGCGTGTTAGCGTGTCTGCAGCCTTTTGGCCCTGTTCTAGAGAGAGCAGGATGTGTGGAACCAAACTTAAAGAGCAAGTCACCCCCAAATAAACTTTTTTTTTGCTGATAAACTAAATAAACGAGTGTCTAATCGTGCTGCAGACACGTGTCGTCAATAATTTGGCACTTCAGTGCATCTTAGTTAAAATTTAAATATTCTGCCTAAAACTGGCAGTGTTGTGCCGTTGTCAGGTAAAAACTCTGCACTGTATTTGAATTTAAATCTGCCACCGCTATTGGCTAAGAGGTATGCTATGATGTAAACTGGTACATTATGATGTCACAATGCTGTCGTGAGCCTGAGTGTGTGTGTATTTGTTAGCGGCTCCGCCCTCTCGGTCTGCCAGGCAACAGCATGTGTTGCATTTTTCAAACATGAAGTGGGAGTGGAGTTAGACTCTGGTAGGGGTTGACTTGCTCTTTAAGGACAGATAGAGCCTTACTTCACCTCGCAGCTCAGAGCGCTTATTGTCAAGGCATGGACGTAATTTTCACTTTAGAAGTAGAGGGGGCACGGGGGGGGGGGGGTATCTTTACAGTATGTTCTAATGGGAAACAGGCTTCAACACAAACGGTCATTTTCCGCTTGGTCCTGGAGCTCAACCAGTGTCAATTTAATATGGCGTAATATAGTTGTTGGATGGTAAAAAGTGCAGGGGACAAAACTTGACTTTGGAAAGGGTGGGGGGGACATGTCCCCCCCCCCCCCCCCCCCCCCCCCCCACAAAATTACGTCCATGTGTCAAGGGCATCAGAACATCAAAGCTGGGGAGAGATGGGCATAAAGGTCGTGATCTAGATTTCAGTCCTTCTGTCCATACGTTTACTGGACATTTATCCTTCCTCCTTCACAGCATCCACTCCAGCCCCTCAGCAAAGCTCCTCCTCAGACTGCCCCCCCTCCCAGGCCAGTGACCCCCCAACAGATCACTCCCTCCCATTGGAGCAGGAGACCCAGCAGGACCAGTCGGTACGTGCCAGCCTCCTGAGATGTGTTGGACTGAATGATGTGTTCTCGTCTCTGGTTTCTTGAGTTTACACTTTTCTGTCTTAAAGATGAAATGTCAGATCAATCAGACGCGAAAGGGCAGCTGTGATTTTAGCGTGCTGCATTAATCATGCTTCATTTTCAGGGTGATTACGGCTGTGTTTCAGCAGCACGTGTGAGTCTCTTTTTGTCTGTCTCAGGGTTGTGTTGCTGCGGGGGTCGGCGTCTCCGAATGAAGCTGCTGAGCCCGTGGATCGGACCTGTCCAGAGGAAGACCGCTAGAGACATGCCTTCATGGAGACGGTGAACATTTCATCTGCTCCTTCTGTCTCTTTATTTCCACCAATCAGCTGTCTACACGCATGTCTCCGTTTGTCTTTCTGTCCTTTACCGGCTTCATGTATTTATCTGTCATTTCACCTCCATGTTTGTGTTCCTGGTATGAACTCTGGAAGGATCCAGAGTCTCGTGTTCAGTCAGCGATGGGCAGGCACAACGCTGCCACCTGGTGTTCAGATTTGGATCTGCGCTGACTGGAGTTCTTCCTGTTTGTCTTTCAGAGGACGGAACGCCATGAAGGCTGTGACTGGAGCTGATGTGAGGAGAGCTAACAGCTGCTGAATAACACAGACTTGCTCTTTTATCCAACCTTTAAAGGATATTTATGGCAGTTCTGGATTTCCTAGCAACTGATTTTTACCCAGAGGCCGCTCACTGTACTGTCCTGTCCTCAGCATCTCCAATCAATGACTCTTCAACCAGGAAGTGACCTTTTACCTCTGGCTGACCGGAGGTGTTTCGATCCTTAACCAAGGACACATCTGAGAGTGTGTTTGGAAAAACACGAACAATGCAAATTATTTTTTGGAAACTCTGGAGCGTTGAAGCGTCCCAGCGCGTACGGAGGAGGATGCTGTGTCATCACTTTGCATGAGCAGACCACGACCGGACTCGGCGGGCTGAACACGGCATCCTCCAGAGACCAGATCTATTCTTCTTCTCCTTTTATAAGCTGTGAATTTCCCGTTGATGATCCTGAGTCGTCACAGATATCAGAATGATTCTGAGGCATCGATGTTGAAATCAAAAATTTGCCAAACCTGTATTTTGTAAATAAGAACCCCCCCACCCCCCGCCCCACTGCCTGACCTGAGCCTCTGTGCCATAAGATCTGCTAAATAACACGACGCAGCACTCTACCAGCACCTCCACTTTTATTTTGATCCGGGCGTTTGTTTTTCAAATTAATTCATTTTTACTCACAACATTCTCGACTGGGTCGGTGAGGAGTGACCTGTGAAGATGTGTTACATGTTCATCCAGAAAAAAGCCCGCTCTCTGTCTTCTTCTGTTTAAACTCGACAAACAAGCGATAGCTTCGAACTGAGGGCTACCAGTCGAGGACACGTTGTTTACATTTTGCCTCCGAGGGTCATGCTTGTTTTCGGTTTCTCAAATGAAGGTGAGTGGAGTTCCCGTCATCGATGAGTCAACAATCAGAGGAGATTTGTGAGCATATTGGGTTTGTTTTTGTTGTCTAGTCACTGTTCTTGTTGGGTCGTTGTAAACAGTAACGGGTCATTGTAACTGAGCACTTATCACTGAAACGGTCAAAAGGACCACTGATCTGCCCCGCAGCGGCGGGCGACCCGGCTCCTGTCGGACTAAATGTGACGAATTGTCCAAGATATTTTGTAAAGTTTATTTATGGAATCAAGAACTGTCATTAAAACTAAAAAGGGATTTTTCTACGTCTGTGACGCCCCCAGCATACTGCACCCGTGCCACAGTTCAGTCACTAATGAATAAATAAAACTCCAGTTGGTTCCCACTGATGTCTCTGGTTTCATTTCAACCCTAACAGTGGCGTGTCCAGATCTTTTAAACTGGGGTGGCCCAGGTGAGGCACAACTTTGTGCTTGGGTGGCACCAATGGTTATGCTTTTTTTGTTTCACCCCCAAGCCTTATGTGGACAATGAAAAGCCTTTTTGAAGGTAAATTAGTGTGTTGGCACCTGGGGTGGCCAATCAGATTCCAAGGGTGACATGTGCTACCCCAGGTGACTCCCTGGACACGCCCCTGGACCCTAACACCCTCAATGGGACCAAGTTCAGAGAGTCACACTAGTTTGCTGCTCCTGTCACTTTATAGCTTTTTTCTAATGTTTCTATGGTTACTGAGACATAATTAGAACATTTCAGAAGGGTTTGTTAACGTTTACATGATATTTATCCAAAGAGTCCAAATCCACACTGCTGGTCCTCCTGCACCTCCATAGTTGGGCCTGACCTGCTGTCCACAAGCTTCTGATCCAGATCCTGACTGATGGAGCTCATTCTTCATCGTCCTTGTTGGGTTTGTCCTCCTGCCTCTGGAGTATGGACCACAGGTTCTCAGTGGGATCAAGGTCTGGGGAGGTTCCTGAACCTGGACCCAACATATTGCTGTCCTGTTCCTGATCCACTTAGTTCTGACTTTATCCTTCCGGCTCGGTGCTCCATCAAGCTGGAGAAGGCATTGTTCATCACCAACCTGTTGTTGGATGCTTGGAGGAGTTCCTCTGGGAGGATGTAAATGGCCTGCATTTGTATATCACCTTCTTAGGGTTCTATGACCCCCCCAAGGCGCTTCACAACACAATCGGTCATTCACCCAATCACACACTGATGGTGATGAGCTACGATGTAGCCACAGCTGCCCTGGGGCGCACTGACAGAGGCGAGGCTGCCGAGCACTGGCGCCACCAGTACCTCTGACCACCACCAGCAGGCAAGGGGGGGGGGGGGGGGGGGGTGGGGGGGGGGGGCGGTTAAGTGTCTTGCCCAAGGACACAACAGCAGAATTCTCTGGTCGGATCGAACCTGCAACCTTCCGATTACTGGACAACCCGCACTACCTCCTCAGCTACTGCTGTCCCGGATGTTTAGGTACCTGAAGCTAAACTGGAAGTGAGAACACTCCGTTAGCTCCCTTCCTCACACATATGAATGGTCTGAGGAGGACACAGGACTGATGGGAGTGCTCACCTGTTCTTCTCCAGAAGCTCTTAACAATCATGAAGGAGATCCATCAGAGAAGATGGCTTTCCTCTAGTCCTCAGCAGTCTGACCCCTGGGCCTTCAGCAGGACATCAGTCTGTTCCTGGTGAGTTGGAGAGAAGTGGCTTCTTTGCTGCCCTTCCTGAAACCAGAACATCCTCCAGAAGCTCCTCACTGAGCTTCTGATGCTCACACACCTGGTAGAGCCTCGAACCCACAGCTGGATCAGCTTTAGAAGACGGTGCTGGTGCTGCTAGAGGATTCCTCACAGATGCAGTAGAAATTGTGATTGATCTGACGATCCTCGGGAACATTCAGTTGGTAAAAACTGATTTGTGTTATTTTTTAAACTTTGGCCACAGCTGAGGAGCAGCATATTATGAGTTTGTTATCCTGATCCTTTCAGAATAAGGTGTGTTTTTATTACATTATGATGCACAATCAGACTGTTGCTCCTGCTGAACTCAGATCAGTCTTTCAGGGCTTTTGAACTCTTCTCTGAGAAAGAAACTTCTGCTTCTTTTTCTCTGAACCAAAAGAATAATTTTTTCCCTTAAAGGGTCATTATGGAAGTGTGACAGCCAAAACATGTATAGAAATAATAAATGTCTTCTTCATACATTCTCCTGCAATGCCCTGGTCCTGTAGAATGCGCCCTGGCATTTTTACTGTGATTGCCTGTTTTTCTGTAAAATCACAGAAAAAGAGAGATGCTCGGGTCGAGCAGGCTGCTTCATGCGCGTTCACGCTCAGGCATCGCCCGTAGCATTTGCTATCCGTAGCTTTAGCAGCAGAGAGAGAGGCAGTGCCACTTTGTCGCTGTTCCTAACGCCTAGTGACAAAGCTAGCTACATTTCTGAGGACCCTTAGCTACTTTCTGTAGAACTTTCTTCTAGATATTTCCTGCAAATTAGCAACAAAATAGCCATTTTCACTCCGAACCGTTCTTTGAACGTTGTTTCAGCTGTCATCAAGGATATAAATGTTACAGATACAAAATATGTCACTGGTGCTTTAGCTCACCTAGTAAGACGTTGGACTCTCATGCAGAAGACCTGGGTTTGATTCTGGATGTGAACATAGTTTATTTAGAGTTTCTTTTTTACATTAATGGTATATTTTTTTACAGTAAGATGCCCAAATTTTTATTTGAGACTCGCCGAACGGCATTGAATTCACAGATAAAAAAGATGTGGGTTCAACTTTCATTTTGGAACAATTTTTCAAGCAAGGGAAGGGAATGATCTGAGCATGCAGGAGGACTGACCCATCATAAACCTTTGTCGGCTGTGCTGAAGAGAAAGGTACAGAACCACATTATTTAATTACTTAGCTGCGCGTTCTCCTGTCCTCTGTCCTCCGGGCCCCCCCCCCACACACACACACACACACACACACACAAGGGACTGTCTCAGCTGTTATTTTCATTAAGGAGTGTGCACGTACAGCATGCGTGCCTTGTGCACGAGCCTACTATTGAAGCTGCCGTTACGCTTTTGGCCTGAGGGGGCAATCGCGAGCATAAAAATGTTAAACTCCGTAAAGTCCCTTTAAAGACAGAAAAGTCTGAAGGGATTACAGATTTTGCTGAAATCGCTAACAGCTCCTCTGGTTTTCCTGAGCAGTCGTCACAAAACGATACAAGTTGGCAGGAGGGCAGAAAATAATCGGACTAATGAAAAGATGCATTCTACCTGATACTTTTACCAGCAGCACTGCACACACCACTGAGTAAATGTCCTGCAGCTGAGTCATGCGATTGAGTCATTCTGTGATACCCCAAACAACAGGGAAGATAAAGTCTAAGGGTCAAAGGTCAAAGTCAGCTGGGTTCAGGAGCAGGAATTTACTTTCAGCTGAATCAAAATGAACTTTCCTCTCCCTCCCACATCCATACTCATCATACATGATAGATTTAGAGTAGATAACCTGGATTAAGCATCTGTAAATCTAGCTGTTGCTGTGGAGAACCCAGCAGAACCTGGGCACCTGAGCAGGTTCACGGCTCTCATGTATTCAGCCAAAGGCAGCCGTGAGTTCATATAAAGGCCGATATTGATCCGTGTGTGTTTACACGGCCAGCTGAACACAGTCCTCTGCTGCATCGCACTCAGCTGTAACACACAACCACGATGACACGGGTGAGAACGCTCGTTACTCACAGCTGCCTGCTCTGTGTGGCCCTGCTGCTCCTGAGGTAGGACGACATTAGTCTCCTGTCTGATATCAATAACGTTTCTTAGACGTTCACATTTCACTGAAAGACCGGCGTGAATTTGATTCTCGTGCCCACGTCACAGTGAAGCTGGTGAAACCACAGGGAGAGGCCGCGGCGCCCGCTCAGCCGATAACCGGGTCCTGGTCCACCCGGTGGACTGTGCTTTATCAGAGTGGAGCAGCTGGTCACGCTGTGACACCTGCACAAGGAAGAGAGTAAGTATGACAACACAGAGAAGTTAAAAGGCAGCACTTTGAACAACCTCAGCCTGGAGAAACAGAGATTAGTCCTGACTGGACAACGACTAGGGTGAGCGGGGCCAGATTACAAAGAGTTTCAATAGTTCTCTGATATGTGAGTTCCTGCAAATGCTGATTTATACACCTTCATGTATTTATATGTAATTATGCGGTTAAAAGGAAGCTAACTGTTGTTGTATTTATTTCAGGAATTCCTTAAAAAATCTGCATAATTACCGTAAAGTATAAATGCGAAACAATGAAAAGTAAACACGCTGTTTTACGGATTATTCTCATGTCATGTTGTGTTCTCATATATTTATATTTTAGAGACTTACTTGTCCGTGAAAAGTTCATCAACTCTGCATCAGCCGAGGTATTCCTTAAATTTGAAGCAAGTAAGCGGTAGTCTAACGCTATTGGTTAGTTCTGGTCGGCGCTCGGTTTCCTGTTGCGGTTGTCCCTCTGCGGGGCAGGGGAGGTGCTCAGCAAAAAAAAAAAAAAAATGAAGACGTATTGCTCACATTATATCACGGTACATGATAAGATAATCACTTTTACGAATTTCTGACAAATCATACATCATTTCTGGAAGGGGAAAACTGCAGAAAGCTGCTTTAAAGTGACAGTGTGTATTTTCCCTGGCAATAAGGGCAGTAGATACCTAAATCCTTGCAAGCAAGCATTATTTTTGTGGTCAAGTAAGACCTTACCAACCGATGGCCATCCATGCATCCATCTATCGTTTTTCTTCCGCTTATCCAGAGTCAGGTCCCGGGGGCAGTAGCCTAAGTCAAGACGCCCAGACTTCCTTCTCCCCAGCCACTTGGGCCAGCTCTCCCAGGGGAATCCCAAGGCGTTCCCTGGCCAGGTGAGAGACATAGTCCCTCCACCGTGACCTGGGTCTACTTTTAGGTCTCCTCCCAGTTGGACGTGCCCGGAAAGCCTGATCAGTGAGGCGTCCAGGAGACATTCTGACCAGATGCCCAAGCCACCTCAACAGGCTCCTCTCGATGGGGAGGAGCAGCGGATCTACTCCGAACCCCTCCCGGACCACTGAGCTTCTCACCCTATCTCTAAGGGAAAGCCCATCCATTCTGTGGAGAAAACTCATTTTGGCCGCTTGTATCCACGATCTCGTTCTTTCTGTCACTGCCCAAAGCTCATGACCATAGGTGAGGGTAGGAACGTAGATCGACCGGTAAATTGAGAGTTTCGCCTTCTGACTCAGCTCTCTCTTCACCACGACAGACCGGTACAACGCCCGCATCACTGCAGATGCAGCAACAATCCGCCTATCGATCTCACGCTACAGTTTTCCCTCACTCGTGAACAAGACCCCGAGATACTTAAACTCCTCCACTTGTGGCAGGACCTCATGCCTGACCCGGAGAAGGCGTTCTACCCTTTTCCGAATCAAGACCGTGGCCTCAGATTTAGAAGAGCTGATTCTCATCCCAGCTGCTTCACACTCGGCTGCAAACTGGTCCAGCGAAAGCCGAAGATCACGTTCTGATGAAGCCAACAGGACCACATCATCTGCAAAAAGCAGAGACCTGATCCTCAGGCGACCACAACGGATGCCCTCCACACCTTGGCTGCACCTAGAAATCCTGTCCATAAAGGTTATGAACAGAATCGGTGACAAAGGGCAGCCTTGGCGGAGTCCAACTCTCACTGGGAACGAGCCCATCTTACTGCCGGCAATGTGGACCAAGCCCTGACACCGGTCATACAGAGACCTAACAGCCCGTATCAGAGGGCCTGGTACCCCATACTCCCGGAGTACCCCCCACAGGGCCCCCCGAGGGACGCGGTCAGACGCCTTCTCCAAATCCACGAAACACATGTAGACTGGTTGGGTAAATTCCCACGCACCCTCCAGGATCCCCCTAAGGGTATAGAGGGTACTCGGGGCAGCAGTAGCTCAGCAAGTTGAGCGGGCAGTCCAGTAATCGGAAGGTTGCAGGTTCGATCTCAGCTCCAGTCAAAGAATTCTGCTTTTGTGTCCTTGGGCAAGACACTTAACCCACCTTGCCTGCTGGTGGCAGTCGGAGGGACCGGTGGCGCCAGTGCTTGGCAGCTTTGCCTCTGTCAGTGCGCCCCAGAGCAGCTGTGGCTACATCGTAGCTCATCACCATCAGTGTGTGAATGTGTGTGTAAATGGATGAACGATACACTGTAGTGTAAAGCGCTTTGGAGTCCTTACTCTGAGAGGCGCTATACAAGTGCGGGTCATTTATTATTTATTACACATTGCTGGTCCAGTGTTCCACGGCCACGACGAAAACCGCATTGCTCATCCTGAATCTGAGGTTCGACGATCCAACGGACCCTCCTCTCCACAACCCCTGAATAGACCTTACCAGGGAGGCTCAGGAGTGTGATCCCCCTGTAGTTGAAACACACCTAACGGTCCCCTTTTTTAAATAGGATGGCCATTAGGGTAAAAAATCCTTGGGAGTGCAACCTCCAGCAAAATAACAAGAACATCAAATTCCCTCGCAAGGAGTGAAGAGGTAAATGTGTTAAAGAACAACTTTTATTAATGCTGAAAGTTTTGTAACCATTTGTTTCGGATCAGTAAATACATTCTGTCCTCATGGGCTTCCGTAGAAGGAAACATGGCATTCAATATGGCGTCACCCAGAGACTTAACGCTCCCGTGTATTTTAGACTCAATTTTTATGCTTACACGTTATGAAGCCACCAATATCTTTCAACAACTGGGCATCTTTTAATTCATTTACAACAACATTTCAATGGATATTTCCAGGGATTAACAGTCAAAACTACACATTGTCACTTTAAAACAGTTCATGTGTTTTTACAAACTGAGGCTGCTGAAAGCACTAACTACAACAGCTTTAAGTGTTTCTAACATTAGTACAGAGGTCCAACCTCTGGCCCCAGATCTGCTGTGCTTGTTGCCAAACTCAGCTCACACTGAAAGAATGACAGCTGATGATTAGACTAACAGATATACATATTTGTTCTGGAATTAAATCTGGAATTAAATTTTAGGGACAAAAATGTGAACATTTTCTTGTGGGTCTGAAATGTGATAAACTGGTTTTCTAATTTGTTTTTAGTGCATCGTCATCATCTAGAAAAGGATCTGGGCCCCACTTTCTTCAGTAATAATTTTACCTTTAACTTAAAGCCAGTGAGTGTTTGTGGTCCCATTTATCCTGATCGTTTGGATCAGACTTTACCTTAAACATTTTTAAAAAGATCTTAACTTGGTAAAAAATAAAAATGTCACACTTTGGACACGCCTGGCATTAAGCATCTGAATGTCTAATAAATCAGGTAAAAGCACAATCAGACACGTGCATTTAGCTGCTTTAGCTTGTGAATGGATGCAGGATTAAACCTACAGATCTAATATTGTGTCACCCTCCTGCTCTATTGTCACTGTTGTGTTATTGGTCCGGAACCATAGACATATGGTAATGTGGGCGGTCCACGTCTGAAACCGTTATGATGTGTCACAGTGGGAGCCAAGAGGAGGTTAGGACCCAAAAATGCAGAGATGCCAGAAGGCACGGGTTGGTAGAAATAACGTAAAATCCTTTATTAATGACTAAATCCAAAAAAAAAAATCAAAAAGTCCTAATAACAAAACCTAGAGAATTCAAAAACCAAAATCTAGAGGGGAGGGGAGGGGAGGGGAGGGGAGGGGAGGGTGACAAGAACAATGTCCCAACAACACACAGAGACGCAGACAGGGTTAAATACACCGGGACATGATGAGTGGAAGATCAGCTGCAGGTGCGTGGGGAGGGAAACCGAGTGAAAACAATTAACTAATCAAGGAGAGGAAACTAACATGACCTAAGAGCAAAAACAAAACCTAAAGACCAGAAGAGCAGCTAAATAACTAATGTTCTAAGGGGGGAAGGAAAGACAGGAAATCAGACGTGGAAACGGAGCGAAGCTTTCCGAGATTTTCAGAATAAAGAAACGTACTGCCTTCCGGTTGCTTTACTTAAAAAAAAAGTTACTAACTGTGTGGCCCCGTGAGAAGTTATCACCTAGCTAGCGGTCTCCTTTGTTTTTCAGGTCCGTATTGGCGATTATAAAACGGACAGAACATAAAACACAAACCTTTTGGAGCCATGTTGTAGTTTTCTCCTGCTTGTTGTTGTGTTTACTGACGAAGTCACTCGTGTGGCTTCGTGCTCGGTCGGTGACAGCTGCTCCCCTGCCGCTTCGCGTCTCGTGGGAAGGGCCAAGCAGCAGCTTACGCGAGCAAGACGTGCTGCTGCAGTAATGTGCTGCTGACGGCTCCTGTGGAAAGAAGGGGTTAGAGGGGGGTGGAGCACACAATGAGACACACGAGGGAGACGCAGACGCAGACCATGACATGGTGACCGTGGGTCCTCCCAACAGACAGAAATTAGATCTTATAAAACACACACACACACACACACACACACATACAGAAGACATATTTAAAACATAACATCAATAATAACATTGGGGCTAAGAGCTACATTATAAACTTTACAAACCCAACCAGTGTTTCTGGTCTTCATGCTACATGTGTTATCAAACTGGATTTTGGTATTTAAACAAAAAATGTTCACCCATTTCTTGCCAAACCCCATTTCTCTTAATAAAGCAGACTTCTCTGATATATGGTGCTGTTATTTTGTTAAATTACTAATCAGTTGTGGTTAATCTGAAGACGTTCCACTCGGATGGAGGCAGATTAGATAAATAATCCTCACAGAGAAACACTTCACGGATAATTCAAGGCTTTTAAACATTTAAGAGCTGCTTTTCTCTGTGGACTGTAAAGAGCTCCTCTGCTGCTGATGTACTCCAGCCCTCCATCTACCCACTTTACTAGAGGGGGATTAATAAACTTGACATGACAAAGTGAAAACAGCCCACTAATGTGATTTCAGCTCTTACAGCTCCCTGGAGGATGGTGGTTGTGTGACCCTTCTTGTTTTTATGTCCCTGCTCCCATCCAGTACCGCTATGCTAGACTGGACCAGCCTTCCCAGTTTGGAGGGGAGCCGTGCAGCTTTCATGGCAGGCAGAAGGAGGCTTGTGAGGTTGCAGCTCGCTACGCCTGTGATAACATTCCTGTGTGTGAGGGGTTCCTGTGCACTCAAACAGGTATCTCCAAGCCAATCCATCCCTCGATGCAGGAGCAGCAAACATTAATGCTAGCTAAAGGCTTTAGAGATGCATCTGGTAGGGATCTGTCCCATTTGTTGAGAGAAACATCCAAGGACGTAATTTGGGGGGGGGGGGGGGGGCATGTCCCCCCCACTTTTTCCAAAGTCAAGTTTTGACCCCTGCACTTTTTACCATCCAAAAACAATATTACACTATATTAAATCGACACTGGTTGAGCTCTAGGACCAAGCGGAAAACAACCGTTTGTGTTGAAGCCTGTTTCCCATTAGAACATACTGAAAAGATCCCCACCCCCACCCCCCTACCCCGTGTCCCCTCCACTTCTAAAGTGAAAATTACGTCCACGGAAACATCAGATCTAAGCGTTTGCTTTCAGGTCGCTGCATCCATAGAACTCTGCAGTGTAACGGTGAGGATGACTGTGGGGACATGTCTGATGAAGCTGGCTGTAATAAGGTCCCCAAGCCCTGCAGGGTGGAGGCTGAGGAGTACTGGGGAATCGAAAACCTTGCCAAAGGGTGAGTCATTTTCCCTTTGCGCTGACGCCTGTGTAAGTCCAGCATGACTTTTACAAAATGTAATTATAAGAACATGTTTTCTCAAACCAGCTGCTGTACCGCTTCCTTCCCTGCTGCGGCTCTTTCAGGATAAACGTGCTGAACAGTAACCTGGAAGGTGTGGTGCTCGACAACAGATTCTACGCAGGCAGCTGTCTGCCTCAGTATATCCAGGATGTCCCTTTCAGGAAGCCGTTCAACCTGCAGCAGTACACATTTGAGGTCAAACGAATAACTTCAGTAGATATTCTGAAGAGTGTTTCTGAGTAAAGTTGTAAATAACTGTAGCTTCACCTGTTGTAGATGCATGGCGGTACCAGGGTAGATGTGTTCACCAGAAATATTAAGCAGTTAGTTTAAAGCCCACAAATCCACCTTGGGAATGTCTCCCAAAAAATTCTTAGATTTAAATATTGTAATCTGTCCTTAAGAGGCTCAACAAAAGGATAATCCCTCAGAATGTAAACTGGTGAAGAGTGAACCAAACCAGAAGAGGGGGAAGCAGCAGCATCATGCAACAGGGTATAGATGGGGTTCCTGTCGGGCCACGCTTCTGCTGTGGGTACCCGAGAAAAATAAATAGATTTATTAGACAATGCATGGTCTCTCCTACTACATATTGTAATGAATTAGATTATGTGTTATTTAATGAGCCTTGAGGCGTGGGATTCCATAGGAAATATGAAATCCACCTTACAGATCTGTGAGGTTATTTAAACCAGAAGATTGGATCTTTTTATTGCAGGGATTAGATAACCGCTTCGTATTCACTCAGAGACAACAGAAGAGAGAGAGAGTCAAGTTCAAAAGTTAAGAATTGTGTTACAAACAAATTAAACTAGACTGACTTTAAAACTAGTGATGGGAATTACGGCTCTTTTTAGAGAGCCGGTTCTTTTGGCTCAGCTCACCAAAAAGAGCCGGCTCTTTCGGCTCCCAAGTGGCTCCTCAGATTTTCTGTTGCGTAGAGTGCATTTATAACCAAAATAATACTAAACATATGTAAAATAATTTACTAATGTAAAAAAAGCAATATATCAACTGTTTATCATTTCTATGGATTTAATAACTGAACACTTTAAGAAATCTCCACTTCCCTACTGCTGGCGCTCATTTTCTCACCGTCTTCGTCGCACTCTCCTCTCTCTCGCTCGCCTTTTTCCTCCTCCTCATTCCTCTCGTCTCCCTCCTCCCACATGTGCTCTGCTGTGTGTCTGTCTGAGTCTGATCCTCCCTCTTCCCCACCCCTACTGCTCTGTGTGTGGACAGTCTGGACACGCAGTTACACATGTTGACCAATCGCCTGTAGCTTTCACCAAAGCGGGGGGGGTGGGGGGTGGACGGTTCCCAATGATGAGCTGGCTCCCGTCGTTCACTTCAAAGAGCCGGCTCTTAGAGCCGGTTCGTTCTCGACCGACACATCACTATTTAAACTAAATGTATGGTCTAACTAAAGTGGATGAGATGGTGAATGGATGACGTGTGATGTTAATCAGAACCAGCAAATCCGAAGAAGCGATTAGTTCTGACAGGAACTGAAGGTGATGTCTTCGCATTAAGCTTTGGTTAGGAGGTTCATAAACACATGAGACACCATTTGCCGGTCTACCTACCCTTCAGGAAGTCCCCGTTAGATCAGGAATGTCGAGGTCTAGCTTGACCCTCTCTGGAACCGAGCCGGTAGGAAAAGCAGCGGTTCCGATCAGTCCAGTCTGTGAGTTACTTCCGGGTACACGACAGGTTGTTGGCATCTGGTGAGACCCAAGCCTGGGTCTTGATGGTTCAGCTTTTATTCTGAAAGGAACTGTTGCCGCAGTTGGTATAGCAACGAAATTTTCAGCTTGTCGTTGTTCTTTCGGTTCAAGAGTTTAGATCAGGATCGACCACTCCGTCACTTTCTCTGGAACGCTTTGAACTGGCGTTAGAGCTGACGTGGCATAGTTTTATACTTCGGATGTTTTGGTTTATTGTCAAATGAAAAATTACCAAACACCATCAGAACCACGCCTCCGTCAGATCTGTAAGATTCTGATTGGATCAGTGAAAGTAATATGTCATGTCTTTTAACGCTACGTGAAATGAGTCCTGTAGGAACATTTAAAGTCATAGTACCGTTATATTTTATAGGATTATAATAAAGTAATTAATATTTTGATTTCACAGATTGGTCACATGTTATTTACTGACTAACACTTTGATGGATTAGCTTTATTAAAATAGAGTTCTTTGATTAATTAAAAGAAAAGAGTTCATTCTTCGTTCTTCTGTTGAGCTGAAAATAAGCAGGTTAGAAGGAATGCACGAGACCTTGAGACCATATCTCATGCAGACTAGTCCTGTACAGAGGAGGGAAAAAAACTGTCATTCCGTTCCGTTGCAATATGCAGAGTGCTGATTGGCTGGCCAAATAACTGCCACCGCTCAGTTTGGAGAAACTTTTTGTCATTTACTTTCTTTAATAATGAAAAGTGAACCAAGATTCCTCTGCTCCAGTTTTCACGTTGAAGACTTTATTTTGTTTTCCAGACAAAAGGCTCGTATGACTTCACCCTGCAGGCGTTTGAGTCCTACGCTGACTACATGGACTACACTATGAGTCAACGTACTTCCAAAACCTCGTTCTCCATCGGCTTTGGCGTCCCAGGTGTTTTCAATTTTGGGTTTAACTTCAGTGAAGAAAAATACAAAAAGTCTGTTAGGAAGATTCGACGTTCCTCTGGCAACGTGAGACGCCATCGTCCTTCTGCTTTTCTTTCCTGATGCAGACGTTTTTGAAACAGGATGTTCCTTTAAACTGTTGGATCTGTGTCCTCCAATCCTTAGACCAACAGTTTCATCAGAGCCAAAGCAGAGCTGCAGCTGGCCAGGTACATCCTTAAATCAGAGGATCTGGTGCTTCACCCTGAGTTCCTGCAGCGCCTGCGCTCCCTGCCTCAGGTTTACGTTTACGGAGAGTATAGACAGATCTACAGAGACTATGGCACCCATTACATCACCGAGGCCACCCTCGGGGGGGACTATGAGTACACCATCATCATAAATAAGCAGAAGCTGGAGAAAACAGGTTGGATGAGCACACTGGTGCTCCACATTTTGATCAGATTGGCCAGGAATTACTTCTGTCATCTGCTATCTCTGTCCTCCTTCTGCATGCGTGGTTTCCAGATTACTCTTTGGAGGACTTCAAGAACTGTGTGCAAGCCGGCCTCAACGTTGGAGCAAACATAGAGGGTGTTTATGTGTCTTTGGGAGTGAAAGGTGGTGGATGTGAAGGTCGTCTGAATGAGATGGGAGGTGAGGGTTCCTCTGGTTGACTCTCAGTTTGATGTTCCACAGTTTCATACCCCTAACACATCCCTCTGTCTCCTGTCAGAGGACACAAAGAAAGGCAGCGCGGTGGAGGACTTTGTTGCCGTTGTCAGAGGTGGAAGTAGTGAATCCATCACTGCTCTGATGTCTAAGAAGCTTCCGACGCCTCAGCTGATGAGGCTGTGGGGTGAAGGTGTTCGCTTTAACCCTGACTTCATCCAGAGCACGGTGAGTTCGGTCAGAGCAACAAAGGAAGGAGAGAGGAATAAATGGAAGGAGGTGCAGCGCATACAAAACACTGACCTGGTCTTCACCGGGGGTAGCATCCAACATGAAGTAAGCAGGTCCCACCACAGCATCTCAGTCAGATTCAGGTCCACTGATCCAGAACCTTGATTCTGTTGTAGACTAGTTGCTCACTTTGGATCATGGTTCTGTTTCATGTCCCAGTTTGGTTCAATCAGCTGTCAGACAGATGGCCTCACCACAGAATCTAGATACTTTGGTCTACAGGAGTTCATGATGGACACAGAGACAGTTAGGAGCCCAAACCATCAACCCTCCACCTCTTGGCATAAAGCTGGGATCAGATCCCAGAATACGGAATGCAGAATATCAGCAGGGGGGCAGATTGAGACAGAATGTCCTGTCACTGTGACCCGATTGATCATGCGCCCTGACTACTTGGACAAGGGAGATCTCTGTTTGGGTGACAGGTTAGCGCGTGTGACTTTCACCCGGGAGTGTGGGGATCGAATCCTGATTGGACCATTTTTTTTTATATCCGCCACAGATCCCTCTGAAGAACTCAGTATTGACGGCTTCAGCAACGCTGCGCCACTCCGTGGATTTTCTCTTATTTGTTTAGCAAAAGCACTTCCTTTCATTTCTCCACCTCACCCGCAGGTTTCTCAATTTCTGCTTCTGTGAAATTGCACTTCCTTGATCTGCCTTGATCTACAGTCGCCATCGTCATTGGCGGAGCGCGGCAACAGCCGGCTTATGTATATGCATGAGATCCACAAGGCACTTTGCATTGACTATTTATGGCAGTAAGTGGGCGTGGCGAGGGCGGGATGTGACTAAAATGCAGCTGAGAAACATTCTCGTTAGTCTACGATTTACGAAGCGGAGATTGCGTGCAGCTGTGCGTACTCCATGTTTGATAGATCACTAACCTGCTTGGTGTAAGTACATTTTTTTGGCTGAGCTTAAGTACGGTTTTAGTAAGGATTCTACGCAATGTTTGATAAATGAGACCTCAGATCTCTAAAAGTCCTGACTGGGAGAAGGTGGTCGTTTTGTTTTTCCTGTTATTTTTCCGCCCATCTCCTATCATTTCATGTGACAGTACTCCCGTCAACACACAATGTTATTATTTGTCTCTTCTTAGTTTCCAGTTATAATTAAGCTGCGCAGAAGGAATCAGAGCAGTTTGCCGTACCAGGATCACACAGAGTCAAAGTACAGCTGAGCTAATCAAAGGCAGTATGGAGAGCAAACCGCTAAAAGGTCCAAATGGTCAACGTGCCAAAAACCAATCTGCAGCTTTCAGTACCACGAGAGCTCTCCAGTCGGCTCAGTGAGAAAAGAGCTCATCCTAAGAGTGGAAACAAACCGGTTAGTGGTAAAATGTGTGTGTATCATCAGACACGGCCATTGTATGAGCTGGTGACGCCCAGAGACTTCACCAACGACGCCAGCCTGAAGAGAAACCTGAGAAGAGCTCTGTCCGAGTACCTGGCGGAGAGCAGCTCCTGCCGCTGTGCGCCCTGTCACCACAACGGGGAGGCTGTCCTCAAAGGTGCTTCTTCTTTCTCATCACCTTTAATAAACAATACATGAAGCCAGTAACATTATTAAGGCGAACTGCTGGGTTTTGAGGTTTTGGTTGCTTGTTAGGAGCATCTCCAGGCTGATATCTGATAGCGGCTTCAGCGATGTTAACAAAACTGTTCCTGGGTTAACAGGCAGTAGGTGTGAGTGTCTGTGTCCCTCTGGCTTCACTGGGCAGAGCTGTGAGATCAGTCAAAGGCCAAAAGGTCAGCCAACAGAGTGATTTTATTCTTGCGATCTCTGAGGTTCTGGCACGACCAAAGATATGCTCCTCTGTTGTAGACATGGCCATTGATGGCAGCTGGAGCTGCTGGGGAGCCTGGTCATCGTGCAGCGGGGAAAGAATGACGAGAAGTCGGCAGTGCACCAACCCGGCGCCGGCCAATGGAGGCCTGGCATGCAGAGGGCTGCAGCAAGAATCTGCTGAATGCTTTTAAATTTCTATTAAAGGTTTTATAAAGCTCCACCTGAGCAGCAGAAGATGTGTTGTCGGTTAACTGATATGGTGGAGGGGGTGAGGGGTCTTCAGAGGGGTCCTAACCACGTGTATCACATTTCTTGAAGCAACTTGCTATCATTTGAGGTATTTTTTTTTTTTGGGTAAGAGTCACAAGAAATCAAGAACTGCTTTATTTTAGATTTTCAGTTCATTGTTGCAACAAAACCCAACCGGAACAACAACAGACCATCAGTTAAACACGTGTCCCTGCAGCTCTGAACACTGAATCCTTGTGAACAAAGCTGTGAACATTAATTATACTGCAGAGGCGAGGTGTCAAACTCAAATTCACACTGGGCCAAAATGAAAAACTGGGATGAAGTCACGGGCCAAACTCAATATTTATTGGAAAGTGACAGAAAATGTGCACATTTTCCACAGATGTGTTGTTGAACCTTTTCATTAGGAAACAAACTTGTTTTTGCATGAACACTGAATCTGGTATGACCAAATTACACACGAGTAAGTACATTTCAATCAACCAATCAATCAATACTTTATTAATCCTGGAGGGAAATTAGAGTTTCAGTACACACAATTCAGAGATCAGACGTACATGGGCAAGACACATGACAAGAATTGGTGACTGTGGTCATTCGCAACCTGAGTCGCGCTACCTTAACAGAGATAAGAGGGTAACATGAGGATTGGTTCAGGTAGAGGGAAAAAAAGGCTCTTCAGAGTTACCCTCCACCGGGAGGGCAGCTTTGCTCTGCAAAAAAACACCTCAAACAAATATGCAACAGACTTCAGACAACACAACTTAACATGAGACTCCAATAGGAAGGCGGGGGGGGGGCATCTACGGTGCTTATCTCCAGTACAGTCAAGCCAATTTTGGGTTTTTAAACCTGTCCATACCGTCCGGTGACTCTCTCCGAGATGACATCCATTTTGCACACTAATACCGGTATCGCAGCTAGAACATTGTCCAGCTTACGATTCACCTCGAGTAGCGTCCCAGTCTGTGAAGTCTCCACACGGACGGTGCTTTCCGCGGGTGCGGGTCGCCCTCCAATCGCTTCCGTCTTCCCAAATTTCCAGAAAACCAGATATCCTCCCACTCCAATCAGGAGAAATCCAGTGATCATCAGGCCGAATATCCACACGTCTTCGATGTCCTCAATGGACAGCTGGCTGAGGCATATGATCTTCCACTCCTTCCGGGAATCCAGCATATATCCTCCCGGGTGTGTCCCCTGTGGACATGTGGGAGCCCCCTGCTCCGTTCTCATTGTTGAAAAAATGTTATCAATCGCATTGAATGACGAGTTTATCAAATCCATGGTTAGTAAAAATAGGGTTTTTCAGAAGAAATGCAGAGAAGCGCTCTGTGGGCAGACAGGACAAAGAGCCTTGGGAAAAAAAGATAAGGGAGCGAAAGAGAGAAGCGTCTGTACTCCTCGAGCGCCAGAAGAAAACAACACATCAGTCGTTACTTATGTCTCTTTTTTTAACTCCTATTCATTAAAATGTGTGTATTTTCAGCAGCTTAGAATTTTTAGCCCTTTGAATCTCTGAAGTATTTTTGCTTTCTTGTTGTTTACTCTTTATTCTTATTGTTTACTGTCCTTTTCTGCTGCTGTAATGAATGGCATTGCTGCCGTGACATCAAAGTTTCCCCACTGAAGAGATTTTCGATTCTATTAACTGTGGCCTTTCCAGTTCCCATTTTAGAATAGGTTTAGTCTTTTTAACAGACCAACAACACAAACCAAAAAATAGCAATGCTTTTGAAAATGTCCCATCTATTAACTTTCATGCTTGGGAGCAGAAAAAGTGCATGAAAACAAAATATTTCAAGTTCAGTTTGCTCCTCTGATTTACTGTGATGGTCACCAGGGGTGGACTGGGACCAAAATTCGGCCCTGGCATTTTTACCAATCGTCGGCCCTCCCCATTGGGAGAGCAGTGGGGGTGGGAGGTGTTGCCGCCCACGGAGTCATCTCTAGGCCAAATGTGAGATCTAATATGGACAAGGACTGTTAAATGCCAGACCGCTGAGACCAGGAGCCCTGGCCTTCCAGATCTGCTCGTTCTCCACGGGCGGAGATCAGCGGGACATTAGCTACATGCTAACACGGTAAAACTAGTCCTACGTCATTGCTCTACCGCGTTTTTCTTGCTAAAAATGCCTGGAAAAACTGTTAGCTTCGGGTTACCGTGTAGCTAATGTTCTGCAGATCACCAGCTGTGGAGTAGTGTCGGCCCAAGCTGGGCAAGCAGCCCACTTGGCTAAGCGGCCCACCGGGACAGTGCCAGAATGCCAGATAGGCCAGTCCGCCCCTGATGGTCACCTGTCCAGCCAGAAACCTGCATCCCTGGGGCTGGGCTCTGAGCTGAGGAAGGAGTTCATCAGTGAGACTCCGGTGCTGTTCGGTTCATCTTCATCACAGACAACAGCAGCACACGTAGATATGTAAGTGCTGCTCAACATGGAGAAAATCTGAGTAGCTAAGGCTGGAGTTGGGTTGGTGTGTCGGTGAGGAGAGTTAAAAACTGCAGCCAGCTGCAGATAAAGATGCTCAGTTTGGATCATGGTTCAGCTGTAAGACAGATGGCCTCACCTCAGAATCGGTGGTGAGCTTACCACGTCAGCTGCTAGCGAACTACTGAGTGGTTAAAATCTCAATTTCTGGGCTTCAAAGTCGCTGAGTAGACTCGGTGTTTAGAGGAGTATTTTGTTTCAGACTGAGGGGGTAACGCTGCAGATGCTGATTCTAGTGTGGATGCTAATAACTGTAAACGGAAAGGAGGGGGTGCTTCGAGTGACGCGCTAACGCCGCAAAATCTACCAGCGGTCCAGTTTTAATATTTATTTGATATTTGATTTTGTGGGCCAAATAAAAATATGCCGTGGGCAAAATTTGGCCCACGGTCCTGAGTCTGACACCTGTGCAGTAGAGGGTTGAGCTAACAAGCTAAAAGGCTATAAGAGCAGCCAGAACCTACGTTGTTGCCACCTTCAAGCAAAGAGCATCTCCCACGTATGTTGTTTAAATGTATTTTATTAACTTTCACAACACCAATTTCTCTCACTATCTGGTTATTTGCATGGACTTCTGTAGTTGTTTACAAGTGTAAAAATCAGAAGCCGCAGCAAAATGCAAGACTTTCTGTGCATGCAGGAGCCAAATCTGGCAGGAACTTCCGTCTGCTGAACGTTCTTCACATGCTGTGACACTGATAGCATCAGTCAGGTGATAATTAACACACAAAAACATCTAAACTCACTCTTCAGTTTTTTTTTTATGTTTCATATGCAAGTTTTTTTGCTCATTCTTCACAGCTTTTAGCTGAGCAAAAAACCCACTAATCTTCAGCAGTGTAGCGACTGAGTGGATGAGCCCAAGCAGGTGGCTCCGCCCCCTTCAGGTGCAGGATTGTTACAGAGTCTGGTCCTGGTCTTCCTTCTTGATACACAGGAAGACCACACACCCCAGCAGGACCAGGAACCATCAGTCCGGATATCTGTATGAGACACACGTGGTGGAGCCTTGCAATGTTCAGATGTATTAGCTTGTCTGACTGTTAGCATGATCTGCATTTTAGCTTCAAATAAAAACATTCCATTTTTACGACTACATGGCTAAATAGAGGCTTAAAAATGTGTGTGTGTGTGTGTGTGTGTGTGTGTGTGTGTGTGTGTGTGTGTGTGTGTGTGTGTGTGTGTGTGTGTGTGTGTAAGTATTTGTCTGTGTGTGTGTGTGTGTGTGTGTGTGTGTGTGTGTGTGTGTGTGTGTGTGTGTGTGTGTGTGTGTGTGTGTGTGTAAGTAAGTATTTGTGTGTGTGAGTGTGTGTGTGTGTAAGTATTTGTCTGTCTGTGTGTGTGTGTGTGTGTGTGTGTGTGATCTATCTATCTATCTATCTATCTATCTATCTATCTATCTATCTATCTATCTATCTATCTATCTATCTATCTATCTATCTATCTATCTATCTATCATCTCAGCTTATCTGACAAGTCGAAGGTCTACTATGAGGTTCCGTCCCGGAAAAACTTTGCAATCTATCTATCAACCTCCCACCCCAACATAGATCCTTCTGGTGGTGCATGGTGGCGCAGTGGTTAGCACTGTTGCCTCGCAGCACGAAGGTCGCAGGTTCGAAACTCGGCTGCGGCCTTTCTGCGTGGAGTTGCGTGTTCTCCCCATGCATGCGTGGGTTTCATCCGGGTACTCCGGTTTCCCCCACAGATCACGACATGCCCTATAGGTTATAAATTGTAAGTCGCTTTTGGCTAAAAGCATCTGCCAAATAAATAAACATAAACATTCTGCATCGGGAGCAGTGGCTCGTTCCTAACACAGATTGTCCATTAGAAATCCACCCTCTTCCAGTTACAGACCAAGGCGTCAAATTTGGAAAAGCTGGTTCTCATCCCAGCTGCTTCACGCTTGGCTACAATCTCTTCTAGAGCTAGTTGAAGGTTCTGACTCAACGAGACCAAGAAAAGCTGTGGAGCAACCTGGAGCACCCCGTCTGAAGAGCTCCACAGCAGCAGATGCGGGTGGCCACTAAACTGATCTTTTTTTATTATTATTATTGTACAAACCCCAAATAGATTCAGCTTGGATTATTTGTTTCCAGGATCTGCATGGATCCAAACGGAGGAGGTTTTGCTATGTTTTTTAACCGTAGTCTCACCTCTGCCGAGCGTCTCCTCGCATGCCTCTCCCCAGTAGCCAGACTTACAGATGCAGCTACAGGAGGTGCCCGAGAGGACGGGGATCCCATTATTTCTGCAGGGGGCGCAGCGACAAGGATTGAACATCATCAGATACTCATCCACAGCCCTCTGCAGGTTGGCCACTCTGGCTCCTGCGTGGTCAGCAGCTGTGCTGAAGCGCACTAGCTCATAAATGGGCATGACCTAGAAAAAAAGGAGTCAAGATGAGCAGCGCAGGAAATGATGGAGACCAGCTGACCAAATGTGAAGTGTTACCTCAAAATCCGTCAATGCCGGGTTGTACTTGAGAGAAGCGCCCCACTTTTTGTACGTATCAGTGCTCCTGATGACCTTCAGCCCAGAGCCGGTCTCCGTGACGCCCCCCTTCACCAGAGTGACTACATCCTCAACAGCACTTGAACTGGAGGAGGACTCTAGAAAAGCCAAATCCAGCAAGATTCTGATCTTTGACACCAGTTGCACGGATGAACTCAGTAATGCTAGAAAATGAGAATTTCTCACCATTTTTTGAATTCTTGTCATTGTCACAGTAAGTCCCTTTGACCCTAGCACCAGCTGTGAATCCTTCTTCAGTTGGAGGACCAAAGCCAATAGAAGCACCGAAGCAAGATTTGAACCTGTCAGCGCTCATTTCTGCAGGAGTTCAAGGACAGAATAAAGGATTATTGAATAATAAATGTCACTGTTATGGCCGCCAGCCTGGCCTCTTCAGATGCAGGAGCCATGATCACCCAGCCCCTCCTCCTCCTCCTTCTCCTCTCCTCCAGGCAGCTGAGGTGAATCCCTGTAATGAGCTACACCTGGGATAAAAGGCGGTGCCATCCAGCAGTCTAGGAGGCAGCAGTGCAGGGGTTCCGCTATCCTCAAGGCCTCGTTTTGTCAAACGCCTTTGTTTTGATGAGTTTAACTATTTGAAATGGGTTTAATTGTCATAAAAAGGTTTGAAAAACAAGTGAGCAAACAGATGGAGGGCATTACAAGACTAATGCCAAACAAAAACATCACCAAAAGTTTAACATTAAAAGACAACTCATCAACAAATAAAACACCTGGTTAAAAGTTTTACTGAAACTAGAAGGTGCTTTAAGATCCACAGAGTTGACACACGTTTTAAAACCAGAACAGAGATCACTAAGATCATGACTGCCGTAAATCCTCTAATACAGGCCCGGGCCTGTATTTGACTCAAGCTCATCAAGCTCCAGGCCTTTATTGGAAGGAGGGCCAGAATTAGAGGCAGGCCTCAATTTCTATTTGAGCAAAATGAACTAATGGTTTGCTGGAGTTTTTGACAATTAAAAGTGCGCCCACATTTTCAAAGTTAAACACATTTCTTTTAACAACGGTAGTTTCTGCTTCAGCCCCCTCCCCCCTCCCCCTGCGCAGCGGCCGCAAACTCACTGATGCGCCCGCAGCCTCTCGGAGTTCCTGCTGCTCTAAACATTAAAATAAGTATTTCATTTTCTGTTCCTCACTTCTGATTACCTTCAGTGGTGTCTGTTTGTTGCCACCACCAGGTACAAAAACTAACTTGTTTTTATTTGACTATTTTTCTGTCCTGCCTGTTTATTATCTTCCTGCATCTCCTCTCAATCCTAAAGAAAAACTGCTACCTGGGTTCATATATATTCACCGTATGAGTTACCTTTGGACTGCAGTTCTAAAAGATCTACTGACCACAAAAACAGCAGAGTGCTCGCTGCTTGGCAGCCGCATCAGTGATCGTTGCGTCACCGGAGGACAAGGTGATGCGCCCCGCTCCACAGCAGCGAAACGCATCAGGCGCAAATAAAAGACAGAAAACATTAAAGGAAATGAACCGACATGAACGATCGCATGTCGGTACCGATGCTCTGGCACAAAGCGTTGCCCCCCCCCCCCCCCCCGAGCGCAGGAGCTTGTCACCAGCTGACAGCAGGCTGGTGTCTTTTCCGAGGGCTGCATCTTGCCGGTCATTATCACGTGACAGCGACTAGTCGACGACAGGCATAAAAAGTCACTATAGTGAAGTCGACTAGTTCATACAACCCCTGCTACTGCTCCCCAGTGTTCTGCAGCATAATCAGCACGTTCTCTTTGAACTTGATGTCAAATTTTCGCCGCCTCTTCGTCTCCGCACCTGCCAAATCGCGGTCTATCGCTGGCAAATCAAAAGTGAGACAGATGACACAACCGCCCCCCGTACTTGCTTGTTACCACATTCCACCCGGCCACAATAACAAACTGGTCACTATTCACCTCCGCCGACTCCGACACCGGCCAAAATATGATACCCGGCCGTTAATTGAATACCAATATTAGAGGATTTACGGTAAGTCAAACATGAGTTGACATCCAAGAGGGAATTACCCTCACCAAGACCATCAAGTGGTCATGCCAAAAGATCCTTCTGAATCATCTGAGTTCTACTGTTTTTAGTTAAAACTCATCGCTCTCAGAGTTAAAACCGTTACAGTTAAAACGCTGTGCTCCTGATCTATGGCGCCGTATGGGGGCCAAAATTAAGACTACTGCCCAGCAGCAGGAGGCTATATAAATTCTGAAGCAAACTACCGACCTGATTAATGATAAGCTGGCACCAGTAACTGAGAGGCTGGCGCTGCTTACTGAGAAATAGCACCTTTACCGGCATTACTACTAGATACGCTAGGGACTAGCAGCCCTTGGCTGGTAATTGACTGGTTCACACACTCCCTCTGCTGTCTATTAGCATGGATAGGCTAGAGTTAGCCTGGACGAGCTGGTGTTAGCATTGGAGAGGCTAGCCATTAGCGTGCCTAGGCTGGCCACTAGCTGGATTTCCTACCTCCTCGACGGACCATTAGCATGGATAGGCTGGCGTTAGCATCGGAGAGGCTAGCCCCTAGCGTACGTAGGCCGGCGCCAGCTTATCATTAATCAGGTCGGTAGTTTGCTTACGAATTTATATAGCCTCCTGCTGCTGGGCTGTAGTCTTAATTTTGGCCCCCATACCGCGCCATATTCAGCATCCTGGAGGAGAGGAGGAGGAGGGGCGGAGTCTGGTTTATCACCGGGGATGGGTGATCCCGACTCCTGCATCTGAAGAGGCCAGGCTGGCGGCCATAACAGTCACATCACCTGTTTACTTAACCATAAAGGTCTCATTACCTGACTTTGCCATAGCTTTTTTGTTGATGATGAAAACATATTCCATAGTCCCGCCCATGGTTCCTTCTGTCACATAGTGAGTGCCAAATGTGTTGAGGAAGTGGGAGTACATGCCAAAGTCATACTGCTCAGGAAGCTCCATGAGAGTCATGTAGAAATCTTCATGAAGCATCAGCTGGTTTGTTCTCATCTTGAAGTGAGCCGTTTCCACTTTGGACCAAAGTCTGACAAACCCAACTTCCTGGAGGGCAAAAGAAAGATTGTATTGTTGTTACTGTTTTCTTGTATCTATCTAACAACTGCAGGTCGCAAGTGTCAATTTCAATGCTTTATTTGTATACGTGATACACATGCGTGAATATGTATTATTCACCAATATTTTCTGACAGGTCACTTTATTAGGTACAGCTGTTTGACTGCTCATCAACACTAAAATCCTATCAACCAATCAGATGACAGCAGATTCATGCATTTATTCGGCTAGACGACCTGCTGATGTTCGAACCAAGCATCAGAATAGAGAAGAAAGGAGATTAAAGGGAGTTTTTGGTACAAGATGGGCTGGTCTGTGTATTTCAGGACCTGCTGACCTACTCGCATTTAAATCATAAAATGGCCTGTGAGTTTATATGAATTAAAAATATATCGTATAGAATAATATAAAACGTACATATATTACCAAGAACATTTAAATTTTATATCAGGTTCATACAGAGAAAATAATAAAAATAAGTACTGAGCTTTTGAATCAATTTAAGCCCTCTCCATACCCAACAAAGATTAGAGCCACCAGGCAGGAGGCTGAGAGTGAGATTTATGGATGTGGTGATAGAGGACATGAAGTTAGTAGGTGTGAGGGCAGAGGGTTAGGGTTAGAAGATAGGACTAAATGGGGACAGATGATTGGATGTGGAGATGCCAGAAAGAACAATCCAAAGAAAATGAGTAGATCCAAGAAAGGCAACAAGTATTTATAAACTCTCATTCCAACAAATATTCGGTCATTAATATGCATGAAACCAATATCAAATCATTGCCTTTGGAGGTGCATATTTACCTTATTTTGATATTTTGTTACGTTACTCAGAAACTCTGATTCCTGGCTGCCTTCCAGTCCGAGTTTTACATTCTGGATGCCTAACGTGACCCCGGCATTGAAGGACGACAAGGATTTTCTAGCTTTCAGAAGACTTTGCATGTCTTCAAAATACTCCTCTGAGCCCCGGGAAGTGGCCTCAGCCTGTAACAGATACCACTTAGGTTACAAGGAACATTTAGTGCAGTTGCTTCTAAACAAGAGATAAGTTGGTACCACGAAACGGTAGGTGTGGTAATTGTACGGTTTCCTGTAGTTTTTCTCATCTTCGTTGTAGTGTAGACTCTCACAGAAGGCATCATATTTGAACTTCCTCCATTCACCATTGTAGACGTATTCACACTCTCCACCAAAGTATTTTGGGTCAAGAACTTGATTCATAAAGTCTCCAGTCAGGATGTTGAAGCTTTAGAAAACAAAATGGTAAAATGGTTCTCATTAGTCCGTTCTCATGCAAAACAAAAGTCATTTTCATGTGTTATTTGTAGTTTTCTCTTAACCCAGAAATCTAGACCAACCATAGAAGAATTTGCTCTGCAGGTTGGTCTAGCCACGCTCTATTGCATTCTCGGCAGGTCTGCCATTGGCCTGAACAGTATTGTGTCAAACCAATCACAGAGCTCTATTTTTGTTGGGCAGGCTTCACGCTAGATTTGAGACAAAGAAAAACTACAAAGATGGTGGCTGCTCAGGAATGACGCTCATTTGAAATGGCTTGGGCATCAACTTTGGATGATTTAGGCTTTAGTCTTTGAGTACTTTATTTAGATGTCTTGCTAAGCTAGTTTTCTCTTGAGCATGAGCAGAATTAGAGTAAAACTGTTACGGACGATATTTCAATGTTTGCATCACGAGATCTTGGCCTCTTGTGAGGAAACGTTATTAGAACTCGTTTTAATTTGGATTCACAGCCGTGCAACGTTTGCCCAGCTTTACCCCTGTGTGCCTCGTTCAGATCCAGGAATGGTGATCAGCGTGGAACACTTATCCTCTCGCCGGTTAAAACTTTCACAATTATTTTCATCAGAAAAGTCATCACAGTCCGGTTCTCCATTACAGCGAAGGGATGGTCTGATGCAGCGGCCTGGAAGGGAGAGCAAACGTGGCGGGTACGGTGGTGGGAGCTGAGATGGTTAGGTGTTTTCTGGGACCTGGATGAGACTCACCTGTGCCTGTGCAGGTGAAACTCTCTCCACAGTAATCAGGTACCAGACACTGTGTGGCGACTGTTGGACATGCCAGCCTGTCCCACAACAAATCCACACACTCGCCCCCGCCAAACTGTGAAGGCTTTTCTAAGCTTCTCCAACGAAACTAAGACAGATTGTAAAAGAGGGTGAAAACAGAGATCATCCCTTTTCCTTCTACATAATTAGGACTCAGATGTTAGACCCAGTATAAACCGGTAAAGCTGAGAGAGGAAAGGGGTGTGCATTCCCACATCCTCACATTTAAACTCAGATCTTCTTGTGTAGAGAAATGATGGAATTACAGCTGTTTTGGTCAAACTGTGAAGGTCACTTTACGGTGATCTACCGTATTTTCACGACCATAATGGGCTCGACACACGGGAGGCGAATAACGACCGCGATCAGCGAAATGTGTTGCTGTCGCTTTTATTACCTGACACATGGGAGGCGATCCGCGGCAGCGACAAAGCCGTCTACTCGTTCTGTTCCATGGCGAAATCGAAACTTCCGTTGTTTTGTTTGGCTGTGTCAGGTTGGAGGGAATTAAGGTTATTTAAGCGGTTCAGAGTTAATAAAGTGGTAGATATGATGTTTCACAAGGTGCTGCTAGAGTTATGAGAAATCTTACTTCTGATTTTACTATAAAACATAATAATGATCAACTTCTCCTCCATGTTTGCTCGGAGATGTACGGAGCATCCTGCCCGCCCATTGGTCAGTGAATGAAACCTTCGTTGATTGGTCCTCGTCCGAGCGACAGCGATGAAAAGTTGAAAATGTTTCAACTTTCTGGGATCGCGTCGCTGGGTCGCCTGTGCATGACACGTGCACAAGCGCAAAATTTCACACGCACGTTTTTCGCGTTTCGCTTGGTAGGAGGGAGACCTGCGATTATCGCTTTGTCGCGCATGTCTCGTTGAAAATGAATGGAGGAGAGGCGATGTCGCCTCCCGTGTGTCGAGCCCGTAAGGCGCACCTAAATGTCTTACATTTTCTCCTAAATGTACGCAGCGCCGTGCGGTGCGCCTATTGTGTTGTTTTGAAGACGTGAACGTAGTTGAAGACAAGGGGTGTGGCGAGAATGGCAATGGGTGTGGCGTGAACGTGCGGACGTGAGCGAAGGCAGACCTCGAATAGTTCAAAAGGGCAGGTATGCGCGGTATGCTGAACATTGTTCTGACAACCCTGAGAATGGCACCTGCTAAGAGACACGCCTGTGAAGCACAGTTTAAACTGCAAGCGATCAGCTACGCGGAGAAATACGGGAATAGAGCAGCGGCGAGAAAATTCAGCCTTAATGAGTCCATGTGTCATGATCCGCCCCGGCCTCCCTGACTGTGTCTCTCCTGCCTTGATTAACCTTATTGTTCTCACCTGTCCCTCATTACTCTGCCCATGTGTTCCTGATTTCCCTGTGTATTTATACCTCCCTCCATGGATGTAATTTTGGGGGGGGACAGGGGGGACATGTCCCCCCCACTTTTTCCAAAGTCAAGTTATGACCCCTGCACTTTTTATTATCCAAAAACAATATTATTTATATTAAATTGACACTGGTTGAGCTCTAGGACCAAGCAGAAAACAACCGTTGGTGTTGAAGCCTGTTTCCCATTAGAGAATACTGTAAAGATACCCCCCCCCCCCCCACCCTGTGTCCCCCCCACTTCTAAAGTGAAAATTACGTCCATGCCTCCCTCCTTGTTGCTGTCTTCGTCGGATCATTGTTTGTTGTTTGTGCATGCTTGTTTTGTCCTGTCGCTCCCGTTCTACAATTAAACCATTTTTATTTTTTCATCCGTGCCTGCTCTTCTGCCTCCTGGAACCCACCACCACACTTGGTCCACCATCTCCACCCTCACAACATGACAGAATGATCTGACCAACCTGGACCTGTGGTGAGCTAACATTCTGTTCTGGAGGATTATATTTTCTTTTTTGTCCCTTTTAGCGGAGGGAGATTTCGGCCTGGAGTTTTTGGTTTTTCGGCGCATCCTACCTGTTCTCGGGGTGGTCGAGCCCTCTGGGAGATTCCGGCGCATCCTAGCTGTTTTCGGGGTGGTCGGGGTCATTCTCCTCTCCTGCTGTTTCGCCCTGTCCTGTTCTTCATGGAAGCTGCTGTTCCTGGAGTACTCTGATGGAGGTAAAACCCCCTACGCACGCCATCATTCTCCGGGGTGGTAGGGCTGGTCTTCCTGCTCCGTTGTCTGCTTCCCTTCACCCGAGACTGCCTGAGGATCCTGTCGAGTCACGGTGTGCACCTGCTCAGAACCGTGGTCTAGTACCTACTGCCGCTCCTGGTTCCCTCGCGTCGCTCCTGCGGTTTTTGTCCCACTTCCTGGTCCACACCTGCAGGGTCTATGCCTGCAGGTCCTTCACGCGGCAGTTCCTGCTGGGTCCTATGCCTGCTGCTGCAGTTCCTGCTGGGTCCCACGCCTGCTGCTGCAGTTTGTTTCCTGTTCAAGTCAAGTGTTCGTGGTTCAAGTCAAGTGTTCGTGGTTCAAGTCACGTGTTCGTGGTTCAAGTCAAGTGTTCATGGCCCAAGTCAAGTGTTCGAGTCTCCTGGGCCCAGTCTTCGAGTCTCCTGGGCCCAAGTCAAGTCTTCGAGTCCGAGTTTCCTAGTTCGAGCTCAAGAGACCCTTCGTAAGTCGGAGTTGTGCCGCCTGATCCCAGAGGCCCCTGCTCCGCAGCCCCGGACTGAGTTCTTTGTTCCCTAGTCATGTCTTCTGTGTTCCCTAGTCATGTGTGCCCGAGTCTACTCTTCGTTATTCCCGAGTCTCCTGTGCTATGTGGCATGTAGGCATCTGTATCCGCTCCTTAAGGGGGGGGGGGGGGGTACTTCATGATCCGCCCTGGCCTCCCTGACTGTGTCTCTCCTGCCTTGATTAACCTTATTGTTCTCACCTGTCCCTCATTACTCTGCCCATGTGTTCCTGATTTCCCTGTGTATTTATACCTCCCTCCTTGTTGCTGTCTTCGTCGGATCATTGTTTGTTGTTTGTGCATGCTCGTTTTGTCCTGTCGCTCCCGTTCTACAATTAAACCATTTTTATTTTTTCATCCGTGCCTGCTCTTCTGCCTCCTGGAACCCACCACCACACTTGGTCCGCCATCTCCACCCTCACAACATGACACCATGGTTCACAAGTGGAGGAAGTTGGAAAACGAACTCCGACAAGTAAAGAAGACGCAGCTGTGTTTCCGCGGGCACAAAGCCAGGTGGCCTGAGCTGGAAGACCGCCTCGAGCAATGGTTTAACGAGCAGAGGACAGCTGGGAGAAGCGTCTCTACCGTCACCATTCGTCTGAGAGCAGTAACTCTAGCCCAGGTGTTCTTATCAGATACAGAAGATACTTTGATGGATTTGACGATTAATTAATAGCACTCAAATAAAGCACCACAGAACTCATATTTGCTCCCGCTGCTTTTTTAATTCAACACAATTCAAATCACACTAATCTCTTAAGCCTATTAATAACACACATATGATTTTGTTCATGTGGAAAGTTTATGTGGTTAAATCCACCAACTACCGGTGAACACATTCTGAACTTCAACACAGCGCATAAGAAGAGCACGAGCCGTCAGCGCACGCAATGAGGAAGTGCACGTGCGCTCTAAACCAGGTCTGAACCAGGACTAGACCAGTAAAGTGAAACATGCTTTTGGCGCCATGTTGTCGTTCTTTTTTAAAACACAGAAACGGTTTTGTTACCTGTTATTGACGCTACAGTTTCGCGTCAGCCTGAAGAAGCCGGCAGCCGTCGGCGAAACTGTAGCGTCAATAACAGGTAACAAAACCGTTTCTGTGTTTAAAAAAAGAATGACAACATGGAATTAGAAATAACACACAGCAAGAACACACCTAAGATGCTTTTGGCTGTTTATAATTTTCACAATGTCTGGTTTGCAATGATATGTTCCGAGTTCCGAGCCCGCACAGATGTTTTACCGGTACGTTTTACCGTGCCCGCGCCCGCGCCCTATAACCCGGTGCGCCTTTTGTGTTACATACCAAAAAGACACCCGTAACTGAAGCTGCGCCCTATAACACAGTGCGCCCTATGGTCGTGAAAATACGGTATATTAGAAGAATACAGTTCAGAATGTGTGCGGTGGATGACTCTCAGCTACACCAAGCTTTAGCTCAGCATCAGTAAATGCAACTGGATTATTTTTTGTGCTGATGATGCCGATTGGCTCTGGTGGCCATCATGATTCAGGTTGATCACGTTCCCATCCAAAGGCTCCAGAGTTAATATGTTAGCAGACTGGCACTGGTGGTGGGTAATAATTATCAAGACTGTAGCTTTTTTTTCCTTTGACCTCCAAACATTCCTGGATTATAGAAATTAGTTGGGAGGGAACAGCATTTATGGAGCAGAACTTCATATGTATTGATTGTTTTATATGTAGTCTGATGGTTTTCTACGTTTTGTATTGATCTGATTACATGCTCGTGCTCCGTTCAAGAGATTAGAGAGCATTGCATCTCAGCATCTCACCTTTTCGTCTGTACATGAGTCACACGGTGTCCAAGATGACCAGCTCCCCAGTACACAGTTGATGGGCACCGGTCTGCTCACAGCTCTGGCTCTTCTGAATGTGGACCAGCAATAAATCAACATCTCATTTTATTTCGTCAGTTACTCTTCAGGCACCATGCTCCATACAGCTGAGTTACCAGAGTGAACGATACTACACCTAGAGTTAGCTGTTGTCCATGGTCTCCTTGATGCGTCCACATTTGTGTCTTCGTTCACAAGCACATTCAGCATCCACATACCAAGAAGCACATTATTGAATAGAGCCATTATAAAAACGAGGAGCTACCTGAAAAACCTCAAATGTACCATAAAGAAAGCAGCTGTTGTGATCCTGAGAGGACTTTTGACCCAGCAGTCCAAATGAATGATTGATAAAGAGCAAATACAAACTCTTTCAACAGCTGGGGAAGGTTTGATTATTTTGGAGGTTAAACTCTCATTATTTCCTCTTCAGAAACAAGCAGAGCATACTGTCCCAAGCATTTACTAGAAATCATCATCGACAGCAGCAGCATCATTGTTATCGTCATTGTGATCCTCATCGTAATCATCATCATCGTCATTATCACTATTGTAGTCATCATTGCTAACATCATTATCATCATCAATCATTATTATTATGATAAACATCATCGTCATTGTTATTATTGTCATTATCATCGTTATCATTATAATTACCATCATCGTCATCATCATCATCATCATCATCGTCATTATCGCTATTGTAGTCATCATTGCTAACATCATTATCATCATCAATCATTATTATTATGATAAACATCATCGTCATTGTTATTATTGTCGTTATCATCGTTATCATTATAATTACCATCATCGTCATCATCATCATCATCATCATCGTCATTATCGCTATTGTAGTCATCATTGCTAACATCATTATCATCATCAATCATTATTATTATGATAAACATCATCGTCATTGTTATTATTGTCGTTATCATCGTTATCATTATAATTACCATCATCGTCATCATCATCATCATCATCGTCATTATCGCTATTGTAGTCATCATTGCTAACATCATTATCATCATCAATCATTATTATTATGATAAACATCATCGTCATTGTTATTATTGTCATTATCATCGTTATCATTATAATTACCATCATCGTCATCATCATCATCATCATCGTCATTATCGCTATTGTAGTCATCATTGCTAACATCATTATCATCATCAATCATTATTATTATGATAAACATCATCGTCATTGTTATTATTGTCATTATCATCGTTATCATCATCGTTGTCGACATCATGATTTAAAAAAACTGTGTGGGAAATGTTCTTAACATCAGTCTCATGCTGTCAAAGATCAAGTCCCGTTGATTTTAGAGATTTTTGAAAGCTTTGTGTCAAAATAAATGTGACATTTTCCTTTGTTATCAGTTGTTTAGAATACAAAATTCTGCCTAATGAATCAGTATGCCAATAAAATAAGGAAATGGACAAATGTTTTCACAGACTGTCAAAAAATCCAGATGAAAAACCAAAACTACACACACACCAGGGGCTATGGCCCATCCACTGTGTGCTAGGGCCCACCCAATCAAACGGCTTCCTTAAAAAAAAATTGTGTATATTTATCTTATTTTTGAGAGGTGCCCTTATGCAATAAAACGAAACGGAATAAAATTCCAATGAACAGTATTTCTGATACGTCATTCTAAACAATGAAGTCAAAATCATCCCCTTTACTTTTATTCTTTAAATAATAATTATTAAACATTGAATACCATTGTATTTTCATTTAATTTCATTTTTAAATTATATTTGCAGTTCCCTGCAAATATAAACTGTTCCTCATCTGTTTTATTTACTAGCATGGCTGTGTATAAACACTGCAACTTAACAATTCCAATTAAAGTTTTGCTGTCTGTTGCCTCGGTAGACAAAAGCTGAAACTGCCAGCAAGAAAAGTATAAACAAAGCTTTTACAGTTCTGCATATATAAGAACCAAAGTAAAATGGAAATGGAACAAAAATCATTATAAATATCAATCGCAGCATGGTGGTCAGGATAAAAAAATGCTCTTAATGTGACAAGTTAACGGGCTGTCTAATCCAGCCATCTAAAACTTCAGCAATTGTCCAAAATCGGGCACTGGAAATATCTTGTTTTCCATTTGAGCAGTAAGAATGCAATTTGGACCTGGATAATGAAGTTATTGATGTGTAGAATTAAATGTTAATTAAACGTCAATTTGGCCTACCATACTTTTGATCAGTCAACGTCACTGATTCGCTGATTGAAGTAGCAGAAACGTAAAGGACGCGCAGTAAGCGCATGCGCGGCGGACAATTAGCATGCATAATTAGCATGAGCGGTTAGTGGGTCACTTTCAGTCATGAAAGACAGTTGTTGCGTCGCGTTATCTGAGTTAAACGGCGTTTCTGAAATGGAGCCACAACAGTGATTGAGAAAAGGAGTGAGAATGGAAGAGGTAAAATTAAACTGTTCCTCATCTGTTTTATTTACTAGTATGTTGGTGAAATACAAGCTAATTAGCCGTTCTACTTACTATGCTAGCTTGATATTTAACGTTATCTCTTCTAGTTTTAAAGGTTGAATGCTCTTTAGTCACTTTTGTTGTTGCTACAATATCAATGTGTTCAGCTGCTCGACAGATCGCTTTATTTGCCATGGCTTAAATATTTATGCTACTATCTAAACCATTCATTTACAAATCTGACGGTTGCAATTCTGTTTTATCTCGTTTAAGGACCGAGCTATTGACTTCAAAGCCCTGAGGGCTAAATTCCAGGATGAAGGCCTCCAGGGTCGGTCAAAATGCAGTCGACCAGCTGTTGCTGAAAAACCTAAGCACGTTCCACCTTCTGGGGGTCACTGCAGCGCTGTGCTCTGCGGCATCAACATGGCGGTAGAAAGCAACACACCAGTGGTACCCCGAGTCTTCTTCAGAGACAGGCTCCGCGCATCTGGAGACAAGCGGCCGACTTCCGTTCCACCTCAGCCTCTTCAGACTTCTCCCTCTTTTGAGCTTGCAAATGGAGACAGAACAACCAGGCCTTCTCTCAAAGACCGAAACATGCCTTTGGTACTCCCTGTCCCATCAGTTAAAGAACAGAGGTTGGGTGCACCTTCTGAAAAAGAGCTCAAACTGGAATTAGAGTCAGGAAAAGAAGCCCCTACACACGATATATCTGAGAAAAAGGCAATGCTGCTTCCATTCAAGTCAGTCCAGGCGCCACAGGTTGGTGGAGAAGATGGAGAGGATCTTACGGATGCTGATTTGACAAACAGGCCTCTTAGTGCTCCTGGTGAATTGCTCTCAACAGAAAAACAAACAGAAGATGGGGTCTCCCTTCAAAGTGACCAGTCTGCCTCCGAGCACCCCCTCTCCAGTCCTGAAATCTCAATAGCTTCTTCCTCAGAGTCTCATGCAGACTCTGACAACAGAATCACTAGCACATTAGAGAAAGCCATGAAAACGTTCTCAAGGGGGCAGATGTTCATTTCCACCAAAACGAAGACATTGCTTTCCCCTGACTTCACTTATAGAGACAAGATATTCCTGTCTCCTCGTAAAAGCCCAGAGGGCCTCACATCCCCACCGCTGGGCCTTTCACATCTGGCCTGCATTTCTGCTCGTCCTTTTTTCAAAACCAGCAGCTCTTCTCGGAGTAAGTCTTAAATGATCCCTGCAGTCTTAATTTGTTGTCATTTCTATGTTTTCCATTATTTAGATAACACATTTTCATGATTTTGTTTTTCCCCTAAAGAGTCCGCATTTGATAAGCAGCTTGTAAGAGATAAAGCTGACGGGCCATCAGTGAAGTCTGCTGGACGTAATCCATCATGTGTTCCATTAAAAAAGCCATTACTGGACTTGCAGAAGCTTGGACCCGCTCCAGCGAAGCCCCCCAGACCCCCTGTAGTCGATCTAACATGTTATCACACACTCACAGTTAAAAGCACGTAATTTCCTGATCTTTGCTTCACTTATTGCATATCTGTCTTTGAAGCAACGTTGACAGAAGTCTCGTTTGTCCTCAGACAGTTTCTGTTTGCCCTCCGTAGATGGATCACCTGGTGAAACGTGGAGGAAAAAGGAACGTCTCGAGGGCCCACCAGCCTCCAATCCCGTGCTGGATGCTCCTGAGTTTCCTGACTTTGAGAACGTGGAGGTGGATGCTGCTGCAGGTGACGCTGTTGACATCTCTGCATTAGAGCTGGGAGCGTTGGACAGAGTTGGTGCTGAAACACACGCCGAGTTTGAGGTTACAGAACCTGCATTGTCAGTTTGTGATCCTGCAGAGAGCAGTAAGAGCTCCATCGTGCACGGTCTGAACCTCGGCAGTCCACACATAATACCCCTTGATCCAGCCAGCTTCCCTGAACCTATAAACCTGTTTGAGTTTCCAGAGCTGCCTCTAACGAAGCAGCAGTCCCACAGCCAGGAGGCAGCTGTAGACTCTTACGAGGCTTACTTAGGGGTTGCTGAGAAATCGTCTTTCTTGGAGGAACCTGAGCTTAGGAGCCAGACGACATCAAATGACGAGAGTCGCACACAGCCGAGGTGAGTTTAGAAGGAAACTCTTGGCTCAGATGTTGTTTCTGCTCCAACAAGTGGATTTCTTCTCTGCCTTCTAGTGACCACCAACAGGACAGCTACTATGAAACATCTGATGTGTATGAAGATGTGGGAGGCATCAACAGATTGGTCTCAGGTCAAATTTCAACTAAACGGAAAAGCAAACTTAAAAGTAAGAACATTTCATTCTGAACTAAAATCCTTGCAGAATTTTACTGTTGTGGTTAAACGTCCTCTCGTCGATGTCTTCCAGATCCGTATGCAGACAGCCGCCCAAAGGTAACTTTAATACAGATTGAAATAGTCGGAGTAGTAGGAAAACCGCTCCAAAAGCATTTCTTAAAGGGACATTATGGAAGTCTGACAGCCAAAACATGTATAGAAATATTAAATGTCTTCTTCATACATTCTCCTGCAATGCCCTGGTCCTGTAGAATGAGCCCTGGCATTTTTACTGTGATTGCCTGTTTTTCTGTAAAATCACAGAAAAAGAGAGATGCTCGGGTCGAGCAGGCTGCTTCATGCGCGTTCACGCTCAGGCATCGCCCGTAGCATTTGCTATCCGTAGCTTTAGCAGCAGAGAGAGAGGCAGTGCCACTTTGTCGCTGTTCCTAATAGGGCTGCAACAACGAATCGATAAATTAGATGAAAATCGATTACTAAAAGCGTTGGCAACGAATTGCGTCATCGATTCGTTGTGTTGCGCAACTCTTCCAAAAGCCCCCCCCCCCGCTCCCCGGCCGCCGTTGCGCACAGACCGGAAGCAAGTCAGATCAGCGCGAGGGAGAGCCGGGTGAAGCAGCGAGACCCAAAAAAGTAAAAACTTCTAAAGTTTGGGAGCATTTTCAGTTAAATCAGGCGAAGACATTCGTTACCTGCAACATTTGTAGGTCAGACTTAGCATGGCACGGGAGTACTACAGTGATGCAGCATCTTAAACGCAAGCATGCCGAATCGGCGAGGAGGGAGAGCTCTGTGTCCGGGTAAGTTAAAAACTTTTCAAAAGTGATTCACCCAAGCCCCGGATTATTACACAGGCTAGACATGCCCTAAGCTCGTAAAAAAAAGTCTATAAAATCGTAAGCGCGACGCTATTAGATAGGCGGGGGGGGGGGGGGGGGACTCGCGCTGCTGCGAGCCGGTTCAGCCATCACATTCCCGCAGAAACTGGTTGATCACTCCGGGGCCAGACTACTAGTGTGACAGTGTGAGCATCTTGTCACGATGCCCGATTGATCATGCGCCCTGGCTACTTGGCCAAGGGGATGTCCCTTTGGCTGACTGGTTAGAGCATATGACTCTCACCCGGGAGTCTGGGGATCGAATCCCGCCCAGGCCCTCATTTCTCCACCTTGCCACACTAGCACCACAATGTCCTCAGAAGCGAAAACGTTTTTAAAAGGGAGGGAGTACTAACTCTCGCTGCAGGCGTGTTGTGAGAGTGTAGTTATTTACTGGTTAATATATTTTTGGGTTCAGTTGCTTTCATGTGGCCTAATGTGAGTCTATTTGGGATCATTGGAATGATCAGCAGCATTTCTTGATGTGACTTATGGCGGTTGCCCAGGGCATCATCACAAGGAGGGTGGCATTCATTTACTTTTGTTTTATTTGGTATTTTTTCAGTCATTTTTGGAAATAGTGATTAATTCACAGCCTATGTTTAATTAGATTTAAAAATTAGTTGTTTGACATCTCCAATTATAATGTTGATTAGAGGATTAGATGAGATCAAACAAAACAGATGAGAATTGCCCTTAAAGAGCAAGTCACCCCCAAATAAACATTTTTTTTTTGCTGATAAACTAAATAAACGAGTGTCTAATCGTGCTGCAGACACGTGTCGTCAATAATTTGGCACTTCAGTGCATCTTAGTTCAAATTTAAATATTCTGCCTAAAACTGGCAGTGTTGTGCCGTTGTCAGGTAAAAACTCTGCACTGCATTTTAATTTAAATCTGCCACCGCTATTGGCTAAGAAGTATGCTATGATGTAAACTGGTACATTATGATGTCACAATGCTGTTGTGAGCCTGAGTGTGTGTGTATTTGGTAGCGGCTCCGCCCTCTCGGTCTGCCAGGCAACAGCATGTGTTGCATTTTTCAAACATGAAGTGGGAGTGGAGTTAGACTCTGGTAGGGGTTGACTTGCTCTTTAAGCTGTTTAACTTGGACCAAGCATTTTAGGTCACAGATAGGTGTAGCTTAGGGTCTCTGTCTATACACCTTATAAGACAATTTAGGTGATGGCATGTTGTTTTTCTGCTATTGAACTGTTTTCTAATAATGTTGTGTTTAATAAAGTGAAGGAAGGAGAGAAATAACGTTTCCCTAGCAGTTTTTAACAATGTCCCCATGTAATCCGATTAATCGATTAACCGTGTCGAGACCCCATCCGATTCATCGATTATCCAAATAATCGTTAGTTGCAGCCCTAGTTCCTAACGCCTAGTGACAAAGCTAGCTACATTTCTGAGGACCCTTAGCTACTTTCTGGAGAACTTTCTTCTAGATATTTCCTGCAAATTAGCAACAAAATAGCCATTTTCACTCCGAACCGTTCTTTGAACGTTGTTTCAGCTGTCATCAAGGATATAAATGTTACAGATACAAAAGATATCACTGGTGCTTTAGCTCATCTAGTAAGACGTTGGACTCTCATGCAGAAGACCTGGGTTTGATTCTGGATGTGAACATAGTTTATTTAGAGTTTCTTTTTTACATTAATGGTATATTTTTTTACAGTAAGATGCCCAAATTTTTATTTGAGACTCGCCGAACGGCATTGAATTCACAGATAAAAAAGATGTGGGTTCAACTTTCATTTTGGAACAATTTTTCAAGCAAGGGAAGGGAATGATCTGAGCATGCAGGAGGACTGACCCATCTTAAACCTTTGTCGGCTGTGCTGAAGAGAAAGGTACAGAACCAAATTATTTAATGAATTAGCTGCACGTTCTCCTGTCCTCTGTCCTCCGGGCCACACACACACACACACACACACACACACACACACACACACACACACACACACACAAGGGACTGTCTCAGGTCTTCTTTAGCTCTGTGAAGCTGACCCCCAGCTTCAAAAGTGCAGGCAAGTAGGCTGCTCGGTTAGTGCTTTCGTTAAGGAGTGTGCACGTACAGCATGCACGCCTCGTGCACGAGCCTACTATTGAAGCTGCCGTTACGCTTTTGGCCTGAGGAGGCAATCGCGAGCATCCATCCATCTTCTGAACCCTCATGTTCATGTAGGGTCGCAGGGGGTCTGGTGCCTATCTCCAGTGGCCAACGGGCAATCAGGCGGGGTACACCCTGGACAGGTCACCTGTCCATCTCAGGGCAGCACAGAGACACACAGGACAAACAATAATGCACTCACACACACACACACACTCACACCTAAGGACAAGACAGACCAGTTAACCTAACGGTCATGTTTTCTGGCTGTGGGAGGAAGCCGGAGTACCCGGAGAGAACCCACGCATGCACAGGGAGAACATGCAAACTCCATGCAGAAAGATCCCAGGCCGGGAATCGAACCCAGGACCTTCTTGCTGCTTCTTGTGCAACCCGCAATCGCGAGCATAAAATTTCAAAACTCCGTAAAGTCCCTTTAAGAAAACATAACGTGGTTAATGACATCATGTGTTTGTTCCTAGAAGGAGGGGGTGTATGTTAACAAATGGCCGCGGCATCCATGGTATGTTCCTCCCAACATGCAACACCCGTGTTTCTGTTTTTGTCTTTGATGTTGGCCAGAAGAAAGTTGTCATTGATTTTAGTTTTCTACCGTGGTAATTCCGCTGCAGGATCAACACTTCATTAGAACATCCCGCTCATCTGGCCCACAGGTGTGTTGCCCTCCGGTCACACGTTCCATCCCCTTTGTTCTCACCAACACTGATTTGTTTTCCGGCAGGGAACACCTGAGCCCCAGCACGGCTGACCATAAAGAGCAGAGGAAGAGGGAGAAACAGCGAATGGAGAGAGAGCGAAAGGAGCAGAAAGAGAGGGAGAAGAAAGAAAATGAAATGAAAAAGAAGTTCAAAGTGAGAAAAGTGGTTGCTTCATTCTGGTAGAGCTGCTAAATCTCAGATCTGCCTTCAGCTTCAGTGACTAAACTTGTCTCAGAAGGTCACCTCTAGGCTCTGATAAACCCAGCTCCTGCTTTAAGCTGGAGACTTTTTCTCTGTCTGCTAAAACGTCACTCGTAGGTGAACGGAGACGAGGAACCGATGTACCACGCCAGGGTAATGGTGGCCAGTAAAGTTCGCAAGAACGACCTGCCGGTGAAGAGCGGAGATACGGTCGGCATCATCCGGACCACCAACTGCCCCAAGGGCAGGTGGCTGGCCCGGGATGTCAACAACAAGTGTGAGTCGTTTACCATTTTGTGTGTGTGTGTGCGTGCGTGTGCGTGTGGGTGTGTGTGTGCACGCGCGCGCAGCACTGTTTAACACCAATATACTTGTTTCCTCTGCAGCTGAAAACTCCCCAAAAAGCATTTAACACACATTCTCTGTGTTCAGTTTACCAAAGATTTCCATCGTTTTATGATAAGTCGTTGAAAGATCTCCTCACCGTTCTGTTTTAACTACAAACAGGTTCTCATCTTCAAAATAAAACGTTTTAATGTTTTAATTTAAACTATTTCTGATTCTAGAAAGCCTGAACATCCAGGACTACAGTTGCCCACCTTTGTCAGCAGGGGGCAGAGCTGTGCTGTGCTGTTGTGATTTAGATCAGTGGGCCTGTCTTTGTTTTACAGGAAGTTTTCACTCACACACACTCATACACACACTTGCTAGGCTTGAACATGCCCGCTTCGCACATAAACATGCAGACACATTTTGTGTTCTATGACCACTAAAGGTTATAAAGCACCTCAAAGCTTTTTTTGAACAAATAATAAAAACAAAATTCATCTGAATAACAAAACAATCCACCATCACACACATTTGCACCACTGGCCCGAACAGCTTTGGGTCCAGCCACCCAGTGTTCTGTTTGTAGAGAGACACTGGGCGGGCCTGGCACCATTACGGCTGTAGCGTGGTTAACTACATACTAGGATATAACGCTGTTTGCTGTCAGCTTTGTTAGATCCTGAGAAAGATCGAGCAAATTAGCATATGAAGCTTATATCATGTATAAATATCCACGATATCTATTAAAATTATTATTGGACTTGAAGTGTCCTTCAGCCTGGGACGGAACAGCAGCAGATGAAGATGATTTTCAGCAGACATCACGGCTCCTCGCTTGTTTAACCTGTGGGGCAGAGTTACAGTCGACCCAGCTTGACCCAGCCGGGAAAATGTGACCTTTGTCACAAATTAGAGGCCATTCATGACGCTACACGGCAGAGCTTAAAGTAGAGCTGGGACGGACAAACTTGCATACAGGTGAAACTCTAAAAATTAGATTTTGTTATAAAAGTTAATTTATTTCAATTCAACTTGAATTTAATATCTGAGACAGACTCGTTCCATGCAAAGCCAGATATAACTGTGAATATGGCTTACTAGGGGTGTAACGGTACGCTAAAATCGTATTCGGTTCAGTTCAGTGTTTTGAAGATCTCGGTCGATTAATTTTCGGTGTATTATTAAAGTTAAAGTCCCATTAGCTGTCACACACACAGGTGTGTGTGCGAAATTTGTTCTCCGCATTTGACCCATCCCCTGGGGGAGCGGTGAGCTGCAGACACAGCCGCGCTCGGGAACCATTTGGTGGTTTAACCCCCCAATCCAACCCCCTTAATGCTGAGTGTCAAGCAGGGAGGCATTGGGTCCCATTTTCTCTAAGTCTTTGGTATGACCCGACCAGGTATCGAACCCATGATCTCCCAGTCTCAGGGCGGACACTCTACCACTAGGCCACTGAGCTGGTTATTGGTTATTGTGGTTATTATTATTACTATTACTATATTTTTATTATATTTATTTATTTAATATGTAAAGCGGCTTGCATAGTGAGCAGAACCAGGCGTCATCACAGGCTGCTGATCTAGCGTGATGTCTTTAACTATTTCCCAGGTTGTTTGTGCAGCTATGAGTGTCACGCTCATACAGACAAGTGTTCTTTGAAATTCGTATTAAATAACGAGATTCCCCCGCTCCGTATTTTTCGTCATGGGATGAAAACTTTGCATCCGTTGTCCCAGGGGAAAATTCAGCAGTCGTGTTTGTTTACCGTTTTGCCGCTGCGTGCCTGCGGTGTGAGAGAAGGGAGGGAGGGGCGACGCTCCGTTCAGCGTCTCTACAGGCTCCACAGTAGCAGCGACAGCCAGCTGGTTTGGTCCGCTCTGAAAGACGTTGATCAGAATTTGCGGATCGCATTTATTAAACGGAGATCGGGCACATGCAGCCATCATGCTTCACTCAATACAGCGTCCGAGCGGAAACTCGCCGAGGAACTTTTATCCGCTGCTCTTAAATCACGAAAATATAAATTCATTAATTAACATTGCCTTTGGTGGTGCGTCAGTCGCCCTCATTGGGGGGTTTTAAGACTCGCCTTAAGACCCATTTTTTTGTCAAGGCTTTTCAGGTTTAGCAAATTTTACCCAGTTTCGATACCCCGGCCTCTAAATCTTTTTCTGGATTTTATTTTTTGCTTTTACTCTCCTCTTTTAATTGATTTTATGCTGGTTTTACGGTTGTTATATTTTATTCTGATGGTTTTATGTTTTTATTGTGTTGTGTTCAGCACCTTGGGCATTGGTCACAGAAGGGGCTTTATAAATAAATGAAATTAAATAACGTGAAAAATAAACAAACGGTACACAAGTGGACCGAACCGAACAGGCCGAGCCGAAACGGTTCAACACCCCCTGTGATCCGTTGCACCCCTATGGCTTACAGCTTATGACAACCTCACATTCACAATCTCAGACAGTTAGAATATTGTGGAGAGTAGGGCTGGGCGATATGGCCTCAAATCTATATTGCGATATAATCTGAAGCATGTGCGGTAACGATATTGTCAGGGACTTGCATAAACCAGCCAGGAGAGCACGGATGATTTTCTTGACGTCTTAATTCATTACTTTTTTTCTTTTCTCTAAAGAGGGTTCCAACCAGCACTTGACATTCCATAACAATGGACGTAGTAACAAAGGAACCCAAACTCAGGACCTGACTACAGACATGTACAAAAAATAACCTCCTACAGACACAACAGGATCATCTTAAAGAGCAAGTCACCCCCTACAAGAAACTTACTTCATTCCTTCTTCATGTTTAAAAAATGCAACAAATGATGTTGCCTAGCAGACCGAGAGGGCGGAGCCACTAACAAATACACACACACACAGGCTCACAACGGCATTGTGACATCATAATGTACCAGTTTACATCATAGCATACCTCTTAGCCAATAGCGGTGGCAGATTTAAATTCAGCTGCAGTGCAGAGTTTTTACCTGACAACGGCACAACACTGACAGTTTTAGGCAGAAAATTTAAATTTTAACTGAAATGCACTAAAGTGCTAAACTATTGACTACACGTGTCTGCAGCACGATTAGACACTCATTTATATAGTTTATCAGGGGAAAAAAAGCTGATTTGGGGGTGACTTGCTCTTTAAATAGTGGCTGATCAGACCACTGCCAACACCATAGGGTGGGGAGACATCAGTAAACGAAGAACATAAATAAGCTACCCCTAACAAATTCATACTAATCAGTCCATGCTGTTTGAGTTACTTCAAATGAAAACATATTACTGTTAAAACCCAACTACTATTTACAAAAGAGAATAACTAAATACACAAACACAGGAATCTTCTCCCTTGAGAGTTGGTATGACCCAATGGTGCTGATTAGGCCAAGTGATCTGCTACAGCTGCTCCAACTCCAAGGCCACTGGCAACTCAAGGAAAACATATTAATCATACTAACCCCTACAGACTAAAACCGATGAGTAACTGAATGTGTGCGCTTCATACAGTCACCCAAACAGTCAATCCATAGAAAAAAACACCTTTATTCAAAATAAAAGAAACATTAACAATCATTTACTTGAAGTGTGACAGCAGGGCAGCTGTCACAGATATTTATTGCGATTTATTTTGTCCTCTGTTTATATATGTCAAAATGACTTGCTTTAAAATATCCTCATGTGGCAAATATATGCCACTTGAGGCATATAGGCCTCTTCCTCCACCCACCAAACCTTCCGTCAGGAGTCTTGGCGTGACCTTTGACCCAGCTCTCACCCTGGATTCTCATGTCAGTTCTCTTGTTCGCTCTTCCTTCTTCCATCTCAGGAACGTTGCTAAGCTGAGTCCCATTCTGTCCCGCTCTGAACTTGAGACAGTTCTCCACACCTTCATCTCCTCACGCTTAGACTACTGTAACTCTCTTTTCACGTGTCTGAGCAGAACCTCCCTGAACCGTCTACAGGTGGTTCAGAACGCCTGTGCTCGGCTTCTGACCAAGTCCTCCAAACACACCCACATCACCCCGCTTCTCCTCCAGCTTCACTGGCTGCCAGTCAACTTCAGGGTTCATTTCAAGATCCTGGTTCTGGTCTTCAGGGCCTTACATGGACAAGCACCATCTTACATTGGTGATCTTCTTAGTCCCTACACCCCCAGCAGGTCCCTGAGGTCCAGTGATCAAAGCCTACTGGTTGTGCAGCACCAGGCTAAAGGTCAAAGGTGACAGATCATTTGCTGCTGTGGCCCTCAGACTCTGGAACTCTCTCCCCCTGAGCCTGAGATCAGTGGACTCAGTGGTCTCCTTTAAAAAGCAGCTGAAGACTCGCCTGTTCAAGCTGGCTTTTGTATGACCTTCTTCACCTCTCTCTCTTTATTCTGCTCTCCCCACCTATTCCACTTTCCTCAGGATCCACCGATTTCCCTCTTTCCTGTTCACTCTCTCTCTTTCTTAACATTTTTTCTTTTAAATCGCAATTGCCTATTTTTGCTAATTTTACATATATTTTTAAACATTTTCTAAATGCTTTTTTATATTTTTACATTTTTATTTTTTGTTTTTGTGAAGCGCCTCATGGTTTTTATCTTGAGAGGCGCTATAGAAATATTTTCTTCTTCTTTTTTCTTCTCCACGCTTGCAGTCACTGCCATTCTGTTGCCCCAATGTCAGCAGGGTGCACATCTTAGTGACGTCATGTGTTATCGCAATATAGCCAAAAACTCTTATCATTACCCAATTTTATATCGTTTGTACCTTATATCGTTTATAATGCCCATTCTTAGTGGAGAGGTTCAATATTCTAGGATCAGTGTTATAATCTGAGTCTGTGTGGAGCTAATGCTGCAGTGCCGGCATGTGTAATCCGTCAGCCAGCAAAAACGCAGTAGTGTTTAGCAAATATGGTGAGGAGCGACCCAGAAGAAGCCACGGCATCTTTTTGGTTTACTCTAACATGTCTAATAATGTCGGCTCTAAAATAATCTAAAACTACTTTTTCTGTTAGCAACAGCTCAATGTTGCAGTGAAATGTAATGATCCACTGTGGTTGACTGGCTAGGGTCATGAAAAGGACAGAAGCCTTCCCCGATTTTTGTCTTTCATATTAAATATAATGCTGCTGTTTTTCAGACGGATATATTTCAGTGATGAACGTGGAGCTGAACATACAGGAGATGCTGGAACTTGGTAAAAAGGCTCAAGCAGCTGGACGGGGGGGGAACCTGGACGCTGATACTATCAGCATTGGGAGCAGGTACCAGGAAAGTCTAAACTGGTGTTCTTGGATTTCTCGGTGAAACAGCAGATTCTTCTGTTTTCTCTCACAGATCCTCAACCCAGCCGTTTCTCACAAGCAGCTGTAAGTGTTCCTGCATCAGCTTCTGGTTCCGTTTAACTAAACGCCAGAGCTAAAGGCTCTGTGAAACCTGACTGACGCTGCCCAGTTCGTCTCGCCAACATGGCTGCTGGTCATCTGCTTCCCAGCCATATTATTTTTAGGGCCCGACCGATATGCTTCTTTGGGGACTGACACTGATATTAAACTTTTAACAAAGGCCGATAGCCGATATAATGACCGATAAATCTTCGTCTTCGTCTTCGTCTTCCTCCGCTTATCCGGGTCGCGGGGGCAGCATCCCAATTAGGGAGCTCCAGGCCGTCCTCTCCCCGGCCTTGTCCACCAGCTCCTCCGGCAGGACCCCAAGGCGTTCCCGGACCAGATTGGAGATGTAACCTCTCCAACGTGTCCTGGGTCGACCCGGGGGGCTTCTGCCGGCAGGACATGCCCGAAACACCTCCCCGGGGAGGCGTCCAGGAGGCATCCTGACCAGATGCCCAAACCACCTCAACTGGCTCCTTTCGATCCGGAGGAACAGCGGTTCTACTCCGAGTCCCTCCCGAATGTCCGAGCTCCTCACCCTATCTCTAAGGCTGAGCCCGGCCACCCTACGGAGGAAACTCATTTGGGCCGCTTGTATCCGCGATCTCGTTCTTTCGGTCATTACCCAAAGCTCATGACCATAGGTGAGGATTGGGACGTAGATCGACCGGTAAATCGAGAGCCTGGCTTTCTGGCTCAGCTCCCTCTTCACCACGACAGATCGGCTCAGCGTCCGCATCACTGCAGACGCCGAACCAATCCGCCTGTCGATCTCCCGATCCCTCCTACCCTCACTCGTGAACAAGACCCCGAGATACTTAAACTCCTCCACTTGAGGTAGGACCTCTCCCCCGACCCGGAGTTGGCAAGCCACCCTTTTCCGGTCGAGAACCATGGTCTCAGATTTGGAGGTGCTGATCCTCATCCCAGCCGCTTCACACTCAGCCGCAAACCTACCCAGCAAGAGCTGAAGGTCAGAGCTGGATGAAGCTAGGAGGACCACATCATCCGCAAAAAGCAGAGACGAGATTCTCCTGCCACCAAACTCGACACACTCCACACCACGGCTGCACCTAGAAATTCTGTCCATAAAAGTGATGAACAGAACCGGTGACAAAGGGCAGCCCTGGCGGAGTCCAACCCTCACCGGGAACAGGTCCGACTTACTACCGGCTATGCGGACCAAACTCACGCTCCTCTGGTAAAGGGACTGAATGGCCCTTAACAGAAAGCCACCCACCCCATACTCACTTCCCTTCCATTGCTTTATGCTAAAACAACTGGCTACAAAATGTTTTTTCTGACTTGGCTAACTCTGGGGAATCTAACAACACGCACAAGTTTAGGGACAGAAGATCCCTATAAGAATATTAAAATAATAAAAACGCAGCAATAAATAAAACGTAATATTTGTGCTTCGTAACTAAGTAACACTCTGTGGAAGTTCACTTGGTGAACTTATTCACAAAACTTATTCATAAAGCTGGCGCCATCTGCTGGATAGGTAGCGCAATATCGGCCGTCTTTTTGGCCGATAGTGTTAATGACCCGAATATCGGCCGATATATCGGTCGGGCCCTAATTATTTTATGACGGTGGAGGAATTCTGTGTGTGCTGATGGTTCTCATCAGTGCTCAGGCTGACCTGAATCACTCCCGTTTGCTTTTCAGTCACAGATGACAGCGAGGAGTGGGCCTGCGAGGACGACACCCTCTCACCCCCCAGCAGAAGCCAGTAAGATGTTTCCTTTATGGAGTCACTGCTTTAAAATGTTGGTTCTAGATGAGGAGGTCGTAATGAGTGAAAGGATTTCATCTGAAGATAAATCGATGTTCTTCTGTCTGACGTCTCTGTGCTGCAGCATTCCTCAGCAGACGGCCTCAGAGCCAGAGATGGGTGAGTGTTTTATATCTGCTCCTTTTAAAGTGGGGAAAACACACACACACACACACACCAGCTGCTCCTAGTGGTGGTTGGATCTGTGTCGACACTTCCCATTCTTCTAGCTTTGCTAATCGAAGCTCCTTCATCTGTTCACAGCTCCAGCATGTGTTCACGTGGAGACCCAGCCCCCCCTGAATGAGTCCAGCTTGGAAGACCTGCACACACAGTGAGTCTGGAGCAGAGGAAGCTCTTCTCCTCTAAAGGGTGGGGGGTTGGAATAAACAACGCTCCGGTCGGCAGCCACTCTAAATAATAAGTCACAAAGGCTAAATGCAAAGTTTAGAGCAGAACATGAAATTTGCTCTGTCATGCCAACAGGAGCAGACTAGCAAATGGCGAGACTTGGCTGAGAAAAAATGGGCCGGTAGACGCGTCCAGAAATAATGGGACGGGTGATGGAACACAAATAGACGGTTCTCCGGGCTTTGGTAGATCGTCATCACTTTATAATTCTTAATGATCTTAGATCGTCAGATCTCATGGCCCTAGATGCGCCCCTCGGGGGGGTAAAGCTTGGTTTATGCTTGACGCATTCACTTTCCGTGCGGTGATGCGGCTCGCGGATGGAACGCGCTTCACAACTCGCAGCTTTTATGGTTCGTGCGGCTCGTCTCTGCGGTGAGCCAATATTCTCCCAAACTGTAGGGGGCAGCATGGAGCTCTACGGCATGCATCCAACACTACACCATAGTAGAAGTAAAAATTACTGTTTACAACATGGCATTCCAGCATTTTTAACAGCGTCCTCGTCTTTTCCGACAGTGCGAGCTATTTCTCTCCAAGAATTATTAACAACATGTTGATCACGGTGATCTCTGAGAGCTGAATCACACAAATGTCTGTATTTACCAACCTCTGCCATACTAGTTCTTGCCGGTCCGCCATGTTTTTCAGTGTCCGACCGTCTGCGTGGTTAGAAATTTTCCGAGGTGCGCGTCGCGGAAATTCTGGGCCGTGCGGAGGCGCGGTGGAGGGGCGTGGTTGTTAAAATGACGCAACTTTTCCGCGCGGAGCCGTGCGAACCTCGCGGACGCGTCAAGCATAAACCAACCTTTACTCATGATAAAATACCAGGTGATCAGTAAACAGTGAAAGCTAACCTGTATGCTCCACAGAAACAAAAGGCAAAAGCTCCAATGCCCCCTAGCCAATCAGCATCCAGAATCACGGTGCTGAATGATTCAGCCTTGCCAGGTACCTCAACAGAGCAGGGACTAAACATAGAAGAGAAAGTGGAGGTAAAATACCGAACCGTGCCCATGGGAACAGTGGTGGGCCGAGCTGCATCGGTCAGAGTTACTCTTGAGTAGTGCTCCTGGGAAAACTACCATAGCAGGGTAGCTGAGAACTGAGCTGAGGGAGCTGCTGTCCATCTTGATTCAGTCTCCTTTGGGAGTACCAACCCCACAGGTAAGAAGGTTACAGGGAACGGGTATATAGGAGGTAGGACTACAGTGTGGGGGTTATTGCTGAACTGACACTTGTGTGAGATTTAAAATGAGATAATTTCATTCTGACAAGTTGCTGCTGTTAAAAATGACTGGAGGCAGATCTCTCCCACTTGAAGATGCTGTGGGACCTGTTGGCGCTTGGAGGACACTTTGGGATTGATTCGACTACACGTGATGGTTTGAATTTTGACAAGCCTACAGTTAATTAGCATTAGCCATGTCGTTGTTGTCCTCTTCCTCCGCTTGTCCGGGTCGCGGGGGCAGCATCCCAACTAGGGAGCTCCAGACCGTCCTCTCCACAGCCACCTCCATCAGCTCCTCCGGCAGGACCCCAAGGCGTTCCCGGACCAGATTGGAGATGTAACCTCTCCAACGTGTCCTGGGTCGACCCGGGGGCCTCCTGCCGGCAGGACATGCCCGAAACACCTCCCCAGGGAGGCATCCAGGAGGCATCCTGACCAGATGCCCAAATCACCACAACTGACTCCTTTCGATCTGGAGGAGCAGCGGTTCTACTCCGAGTTCCTCCTGAATGTCCGAGCTCCTCACCCTATCTCTAAGGCTGAACCTGGCCACCCTACGGAGGAAACTCATTTCGGCCGCTTGTATCCGCAATCTCGTTCTTTCGGTCGTTACCCAAAGCTCATGACCATCCTCAAACCGGTGATAAAGGGCAGCCCTGGCAGAGTCTAGCCCTGACCGGGAAGAGGTTTGACTTACATCCGGCTATGCAGACCAAACTCACGCTCCTCTGGTAATGGCCCTTAACAAAAGGCCACCCACTCCATACTCGTGGAGCGTCCCCCACAGGGTGCCCCTGTGGACACGGTCATAAGCCTTCTCCAAATCCACAAAACAAATGTAGATTGGTCGGGCAAACTCCCATGCCCCCTCCATCACCCTTGCAAGGGTATAGAGCTGATCCACAGTTCTACGGCTAGGACGAAAACCACATTGCTCCTCCTCAATCTGATATTCAACTATTGATTTGACCCTCTTCTCCAGTACCTTGGAGTAGACCTTTCCAGGGAGGCTGAGGAGTGTGATCCCCCTATATTTGGAACACACCCTCAGATCACCCTTCTTAAAGATGGGGACCACCACCCCGGTCTGCCACTCCACAGAAACTGCCCCAGATGACCACGCAATGTTGCAGAGACGTGTCAACCACGACAGCCCTTCAACATCTATAGCCTTGAGATACCCAGGACAAATCTCATCCGCCCCCGGGGCTCCGCCGCTGTGTAGTTGTTTGACTACCTCAGCAACTTCTGCCCCTGAGATTGGACAGTCCATCCCCAGGTCTCCCGGCTCTGGTTCCTCCTCGGAATGCGCGTAGGTGGGATTGAGGAGCTCCTCAAAGTATTCCTTCCACCATCTGACTATAACCCCAGTTGATGTCAGCAGCTCCCCATCCCCACTGTAAACAGTGTGAGCGAGTTGCTGCCTCCCTCTCCTGAGGCGCCGGACAGTTTGCCAGAACCTCTTTGGAGCCGATCGATAGTCTTTCTCCATGGCCTCACCAAACTCCTTCCATGCCCGAGATTTAGCCTCGGCAACTGCCACTGCTGCACCCTGTTTGGCTGTCCGGTACCTGTCTGCTGCCTCCGGTGACCCACAGACCAGCCATGCCCTGTAGTCCTCCTTCTTCAGACTGACAGCTCCCCGATCCTCTGGTGCACACCAGCGGGTACGGGGGTTGCCACCACGACTGACAGCGGCCAACTTGCGACCACAGCTAGCAACAGCCGCCTCAACAATCACAGAGTGGAACAAGGCCCACTCGGAGTCAATGTCCCCCACTGCTCTCGGGACGCGGTCAAAGCTCTGCCGGAGGTGGGAGTTGAAGACCGTCTTGACTGGTTCTTCTGCCAGGCGTTCCCAGCAGACCCTCACTATGCGTTTGGGTCTGCCAGGTCTACGCGGCATCTTCCCCTACCATCTGATCCAACTCACCACCAGGTGGTGATCAGTTGACAGCTCCGCTCCTTTCTTCACTCGGGTGTCCAAAACATACGGCCGCAGGTCAGATGATACGACTACAAAGTCTATCATCAACCTACAACCTAGGCTGCCCTGGTACCAAGTGTACCAATGGGCATCCTTATGTTCGAACATGGTGTTCGTTATGGCCAAACTGCGGCTTGCACAGAAGTCCAATAACGAAACACCACTCGAGTTCAGATCAGGCGGGCCGTTCCTCCCAATCACACCCCTCCAGGTCAAGCTGTCATTGCCCACGTGAGCATTGAAGTCCCCCAGCAGGACAATGGAGTCCCCTGATGGAGTACTATCTAGCACTCGTCCCAGGGACTCCAAAAAGGGTGGGCACTCTGAACTGATATTTGGCCCATAAGCACAAACAACAGTCAGGACCCGTTCCCCAACCCGAAGGTGCAGGGAAGCTACCCTCTCATCCCCTGGGGTAAACCCCAACACACAGGCAGAGAGTCTTGGGGCTAACAAAAAGCCAACCCCAGCCCTCCGCCTCTTACCCAGAGCAACTCCAGCAAACGAGAGTGTCCAACCCCTCTCAAGAACTTGGGTTCCAGAGACAATGCAATGTGTCGAGGTGAGTCCGACTATATCTAGCCGGTACCGCTCAACCTCTGCCACAAGCTCCTGCTCCTTCCTCGCCAGAGAGGTGCCGTTCCATGTCCCAATAACCAGTTTCCTTGTCCGGGGATCGGACCGCCAAGGTTCCCGCCTTGGTCTGCCACCCGATCCACACTGCACCGGACCCGTCATGTTCCTCCTGCGGGTGGTAGGGGTTGTATGAACTAGTCGACTAGTCGACTTCACGGCTCTGTAGTGACTTTTTATGCCTGTCATCGACTAGTCGCTGTCACGTGATAATGACTGACAAGATGCAGTCCTCCAGCAGGTGATGAGCCCCTGCGTCGGGAGGCGGAGGCGACACGCTGTGCCAGAGCGTTGGTACTGACACCGGCGGTAAAACAGACATTTAACCAAACTGTGACCTTTTCCCTCTTGCAATTTTACCTTCCCCTCATCCCCATCCTAACCTTAACCAGCTTGCGCATGCAAAGCTCTGATCGTTGACGCGCTCCAGACATCTGCGTCCTGAGCACCGCCAAATCAGGTGTCACCACCTCAAAAACAAATTAAACATGCGATCGTTCATGTCGGCTCATTTCCTTTCATGATTTCTGTCTGTTATTTGTGCCTGATGCGTTTCGCTGCTGCGGAGCGAGGCTCTTCACCTGTTTTTTTCTCCGGTGACGCACCCCCAAGATTCCACTATCTCCGCTCCGGCACGAACTCCGCAGCAAAAACGGTCCCGTTGTAGTCGGCCGGCGAGCAGCGGCACTCCGCTGTTTTTGCGGTCGGTAGATCTTTTAGAACTGCAGTTCAAAGGTAACTCATGAGGTGAATATATATGAACCCAGGTAGCAGTTTCTCTTTAGGACTGAGAGGAGATGCAGGAAGATAATAAACAGGCGGGACAGAAAAATAGTCAAATAAAAACAAGTTAGTTTTTGTACCTGGTGGTTGCAACAAACAGACACCACTGAAGGTAATCAGAAGTGAGGAACAGAAAATGAAAAAATTATTTTAACGTTTAGAGCAGCAGGAACTCTGAGAGGCTGCAGGCGCATCAGTGAGTTTGCGGCCGCTGCGCAGGGGGAGGGGGGAGAGGGCTGAAGCAGAAACTACCGTTGTTAAAAGAAATGTGTTTAACTTTGAAAATGTGGGCGCAATTTTAATTGTCAAAAACTCCAGCGAACCTACCGACCCCCCCCCCCCCCCCCCCCCCCGCTTCAGTTGTATGACGTCATCGACGACTGGTCGAAGTCGACTCGATTTTCATTACTTGACTGTCGACTTTAAAAAAAATTAAGTCATGCAACCCCTAGCGGGTGGTGGGTCCACAGTTGGGTGAGCCCATGTATGCGGTTCGGGCTGGACCCGGCCGGGACCCATGGGCGAAAGGCCGGCCACCAGGCGCTCGCTCACGGGCCCCAACCCCAGGCCTGGCTCCAGGGTTGGACCCCGGTAACCCTCCGGGCCGGGTACTCCGACTCTTTGTTTTTACATCCATGAAAGATCTTCTGAACCAGCTGTTTTTGATTACAGTGAATTGGTTGTTGATGAACACCTAGACGTAAAACACATGAAGTCACAACACAGTAATGCTCCCCATGGTGCTTCAGTATAAGATGTGGCTGTGATGTGGGTGCAGCGTCTACTCGATTAAAGAGAAAACGAGATGAAAACGCTTACGCTTGTTTGGGCCAATAAATGCTGTAGCCAAATGTCCCGGTTTAAATGAGTCCGTTGGTTTATTTACACGTTTTCTTCATCATTATAAATATCTCAGATTTTCTTAGACTATTGTGATAATTTGGAAACTATACCCCCAGACACACACACACACACACACACCAAACTCCGATGCAGTGAATGACTGCTAACAACTGCTAGCTTTAGCTATTATTAATAATGTGAAGTAGCTGCACTGACCGTGTTCAGTCAGCTCAGTTGTAGATCTTCAGAACAGGTATTTAGTTATATTTGTTAATGGTTATTTTAAAATATTCAGATTTATGTGTATAAAACATGTAGGGTTGCTAGTTTAACTCTTAACTGAAGGCAGAGAAGCTCACCCTTTTGTCTTTATATCCTGTAATCAGTAATAATCTAATGAATTTACCCTGCAGAACCAGACATGAAGCTCTGCAGAAACTGGTCTCCTTCTTCCAGCTCAGCAAAGATGAAGCTGATGGAGGAGCGACTCCGACCAAGTACGACCTCCGTAGCCGCACATGGATGTCTCAGGCTGTTTGTTTACTTCATTAATGTTTTTATTCCTTGTGTTTTTGTCCCAAGTTCTGAGACATCACGTAAGTAGATGTGTTTGTCTCTTTCCATGACTCCAGTGCTCTATCATCACTGATAACCGTTAAGCTAATGGTGTGGGTGCTTGCTGACCACTTCAGGGTGTTGACGGTCTAAACGTCACTCGGGTTCAGAAAATGGAAAATCCCTGGAGCCAAACTTTTATCTGCTCTTAAGTAATCTGGAGACGAGCTGGTGTTGCATATTTTACAGACAGCAGTTGAACGTTGATGTGATGTTTGTGTCTCCTGGTCTTTATCTAGACTTCCTGAGCTCCGTGGAGGAGCCTCTGTATCCGTAAGTGTTGAGTTTCTGCCTGCTCAGCTGGAGACGCTTGGCTCACTCAGCATCATTTGTTATTTCCATTCAAAGGAAGCTTTCATCTTTCTGACATCCTCTCCTTTAGCTGATGTTCTGTTTTGTTTTAAGTGACACTGAAGAAGAGGTTGACTTCACTGAGGTGGAGCTGCTCCCCCCACCACCACTGTATGCCGACTACTTCTGATCGACTCCCGTGAATCCTGCCGTGTATTAAATGAACTTCCTGTGGGGACAGGAAGTGATCATGACACCTGAATCAAACGATTGCACCACCAGTGTCCACTACTCACTAATTCTATCTTTGTTCACTATGAAACACAGACGCTGCACTGGAGCTGTTAAAAAGGGAGAAGTTGGCGATAAAAGTTCTGATTCTGTACTAAAATGTTCTTTGCTGTTTCAAATAAATATTTGACTTGATGTTTTTGCCACATTCCCGGTGCGTGTCTGGTTTTTCACTCAAACTGATCGTGTTGAGTTACTCAAAGTGAGGAAACGGAAAGCCATGAGTTATTCAGGCAGGATGGTGCTGCTGGGGTTTCTGGGGAAGAGGAGGAGGAGGAGCAGGAGGAGGGGTTTGTTACTGCAGGACTTAAAGCAGCTCAGCGAGGAGCTGGGAAAGATAGGAGGGCTGACCCAAACCGAGACTTGCATGAGTGAGGACTCATGTTAAAGCAGACTCAGCAGAACTAGTGGTTTATCTAGTTAGAGCTGAACTAGTGGTTTATCTAGTTAGAGCTGAACTAGTGGTTTATCTAGTTAGAGCTGAACTAGTGGTTTATATAGTTAGAGCTGAACTAGTGGTTTATCTAGTTAGAGCTGAATTAGTGGTTTAGTTAGAGCTGAACTAGTGGTTTAGTTAGAGCTGAACTAGTGGTTTATATAGTTAGAGCTGAACTAGTGGTTTATCTAGAGCTCAACTAGTGGTTTATCTAGTTAGAGCTGCACTAGTGGTTTGTTCTGAGCTCAACTAGTAGTTTTACTCCCCGTTAGTTGGAAACCGAGCGGTTTAAATGCAACGCTTTCTGATTTATAAGAAGACGATGGCAGCAGAGATGAAGAGCGGCGGGACCTCCTGCAGCAGCAGCAGCTGTAAGGAGCAGAGGAGCAGCAGGCTGCTGGTCACTGTGGATCTCTTCTGCCTGTTCTTAGGTAAGAACATCCTCACACACACACACACATCTCTACAGCCGCTCAGTCACGTTTAACCTGAACCTAAAGGTTTTATTGTTCTTTACTCATCATGGTCTCCACAGCCAGGACATTATTCTCAAACGTTGCACTGAACTATTGAAATGTAACCCCTTAAAGCCGTAAACTAATCCTCTGTAACATGTTCTAGCGTTGGATCAATAACCTGATGTCGTAAACAAAATCACAGCGAACCACTCGACATTCAAAACCACTCATTTATCATATATTAGTACGGAAACGATATAGACTAAAACAGTCTTGTAAAATATTCTCAAATATTGAACAATTAACAGTTATTGAAGTATAAATATTTAGTTTATTATTAAATATGTTGCCAAACCAGCTTCAAAAGCAACAAAAACGACATTTAAGTTACAGAAACAGTTTAGGACTAATAAGAAATATGTTGAGCTAATGCTTTCAGGTTTTTAAATTTAATTAGCAATGTAGTTGTAACTGACTGTTAGAATGGCTGAATATAATACTTAAGCTAAATAAGGATTTTTCTTTTTTTGTTTGTTTTTAGGAAGGCTTTGTGTTTTCCACATCTGACATTATCCTGACTCCTGGTTTTCCTCAGTAGGAATGTGTCTACTTAGTGGAAACTAATAATAATAATAATACATTTTATTTAAGAGCGCCTTTCAGAACACCCAAGGTCACTTGACAGAAAATACGTTCAGAAAATACAATAAAACAGCAATAATACAGCAATGAAACAACAATAAAAACGCAAAGAAGAAAAAAAGAAGAGAGAAACAGTTCAATAAAATCAGAGGTCATTGGCAGATTTAAACATATGTGTTTTGAGTCTGGTTTTGAAAAGGGTGAAACTGTCAATGTTCCTGATGTCTGGGGGGAGTGAGTTCCAGAGACGGGGAGCAGAGCGGCTGAAAGCTCTGCTCCCCATGGTAGTGAGACGGGCAGAAGGAACAGCAAGATGGATGGAGGAAGACGATCTGAGCGAACGGGAGGGGGTGTGAATACTTATAAGGTCTGAGATATGTGGAGGAGAGAGGTTATGGATGGCTTTGAAGGTATGGAGGAGAATTTTGAAGATGGACCTGAATTTAACTGGGAGCCAGTGAAGCTGCTGGAGAACCGGGGTGATGTGGTGAAAGGAAGGGGTTCTGGTGATAATACGGGCTGCTGAATTCTGGACCAGTTGCAGTTTATGAAGGAGTTTGTTGGGGAGACCATAAAGAAGTGAATTGCAATAATCGAGACGGGAGGTGACGAGGCTGTGGACGAGAATGGCGGCAGTGTAATGAATGAAGTAGTCCTGGGGAGAGGCCATGACTCCCTCCTCTCCACCCACACCTGTACCTTATGAACCTCTGTTTTGACTTATGTTCCCATGGCTCACATTCCTCAGCAGCAGGAATTCTTCTGATGTGAACATCTGGCCTGGTATACTAGAGTGCAGCTTAATTAAGGGAAGTGGTCAGAGGTTTGGACCGTGTGTGTGTGTGTGTGTGTGTGTGTGTGTGTGTGTGTGTAGTTGTAGGTGAAACACTTTTATTCTGGCGGTCTGCGATCACTCAGACTTTGTACTTTTTGTCGTGTTTTTTCTGTGGTATAATCACACATTTACAGTAAAACTTGAGTATAAAACCTGAATACAAGAAGTAGCAACTTTGCCACATAACTAAACATGTGGCAACATCATAGGAAATCCAGTTATTGTCAACAGTCTCGTAGAGGAGCCACAGAATAAACTATCTGTTTCTGACTTGTTATATTTAGGTTTGTTCCAGTTTTCATCTCTGGAAGGTAAATTCCCATCCTTTGTTCTGTAGACGTCCCATGGAGAAACACTAACAAACCAACAGTGTTTGTCTAAAGAGGACAACCGCCTGTCCGCTTTTCATCTGCGTTTCCGGGTTACTGGGGCAGCAGCTCCAGCTTGGAGGCCCAAACCATCTTCTTGGTGACCTCCACCAGTGGGATCCTAAATAGTTCCCTGGCAAACTTCTTCCACCAAACATGTCACCCTCCACCCCATGGCAGCACCCAGAAATTCTGTTCATAAAGGTAAGGAACAGAACGAGTGACAAAGGACATCCCTGGCTGAGTCCAACCCTCACCTGGAACAGGTCTGACTTGCTGCCAGCAGTATCCAGACTCACTTTGTACAGAGACTGGATGGTCTTTAACAGGACCATCAACCACACATCTCCAGACTCCAGAGTAGTCCTCCGCCAGGACCAAAACCACATTGCTCCTCGTTTGAGATTTTAACTGTCAACCAGACCCTCCTCTCAAGTACCTGGTAGCAGAGACGAACTGGCAATCTGAGTTCTGGAAAATCCCAGAAAAATTGTCCAGCCCCCCATCAAAGATTCCCCGTCATAGGATCAAACAGGCTGTAACAACGTCCAGCTGCTCAGACAGTTAGTTCATGAAAGATCTGCGACGGTCAGACACATGGAGATCCTCCAGGACTGAATGGTGCATGGTGGCGCAGTGGTTAGCACTGTTGCCTCACAGCACGAAAGTTGCAGGTTCGAAACTGCTCGGCTGCGGCCTTTTTGCGTGGAGAAGTGGGGATCTTTACAGTATGTTCTGATGGGAAACAGGCTTCCACACAAACGGTTGTTTTCTGCTTGGTCCTAGAGCTCAACCAGTGTCAATTTAATATAGCGTAATATTGTTTTTGGATGGTAAAAAGTGCAGGGGTCAAAACTTGACTTTGGAAAAAGTGGGGGGGGGCATGTCCCCCCTGTCCCCCCCAAAATTACGTCCATGGAGGAGAGACCCCCTGCGGTGTGTCCTCAATGGAATTTGTGTCTAGTGATTGAGGAGCTCCTCAAAGTATTCTTCCATCATCCAAGGTGACTTCTTCCATCTCTATAAACAGTGTGGGTGATTATTTATTGAAGCCCCCCCAACCCCCACCCCACACACACACACACACACACACACACACACACACACACACGAGTTTTGCAGACACATGAAGTATGAAGTAGAAACAACCACACGCGTGTGCACGGCAGCCTCAGACATGTTGATGTTCACATGTTCCCACAGCAGACGGGGAGCCATCCCCGCGAGTGGAAAATGAGCGCAAGTTTGTTTTAACAGTCACACTTGGTGTTTTGGCGAACGTCCCCAGAAGACGGCGAGCATTTAACTGTGCATGAGGTGTGTTAGTTTCCACATGCTGCAGCAGCACGAACACGCCACGCTGCTGAGAAGGTCCTCGTCGGGCCACCTTTGCTTGTTGCGTGTGGAGACTTTAGGTTAATGAAGCAACCCATAAACAGAACAGCTGTTGACGCTGAGCTGAAGCTGAACTGGGATCAGGACCACCAACATCACTGCGTTAGATGTGGCCTGAGCAGGGCGAAGGTAGGAGGGGGAAAGTCCCATGATGCCGCGGTGCTGAGGCGGATGCTGGAGGTCAGAGTACAGAGCCGGGAAGAAATCCCCGTCCGAATGCCTGGAAAACAGGATCTGACTGTGACTTTCTGCTCCAGGTCATCATATCTTCTGTTTCCAGAGTCGTGTGAAACATCTGACCCTCTTTAGGGTTTAAAGCCACAAACACTAGTTTGCTGTCCCTCCGTCTGTGCTCATCTCTGGGCCTGTGGTTAGTCTGTCAGACGGGGGGGTCCAGGCTCGTGTTCTCCAGCATGGGTTCCCGAGTTCTGCTCTCGGACCAGATGAACCAAACTGGGTCAGAAGTTCAGGACTGAGTCCAGGGTTGGAGTATGTTTTTACAGTTTTGCAGTGTCTGTGGTCTTGCTTCAGAGTGGAACGCACCCCCGTTTGGGCGTTTATTTAAAGAAGGAATCAAAGCAGGAACGTTAATAACGGGAATCCTGCTGAATGTTGAGGAACGCATAAATCCTGGACTTCCCAGAGCACCAGGACTTAGTCTGTAACATGAGCTCAACCCAGCTGGATGTTTAAAGACCCAAGTCAGCCATGTGTGTGTGTGTGGAGGGGGGGTGTTGACACTTCGTCTCAGAGCTGGTTCCCCCTGCCCCCGCCACCTCTTCTGCTTGTTTTTCTAATATCTGCACATCGCTGACGAGTTGAAGGCTCCATGTGGCTTTGAAGTGATTTGAAAGTGGGATTTCCAGCTTCTGTCTGGAGTTTGGAGACGTCTCCTGGGTCCGCCGTCCACCCTCACATATCCAAGTCCTCCATCGTAAAAAGCTGTTGGTTTTAGCTTTTGGGTTCTGTTTGTCTGGAGATGAGAAGATCCTTGTGCTACTTGAAGTGGTGAAAGACCGATCAGACACAAACGCCCCAGAGACGTCCAGAAGACGGCCTTTTGAAGGAACCTCAGAAGACAACAGGGCTCACAGGTTTTTCTGTTCAGCAACCTTCAGTTTTCAATCTCAGCTGAAAATGTTAATTAATCCTCATTTAGTCTTTATTCACCAAGCAAGATCTAATGTCTATGACTTTGTCCCTCTGTAAGATGTCCACCTCTGACCGTACTGGACGTCCACAGGCTCCTCACATCAAACATCCTCGGGTGCCCGACTGTAACCCAACCCGGATTTGGTTGTTCTAGACTAAAATTTGAGATTTAAGAACAGTTTCAGAACAGTGATTTTTCTCCTGCTTCTGGTGAGGTCCTGCTCCGAAGCTCCGAAGTCTTCCCGTCAGGACCTCTCACGGTTCTAATCCTGTTTTACACAATTCTCCTATACTATAGAATAATGAATCTGTCTTTCCTGAACTAGAGCAGATCAAAGATGGAAACATTCAGTAGAATTTTGTATCTGAGACTAAGGTTGTCCCAAAGTGGTCACCATCCTGCCTTGACCATCGACATATAAATATTGGACAATGGGTTTCCATAGGCTCCAATAACACGTTTTTGAGGACAAATGGGAGAAATGGGAGGTGGCCACCACCGCCATTTTGACCGTGTCACAGGTTCCGTCAAGCCCAGACAATTACACAAAAGGGAAGAGAGGTGGAGCTGAGGGTGGGGCTGTAAGGCTGGGATCAACTGACGACACCCGGTCGAACTAGCTACAAGCTAACCTGAAGCTAACGTGGAGGTGGGAGCTAACCTAGCTGCAACCGGAGTTAACTGTGCACAACACCAGAGCTTCTGAGTCAGAGATACGCCGGGCTGGCCACTGGGTAAAACCAGGTGGAACACAGAGGTCTCCTGAAAGCTGCTGAAAGCCGGCAGCCGCGCAGTAGACAGAAGCCGCGATCAGACAGAGATGCGCTGAGCTGCGGGGAGGGGAGAATCGGGTGGAACACAGAGGTCTCCCGAGAGCTCCACAAGCCGATAGTGGGAACCCAGCTCCACCAACATGTTAGATTTCAACCCATTTTCTAAAGTGCAGCATTATGTTAAATGCACTGGGTTTTACCCTATTACATTTAAATTTCATGGTTAAACAGTACATGTTAAAATCTAAGCTCAGCTCGGCAGTGACCTAAAATACATAAATATAATTTTACTTACCGAAAAAAATGAAGTGGAGACTCCTTGGACGCTCTATTAGTGCAATTAATGCCACAGCAAGTCATTTTGTCCAACAATTGCACAAAAAATATCCCAAACAGAATACACACACAGAGACTCAAAATCCCGGAACAGTTTCCAGGCCAGACCGAGGCTCTACTGAGGCCTTTCCACGGAGCTAGCTCTGTGGTCACGTGGGTCTGATGCTCATTAATTACACAGAATTTTAGGCTTTTAATACACTTAAACAGAAGAGTGAGAAAAAAATTCACCCCCCTCAGAGTTGTCATGAGTGTAAACTAGATCATTTAAACCAAAAACATGTGTTGGTACCAGGCTGTAAACATGTTTATTTCTGCTGTGAAATTGGTATTTTTAACATGGGAGTCAATGAGGATTTGCTCGCTTCTGACACCAGCCCCTAGTGGATGAGCGTGGAACTGCAATTTTTGGTACTTCCGGGATTGCTTCAATTTTTGAGCCGCATTGTGGGGGCTTGGCCTTGACCCAGATGAATTCAGAACTTTCCGCTGTGTTCCTGAGCTCCTGCCTCATGTGTCTGTCCAACCACACAGTGATCCTTGTGGGAGTGTTTTTGCACAAGTCTCCCTACCCACCCTACCAGAGAGGGTTCTTCTGTGACGACGACAGCATCCGTCTGCCGTTTAAGAACAGCACGGTGTCCACCGCCGTGCTCACCGCGGTGGGCGTCGTCGTGCCTGTGGTCTCTGTAAGTCCTGGTGTGGGACAGCGGCAGGACAGGACGAGCATATGCTGGAGCGCACTCGGTTCATCAGTGGCTGGCTTTCAACACACAATAATCAAACCCCCAGAGGCCCTCGCCTACTGCACCCAGCATTCAGACTGAGCCACGACACTTCAGGCAGCCATTGTTTCACCACTTTTCCACAATAAATCAGCCTCTAATTCACCAGGACGCACCAATGAAGCGTAGCGTTTCTGTTGGCTCGGGGTCAGGTGTGACAGGTGTGGTTCCTCCAACTTTCCACATCAGCTGAACAGTTCTCTGGCTTTCAGGAGTGTGGAGCATCCACAATCCTCAGCTGATGGAGAGCCTCACATCCAAGAACAGCCACAGAACAAACCGAGTCACTCCCAGATGTTCTCCTGCCACCTCCTGCTGGTACCACCTCCTCTGTATTCTGCGTTTAATTAACCCACCACCTCCATCTCTCTCTCCTTCACCCCCTCCCTCCCTCCCTCACTAACTAGCTGGCCTGCCTTTCCTGGTCATTGAGACCTGTGCTGTCCCACCCTACCGTAGAGGCTTTTACTGCAGCGACCAGTCCATCCGCTACCCGGCCAAAAACGGGGACACCATTAGCGACGGTGTGCTCAGCGCTGCGGGCATTCTGATCACCATCCTGTCTGTAAGTCACCTCACTCTGATCACTAATGTTCACCATCACCGCCTGTTTCAGCAAGCCTCACAGCTACTAGCAGCACCTTAGATCACAGGATGGTTCCTCCTCATCCCTCTAGGTGTCGACTCTTAAACCAGCTTCATTTTTTTTGTTTTAACTTTCATCCTTTCTTTAATCTGACAGCTGATGTGTAGAAACTAGGATTATTTTAAAAGATTAGTAGACCGTCTCATCTTCATACACGGACCATCAGCCCGTGTTTCTGGTTTCAGCAGGTTCTAGATAAAAACCTGTCATTAAAGGGTTCATCCGGAGGAGCGAGATGATTCATCATTGGGTGAATCTGAAGGAATTTTCCTCTCAACATCGTCACACACAGTCATCACCAACGTTTTGAACTCTTCTCAGTTTAGTTTGAGTGAAAATGTGTAACAGATGTGAGCCAGCCGCGAGAAGGGCTAGTGACCACGTTAAAGTAAACATCAACTTCAGACGAGCTGAGACCCAATTAGACAAAGTCTCTAACATCCAGAACAGATCTAGGTGGTGCTCTAAAGAGGGCCGCATTCCATGTAGAGGCTCTGCTTGTCATCAGTTTTCCTGAAAACCCAGCTGCAGGAGTGGAATGCAGCCCTTGTTAGTACACCTGTGCTTTCTTAACCTGTCTGATGAAAGTAGAGCTCGAGTCGGCTTTCTGTTCTATTTTCTTCAAACTAGCCACCCATTGGTCTGATTACTGCTTTACACACTCTTGGCATTCTCTCGATGAGCTTCAAGAGGTAGTCGCCTGAAATGGTTTTCATCACTTATCAGGGTTATTATTAGAGGTGCTGAAAAAAATCAATTCAAGTGTGAATCGGGATTCTTATTTATAAAGATTCAGAATCGATTCCAAGAACTCAAACATTTGGCATGTTACAGGTCTGAGATGCACTTTTTTATCTTTGTTAGGAGAGCCAGTACTGCGTTTACTTTTGTGCTCCCATAAATTGAGATGATTTATGTTTGAATCTGCTGATAAGAGGGCAATTGAATGTCATTTTTTTCATACTCAGAAATTTGAGATATTCTCTTATTTATTTTCTAATTTGATAAATGAGTACTCAGGATTACTCATGTAACTTGTTTCTACACATACTTGATAAGTATTTGACCGTATTACTTTCAAAACTACCGTTAGGTAACTACAGATTTGCTATATTTTACAAGGTAAGCAAAAATAAATGTTGCCTTTTGGTCAAAAGATTGTTTCTGTTTACAGTTTTAGAATCACTTTAGTTTACATTGTAAATTCACATATTTGGAGCACGACCAGTTTAAAGTCAAATAAAAACGTCCCATAGCTTTAACTAACTTGTACAACAAAGTAGTTCATCCTGGAGCTGACACTCTTTGTTAATACTGATTGTGAATCGATTTAAATAGAGAATCGAATCCGAATTGAATCCTAATCGAATCGGCACTCCAAGAATCGGAATCGAATCAAATCATAACTTGCTCTAAGATTCACATCCCTAGTTATTTACATATATATATACATGTAAATATACGTATTAATGTATATATATGTATATATACATATATTTACATATATATGTATATATATGTAAATATATGTATATATATGTATATATACATATATTTACATATATATGTATATATGTGTATATATATTAACATATATACATATGTAAATTATATATATATATATATATGTATATATGTATATATATATATATATATATATGTATATATGTATATGTATGTGTGAATATATATATATATATATATATATATATATGTGTGTGTGTGTGTGTGTGTGTGTGTATATATGTAAATATATGTATGTAAACGCACGTAACACGCAACTCCATGCAGAAAGGCAACAGCCGAGTTTCGAACTTGCAACCTTCGTGCTGCGAGGCAACAGTGCTAACAACTGCACCACCATGCAGCCCTATATATATATATATATATATATATATATATATATATATATATATACAAGCACTTGTTTAAAGTAAAGCAGAATAGTTGATTTGGAGATTTTGGAGGAAAACAAATTGTTAGTCGCCATTTGTGGTTTATATCTCACTGACTTTACTAAAAAACAGACATCTGATTCCCGAAACGTGACTAAATCCATCAAACATGACTGCAGGAAGAAAGGCCCAGAAATTAGAAAACGGTCCACCTATCAGATCAGGGAGTCTGACGCTTCCAGGTTGCAGCTACACAGGTTTGCTTCCACTTGAACACTAAATACAAACTCTTTGTTCTTTTAGTTTTAGCATTTTTTTTATTTGAAACTTATTTAATGGTGATTAAAAAAAGAAAGAAGAACAGATAAGCTAACTTTTAGCCACAGAAACCAACTAAACTCCAGCCATCACAACTTTGGAGCAACAACCTAAATGTGGGCTAACAGCTGATGCCCTAGTAACAGCCTAGCAACCGTGTAGCTGTGCTTTCAGAGCCCTCTTTAACACCTCGGTAACCACACAGCGACGCGTTAGCAGCACAGATGGCTAATTTGTGTGCAAACAGATCCCTGCAGCATGCTGCGGGCATCTGGCTGCCTTAGAAGAAGTGACTGTTTACCTCCTGGTGGTGTGTTCAGTTGTCACCTGGACTGTTGGATCTCCAGACTGCTACACACCCCACAGAGCTTCTCCCTGGTGAGAAGCTGTAATTATGGTTGACGCAATGCTTGTTTGGTTAAATGCTGTAATTTCTGGGGTGAGACTGCGGTTTTGGGCCCAAACATCGAGAGTTTACCAGAGATCTCTTTTCCCTCTCCTCACCGCCTCCGGCTCATGGCTCGCCGTTCGAGCTGCAAGACCCTGGCGCTGGTTTTTATTAGGAGGCAGAATAAAAACACGAGTGAGACTACAGTCCACATTCACTCTTTCACTCACGAGGAGATCCAGACGTGTTGTCCCCCCCTCCCGTCCTCCCTCTACCATGAAAATGTCTGGGTCATCTGGAGCTGGCTCCAAAGGCCTGGATGGGGGGGCTATCCTGCCTCTCTGAGCGTTTCCCAGCATCCAACTGGCTCCTGATGAAATCTAGAGACTAGGATGAAAACAGTCAGACGTTCCTGGTGAAACCGGAGCTCCTTCAGAGAAAACAAACAAGGGCCTGGTGGAGTCTGGCCTCCAGAATCTGACACGGCGCCCAGCTCAGCAGTTCTGCTGATTGGAACCAGCAGTTCCTCCCACACCCTCCCCCACTCCTCTCACTTTCTACCATAATTGCACGCTGCTGATGTGTTTTCGTCCTCCCTGCTTGTGATAACCTGTCTTCTGTCCCTTCTCTGTGTCTCTGGAGGACAACAGCGGGCGATGGGGGGGCTGGGTAAAATGTTTTTGAGCTTGAACAGCTGTTTTGAGTCTTGGTTACTCGCCTCCCCCTAGATGTGCCCCCTGCCGGTTGGCTGTCGGTCTTTAGAAGTCTGCAGGAACTCCGTCTCTGTGCTTAAAGGTTCTCCTTACTCCGTGTTTGCTCAGATCATAATCGGGGAGAGCTACAGGATCCACTTCCTGAATGAGGGATCCAAGTCATTTGTGGGGAACCCCTACATCTCTGCCCTCTACAAGCAGGTGGGGGTGTTCATCTTCGGCTGTGCCATCAGCCAGTCCTTCACTGACATCGCTAAAGTCTCAGTGGGCCGCATGCGACCTCACTTCCTGGACGTGTGCAAGCCGGACTTCTCCACCATTAACTGCTCGCTGGGCTACATCACTGACTACCAGTGCCAGGGGCCGGAGGGCAAAGTTCAGGAGGCCAGGTATGGCAACATCACGCACAGAAGTTGGCTTGTGTTCAGACGTCTGGTGCTTTAAGTCTTTGTCCCCCTCAGGAAGTCGTTCTTCTCTGGACACGCGTCCTTCTCCATGTACACCATGCTTTATTTGGTGGTGAGTCAGCGTCCGTGTGTCCTTGTGCTCTGTTCTCCTTCACAAGTATAAACCTGGCGTCTGTTCTTCAGTTCTACCTGCAGTCTCGCTTCACCTGGCACGGCGCCCGCCTGCTGCGCCCGCTCACCCAATTCACCCTCATCATGATGTCCTTCTACACCGGCCTGTCTCGAGTGTCTGACCACAAGCACCACCCCACTGACGTCCTGGCCGGGTTCATCCAAGGGGCCCTGGTGGCCTACTGCATAGTGAGTGGACCCTGTCAGAGTTACACTTGTAACTGTAACTGATTACTGCTGGTGCTAAGAGTACTGTCATCTCCTCTCCCTGCAGGCGTTTCACGTGTCCAACTTGTTTAAACCCAGAGGACGACGCTCCACGTTGTGTCCAGCAGCTGTGAGGAAAGATCTCCTCCCTACCGCAGACATCAGAGAGCGTGGGAATCCCCTCATCATGGCCTGAGCCTGAACGCATCACGGACCTGCTCAACATCTCTGCAGCCGTTCGTCTCGTCTGGAGCTGCTGAGGAAGAACAGGGAAACACTCGGGCAGGTTGTTTGTCTCAGAGACGTTCCCATCTCGGAAAAGAGAGATAACGTTCTGTTTTATCACGTGAGGGCTCTTTGACCTCCTCTCCTGTTGTGAGGATCGCTGCTCAGGAGAAAAGGCGGCTGTTAACAGAGCTCACCTCACAGGGCTGCCTCTGACGCTGACTCACTTCGACAAATCAGGACGATACAAATTCCTGTTTCAGGAAGGATGTTTTCATTTGCTTTTTACTTTATTTTATACCGGCTTTTAGTGTTTGTCACCACTCCACCGACCCGTCAAAGCGTGTGTGTGTTCGTGCTGCGGGCCTTGTTCTGCTGGCTGGGATGAGCCCCCGCTGAGCCATTTAATGAAACAACTATCTTTTGTAAGCTGTGTGTGTGTGTGTGTGTGTGTGTGTGTGTGTGTGTGTGTGTGTGTGTGTGTGTGTGTGTGTGTGTGTGTGTGTGTGTGTGTGTGTGTGTGTGTGTGTGTGTGTGTGTGTGTGTGTGTGTGTGTGTGTGTGTGTGTGTGTGTGTGTGTGTGTGTGTGTGTGTGTGTGTGTGTGTGTGTGTGTGTGTTAAAGTCCATATATTACAGGGATATTGTTCCATCTCAGGAACGTTGTTAGGCTGAGTCCCATTCTGTCCCGCTCTGAACTTGAGACAGTTCTCCACACCTTCATCTCCTCACGCTTAGACAACTGTAACCCCAAAATTCCACTACCTCCGCTCTGGCACGAACTCCGCAGCAAAAATGGTCCCGTTGTAGTCAATCAGAGCTGTTCCACTACTGCGGCAGTGCAGCGCTGTGCGCCGACCGCCGTTCCGCCATCCGGCAAAAATAGGATCGATTCTATTTTCGCCGGAGCACCTCCGCAGTCAATGGACAGAAATCACAACCGCCCAACAGGAAAGGGAGCAAGCATAACTTCCGTTATTTCACAATAAATCGATAAACAAAAAGCGTTTTTTGTTTCATATGCACAGGTTTAACAACTTTTAACAACTATCAATGGCGGCTGAACTTTAAATGCACAAAAGTAAGCCATAAATACAGTTTCCACTATCAAAGTAGTCACACTTTGTTGATCCAAACACTGCTGATCTCTCAACACAAATGATGGGCAGATTAAACAGTTCATTTCGATGCTTCTCCCACACAACGGGTGTTTGGATCTAACTTCCGCGTTTATTGCTCGGACTGTATCGCAAGATCTCGAAAATCCCGCGCATGCTTGTTTACGCACCTCAGGTCTCCGTACCGGAGCGGAGCCGTTGTAGAGCGGGTACCAGTAAAAATTGAATTCGGAAGTGAGCGGCTGCGGAAGGCGGGGGCGGAGCGGAGATAGTGGAATCTTGGGGTAACTCTCTTTTCACGTGTCTGAGCAGAACCTCCCTGAACCGTCTACAGGTGGTTCAGAACGCCTGTGCTCGGCTTCTGACCAAGTCCTCCAAACACACCCACATCACCCCGCTTCTCCTCCAGCTTCACTGGCTGCCAGTCAACTTCAGGGTTCATTTCAAGATCCTGGTTCTGGTCTATAGGGCCTTACATGGACAAGCACCATCTTACATTGGTGATCTTCTTAGTCCCTACACCCCCAGCAGGTCCCTGAGGTCCAGTGATCAAAGCCTACTGGTTGTGCAGCACCAGGCTAAAGGTCAAAGGTGACAGATCATTTGCTGCTGTGGCCCCCAGACTCTGGAACTCTCCCCCTGAGCCTGAGATCAGTGGACTCAGTGGTCTCCTTTAAAAAGCAGCTGAAGACTCACTTGTTCAAGCTGGCTTTTGTATGACCTTCTTCACCTCTCTCTCTTTATTCTGCTCTCCCCACCTATTCCACCTTCCTCAGGATCCACTGATTTCCCTCTTTCCTGTTCACTCTCTCTTTCTTAACATTTTTTTAATCACAATTGCCTATTTTTGCTCATTTTAAATATATATTTTTAACATTTTCTAAATGCTTTTTTATTTTTTTTTTAGTTTTTGTGAAGGGCCTCGTGATTTTTATCTTGAGAGGCGCTGTAGAAATGATACTTTCTTCTTCTTCTTCTTCTTCTTCGAGTGTGCTACTCCCAGCCAGAAAATGGGTACCTGTCCCATAAACATGTGGAGCGCTATGGCAACAGAAATGATCAGCATAAATAACCATTATTCACCCTGTTTGGTTATCTGTAATACCTGTAATAGTTAAGTAAAATATCTTTGTAACTATAACGATTTTCTATATTTTATTAGATGAAAACAAGATTGAGTTTGTGATTTTGTTTAATGAACTTTGATGAACCACTGCGACACATCACAGCTCTGTTTGATGTAACTGAGACTTCTGTGCATTCTTGTTGTAAATTGCTGCAAAGTGTGTGTGCGTGCGTGCACGTGTGTGTGTGTGTGTGTGTGTGTGCGTGCGTGCGTGTGTGTGTGTGCGTGCGTGTGTGTGTGTGTTCTAACGCCCACTATGACTCTGTCCTGTGTAACTGAAAACGTACCTCTCGATGAGGCAGACATCTTTGACCACGCTGTGAAGTTTTACTCCTAAAACACAAAGCTGTCCAGAACTAACAGCTCCTGTTCATAAAACTAGAAAAGTGTTTTAAATATTTTTGTAATGTGAATTTATACGCGACCTAATAAAACCCAGAAGACTGAGTGTGTTTTGTGATGTTTTACCTGTACCTGCCAGGGTTTTCTGCTGAGTCTCTCCAGCCCAGCAGCGTTTGATGGAAAGATTTGGGTGTGGGGCGCTGCTAGACTTCCTGTGGGGAAATGGTGTACATTCCAGGTTTAACCCCTGTCCTTCTGGAATAATATAGACTCCGCCACATCCACATGCGAGTATGCTTAGACGATAGGGATGGTGTTCATGCACCGCCCTGTTGACCTCCGGCTCTGGCTTCAGTTGGCATCCTGAGATGATGGACTGCTGCTGTGGATCAGGCTCAGATCCTTGCTACGGGTCTGCGCTATCCTGGTTGTGGATGAGCAGCACAACAATGGGCCCCAGGATCTTGTCATGGTTTCTCTGTGCATTCAAAATGCCATTCAGAAAATGCACCTGTGTTCATTATCCATAACCTACACCTGCCCATACCATAACCCCGCCTCCACCATGGCCGCTTCATCCACAACGAGGATATCAGCAAACTGCTAAACCACTCTACTTACCGTAAAGAAATGAACATTTAACAAGCAAAAGAGCTGGTAGACATTCCTGCAGTCAGCATGCCAATTACTCCCTCGAAAGTTACGACACCTGTGGTGTTGTGCCGTGTGATCAGACCTCACATTTCAGAGCGGCCAGTCTGGGGCACCTTTCACAGGAAATGACTACATTTATCTGTGACTTTAATTTTTTTAAGTTTCTGAATGTTTCTCACTGCTTTCATGTCTGGTCCAATCTGAACTGTTTTTGACACGTTTGAGACTTAATGTTTTAAGTATGTGAGCATCTAATCGCTGATGATCTGTTAGAGGAATTTCAGTCTGGTTTTAGAGAGTATCACAGCACTGAAACTGCGTTAGTGAGAGTTACAAATGATATTCTCGTGGCCTCAGACAGGGGCGGCGTTAGGCCCGGCTACTTGGGCTGAAGCCCCGGATGTTTCATAGAAAGCCCCGGATCTGAATCGCGGAAGTAACATGCAGTACCAAAGTCCAACAGAGAGGGAGCAGCTGGCAGTAGTTTGTATACAGCCTGCCTGAGCCTCCACCACTGAAGAAGAAGCCCTTCAGCAGCCGGCTTCTTCTGCAGTCTCTGCCTGAAACGCATGAGTGAAGATGGACATAAGGACGTTTTTAGACCAAAAGTACCGCAACAGAACCCCAGCTTTGATGAGACTGGTGCTGACTCAGGTTTGTGAGTCTTATTTGAAAATATTTGTTGTGCTGCTGGTTTGCCTAAAGTTAGCTTACTATCAGGTAAAGTTGTTGGAGAAAGAAAGGGAATATTTACTATCATCTCACACTAACAGGAACAATACTCTGCCCTGAAAATGCTTAATATGTAGCTTCAGATTAAAAATTATGTGGTACAAGACACATATGATGTTGACGCGTGTCACGTGTGTGTGTGTGTTAAGCCCCGGATGTTCTTCAGTCCTTAATCCGCCCCTGGCCTCAGATAAGAATCTTGTGTCTGTTCTAGTCTTGTTAGATCTCATCGTTGTTATTAAAATCAATTAACCTAAGAGGTATTGAAAGAAATCACATAAATTTTCATGAAAATCTTAATAAAAAAGATCAGATCTTGTGAAATGTGATAAAAACTGCTGTGTCTCATCGGTCTGGTTTAGTAACATCACTGAGAAATGGTTTTGGGCGTCTAGAGCAATTAACATAGGGCCTGTTGAAAGAAATCACTTAATTTTTGATACAAATCTTAATAAAAAATGTTGGATCTTATGAAATGTGATAAAAACTGCTGTGTCTCGTTGGTGTAGCTTAGTAACATAATTGAGAAATGGTTTTGGGTGTTTTGACTAATTTACCTAGGAGCTATTGAAAGAAATCACTTTATTACTAATAAAAATCCAAATAATTCAATTAAATTCAATTTTATTCAAGTTTATTTATAAAGCGCCAAATCACGACCAGAGTCGTCTCAAGGCATTTCACATAATAAACATTCCAATTCAGGTCAGTTCATTAAGCCAATCAGAAATGTTTCCTATATAAGGAACCCAGCAGGTTGCATCAAGTCACTGACTAGTGTCAGTGACTATACAGCAATCCTCATACTAAGCAAGCATATAGCGACAGTGGAGAGGAAAACTCCCTTTTAACAGGAAGAAACCTCCAGAGAATCCTGGCTCAGTATAAGCAGCCATCCTCCACGACACACACACACACACACACACACACACACACACACACACACACACAAACCAAGCAGTGTTTCTATGGTTACATTGTGATTGCTTAGTAAATATTCTATTTGGTGAGAGATAAACTTTATTGTATTTATCCTAGTGAATCTCTAATTAAACGGGTAAACTAGTAGTAGCACATCCAACGTCAAGGAAAGCAAAAAGTTATTATCAGGAGAGGGAGAAAGTTTAAGTGGTTAGCAGCAGTGTGCTAGACGATGCCCCCCTCCATGAGGCCACCGCAGATCAGCAGAACATCGTTGTAGCTTCTTCTGGGGAGAAAAACAGAGAAAAAATAAAGTTAACAGCTGAAATAGCTGGAAATAATACAGTTAAAGAGCAGATTGTAGAAGAAAGTAGTCGAGTGTGGAAAGTGGTCAGTGTGTCCTCCAGCAGTCTAAGCCTATAGCAGCATAACTACAGAGATAACTCTGGATAGCCTAGCCTTTTAGATGGAGGCATGTTGGAGGCAGGGCAAGGGAGAGCCGTCTTTACCGACTGTACACTCCACCTCCCTATTTGTCGCTGAGCTCTCGTGATTCAGAAAAGTCTTGACATTGACTCTCGTTTGACTCCTATTCTGGTTGGACATTCCGTTTTTAGTTTCATTAGATAAATGTTCTCTTCTGTGGCTCCACCAGGATAAACACGTTACAGTAAATGCTAACCAGGTACAGCTCTGTTATAGTCTGTTCTGAGGTGTAAACATGGGTTGCCTAAAGTGTTTCTGCTTCACATAAGATACATGACTTTGGGGAGCGATCTGGATACTCTTAAGTTGCAAGTGTGGCATTCTGGCTAGTGGGGGCTGGGTGACCTTTCATTAACCTTGTAAAGGGTCATTTAGATTCAAAATGTGTGTGTGTGTGTGTGTGTGTGTGTGTGTGTGTGTGTGTGTGTGCGTGCGTGCGTGCGTGTGTGTGTGTGTTTAAGAACAGAAATTTGCAGGATTTTGATGCTCATTCGCAAAGGACTAAAAGTTTTTTTTAATACTGAACATGTTTACCTGATTAAAAATCTAATTACTTTTGTTTTGTTTTTGTTTTTTTGTTTGTTTTGTTTTTGTCGTATCTAAAGAGATGAAAGGTCTCCGTCTGAGACTGCAGAACCTTTCAATTAGGTCAGAAGTCTTAATCTGTTCCAACTAGTTCACTTATGAACCATCAAAGAGCTGAAATATCAACAGTTATAGTTGAAAACATGCAAGATTGGGATTAAAATGTTGGTGTTTATCAGATAAATGAATCAGTCATGCGTTTGTTTGTTTGTTTTCCTCTGGTTCTCATTTAGACCTCATTTCTGGACCTGATCCCATCGTCTTTCTTTATCAGCAGCTTCAAACACTCAAATACCAGAAACGGCTTCATGTGGTTTCTGGAGGAACAGAAAATGTGTTCCTGCTGCAGTTTCAGCTCCGTTATTTGTGAGCCGATTACCCGACGTGATTTACGAATTCCTCACAGGAACTCGGCAGCACTGTTGTGGTCCCTCTGAAGTCATTTGTCCCTCCCTCAGTCACACACACACACACACACACACGCACACACGCACGCACACACACACACACACACACACACACACACACACACACACACACACACACACGCACACACGCACGCACACATCTGTGATGCCACAGATATGTGATGATTAAGCTTGTTTCTTTATTTTACTCCAGAATAAGAGATTAAATTATTACTAAAGCAGTTCAGTGTAGTTAAATTAGTCATTCAAAAGATTCTAACATGCTGCAGTGTGTGTGTGTGTGTGTGCGCACACACACACACACACACGAGCGAATTGTGAACTGGCGTTGTGATTTAGCACTACTTAGATGTAGCCATCCTTACGCTGACAAAAATGTAACTAAGTAACTTTTACTTTGAGTACATTTTGTTACGATACTTTTTACTTTTACTTGAGTAAAAATTTAGGCAAGTACTTTTACTTGTAATTGAGTAAAAAATTATCAAAGTATTGGTACTCGTACTTAAGTAAAATTATCAAAGTATTGGTACTCGTACTTAAGTAGGAAATTTTAGTACTCTTTCCACCTCTGTTTGTAGGTCATGTTTGACTGCGAAGCAAAATTAAACAGATCCTTTTTTCAAAGTGAATACTGTTTGAATACCAAACATGATATTTATATATCTGAGAGCTTTATCCTCGCCCTTCAGTCATCTCGGTCCTCCTCTTGGAGTCTGACATCACATTAACTGCAGAGGTCATCCGTCCTCTCTCTGACAGGAGGGATGCTGGGAGGAGATGTGGCACACCCTCCTAACACTCAGACTGATGAGTGACCTCATTACAGCTCTGTCGGCCATGTTTTTTTATTGAAGCAGCAGCACGATGATGGCTTCCTCTCCTGAGGTCTTTGGTCTTTGAGCAGTACAAAGGTTTGGAGCGTGTCTCTTTTTTTGGCTCGCCGTGGGTTTTTGGGACGGTTGATGAAAGGCTGGTAAAGTAGAAATAGAATACATAAACATTTCATCTGCATGAGCTGTAAATGTTTATCATGACTAGAATTCATGAAGTTTTCAGCTGGTTGATGACGTTCTCAGCTCCCCTCACTGAGAGCATGCAAATGCATCAGCTTCATCTGTGGAGCCTGTGCCAACAGTCTCTGTCTCCCGGGTGAGCTGCAGCTGGGAGTCTGTCTGTGCTAACATTTGTCTGGACTTTATAAAGACCAAGAGGACAGCCACACCGCTGATGTGTAAAGATTCTGCTTACAGGGTGTGAGGTGTGATTTGGGCTCTATTGTTAATGGCAAAGGGGTTACAGAGTTAACACTTTTTTAATGTCCTCCAGATAAACGTCTGAGATGCAAATCGGCTGTGAGTGGTCAATGATCCTACAGCAGGGAGAGAGCATATTCTATAAATACATCTATCCGTCCATCTATCCTTCCATTCTTCCATGCATCCATCCATTCATTCTTCCATGCAACCATCCATCCATCTATCCATTCTTCCATGCATCCATCCATCTGTCATTCCATGCATCCATCCAACCAACCATCCATCTGTCATTCCATGCATCCATCCATCCATCCATCCAACCATCCATCCATGCATCCATCCATCCATCCATCCATCCATCCATCCATCTGTTCTTCCATACATCCATGCATCCATCCATCCATCCATGCATCCATCCATCCTTCCATCTGTTCTTCCATTCTTCCATCCATCCATCTGTTCTTCCATGCATCCATCTGTCCTTCCATGCATCCATCTATCTATCCATTCATCCATCCTTCCATGCATCCATCCAACCAACCAACCAACCATCCATCCATGCATCCATCCATCCATCCAACCAACCAACCAACCATCCATCCATCTGTCATTCCATGCATCCATCCAACCAACCATCCATCCATGCATCCATCCATCCAACCAACCAACCAACCATCCATCCATCCATCCATCCATCCATCTGTTCTTCCATGCATCCATCCATCCATCCATTCTTCCATGCATCCATCCATCCTTCCATCTGTTCTTCCATGCATCCATCTATCCATCCATCCATCCATCCATCTGTTCTTCCATGCATCCAACCAACCAACCAACCAACCAACCAACCAACCATCCATCCATCCATCCATCCATCCATCCATCCATCCATCCATTCTTACATGCATCCATCCATCCTTCCATCTGTTCTTCCATGCATCCATCTATCCATCCATCCATCCATCCATCCATCTGTTCTTCCATGCATCCAACCAACCAACCAACCAACCAACCAACCATCCATCCATCCATCCATCCATCCATCCATCCACCCTTCCGTGCATCCATCCACCCATCCACCCTTCCATCCACCCTTCGATACATCCATCCATCCATCCACCCTTACATTCATCCATCCACCCTTCCATGCATCCATCTATCCATTCCTTCATTTTCTGAAACAGGTGCCGAGTCCTAATCCTGGAGGGCCGGTCCAGCAGATTTTGTGGTTTCTCACACACTTGATTCAGTAGGTAAATCACCTGTGCAGCAGCTTATCAGGCTCTGCAGAAGCCTGTCAATCACCTGCTGATTGAAACCAGGTGTGTTGAAGCAGAGTTTTAATTAAATTAATGTTTTGTGAGGAAAAACCTTCAGGCGGCCCATAAAAGCGTTCAGGCAGCTCACTTTGGTGTTATTTAACATTTCAAGCCGAGAGGAATATTTAGAATTGATGTTGGTGAGAAATATTAATTCATGAGGATGTGTATTGGTGAAATGCTGGCGATACGATACGTATCATAATCCAACGGATACAATACAATGTATCACGATATTGTGAAACATTCAGTCAGTCGTTATTAGCTTTTTGATTTTTACTGAATTTATTGTAGGAAAATTCAATAAAAAGTCCAAACTGGCACTTAACATGTTTAACATGAGGAATCTGAACATAATATGGGCCATTCCCATCTGTACCGGGTCGGCCCGGGCCGGGTAGCGTAGGTTGTTTACATATCTGGGTGGCCTGGTATTTTTCCGGGCCAACCAAGGCTCATTCTCAGCCCTCTTCTCGAGGGGGTCTGCTTCAGGCCGACCAGGGCCAACACACCCACTGCTGGCAGCAAATTCACACCTTCCATTAGAGCAAGCCTCTGATTGGTGGGTAGAATCAGCCCACATGGGCTTACGACAAAGATGTGTGGAATCAACCGGGCCAGGCTGGGGCCGTCTGGGGCTACCCGGCCCGGGCCGACCCGGTACAGATGGGAATGGCCCAATAGAGGGATTTACATTTCAATGGTGGAAACAAAACCCATTGCTCACTACTGCCAACTAGCAGTTGGTGTTTGAATTGCACCAAAAGAAAAGAAAATACACAGATGTTTGCATGTAAGTTCTTCCAAATATTAGACATTAGCCTGTTTGAGAAGTGTCTGATTATTGGCATGCATCAAGCAGAGAAAACATCTAAGGAGATGCAGAAAAGACTAAAACTGGGTTAAGAAGTGCCCAACGCTTTATTAAAAACTGGTCTGATGAGTCCAGATGGACACTGTTCCAGAGTCATGGTGCATCAGGGTAAGAAGAGAGGCAGATGACGTGATGCACCCATCATGCCTAGTGCCCACTGCACAAGGCTGTGGAGGCAGTGTTATGATCTGGGCTTGCTGCAGTTGGTCAGGTCTAGGTTCAGCAACAGAATGTGCTCCAAGAATGAGGTCAGCTGAATACCTGAATATACTGAATGACCAGGTTATTCCATCTTCCCTGATGACACGGGTATATTCCAAGATGACAATGCCAGGATTCATCGGGCTCAAATAGTGAAAGAGTGGTTCAGGAAGCATGAGACATCGTTTTCACACATGGATTGGCCACCACAGAGTCCAGACCTTAACCCCAGTGAGAATCTTTGGGATGTGCTGGAGAAGGCTTTGTGCAGCGGTCAGACTACCATCATTAATGCAAGATCTTGGTGAAACATTAATGCAACGCTGGATGGAAACAAATCTGGTGACATTGTAGAAGATTATCAAAACAACGCCACAGCAAATGCCTGCTGTAATCAAAGCTAAAGGAGGTCCAGCGAAATATTAGAGTGTGACTTTTTTTGGTGGTGACTTTTTTTTTGGCCAGGCTGGTTACAGAAATATATCAATTCCATAAAACTGTTAAAGTAACAGGTTGATTCACTCCTCGAACATCTGATTCATTGCCCTCCAAAGCTTTTGCCACAAACTTGTTCAGGCCTCTCTAAGTGATTTCCAACTCCTACCCAGGAGCTTTACTGCCTCTCTTGTTTTCTTTGCTAAAGAATTTCCAACAAATTACCTCCATATGTATCTTGAGGAGCCCTGCGGGAAGGGAGCCAGGAAGAATGTACTGCTGACAGAATGCAAACGCTGACTTCATCAAACATCTCGGGCTGATGCTCTCCAAAAGCTTACCTGGCTCTGGCAGCACACAAACATCTCATCACTTGAGCCCTTGATCTCTTTCTGCCACATGTTGGATGTATGGGAATTGTCACCAATAAGGCAAGACGTGGTTGAACTTCTAGATAAATAACAACTAATGTCCATCAAATGTAGGTGTTTCTTGTGCGCAAAACAACAGAAGTAAAATTCCTGAGCCCCTTCAGCGGGCTTCACTGATTAATGGGAGGAGCAGAAGGCAAACGGAGACAGGGCAGGAAAATGAAGAAAAAACAGGAGAGAGGAAGCAGGGGTAACATTTTCCACATGAGTGAGTTTAAATCTCTGTTACCATGGTCGGCAGTCCTTCTGCAACACGTGTTTCCATTGGCACTAATCCACGGGCTTTGGACCTTGCTCAGGTTCCTTCTCATGCCTTGGCAGTATGCTCGGTGGCAACCTTTAAGGAGGTGATCACTTCTCTCTGGAGAAAGATCCCTTACAAGACGTCATCGCTGACCTTAACAGAGAAAACCCATTTAAATAAGCATGGCCATAGTTCATGAAATCGTCAACATGTCTGGAGTTACACACTAAAACACCAAGATACAGGAATGTTCTTGAGTCGTTCCAGCTGCACATAAATACATAACATAACACCATGCACGCTCAGTTTAAGCCCACCAGGTACCTGAGCGCCCAGGTTCTTGGTGGAACTGAAGTACACAGATAACAAACCAACAGGCATGTGAAGGACTCCCAGCGCTTCTCCAGAAAGATCCCAGGAATGTTTGAACATAGGCCCAGTCCCAAAACTTGCACTGCACCCTACGGTTTTCGGCTAAGTGCACGTGGAGGAAATGCACAGTAAAGCTTCGAGTGCATCGTACACAAGTGTGCCGAATTGGCACAGAGAGCATTGCGTCATCGACCGCAACGCATGCCGGTTGCTGTTTGTGCTACTTTTTATAAAATTTTTGTTAACTCTCAAACGTACAATTTCTTGACAAAATTTCAACAAAATCTTGACAAAATCAATTGCAAATGGTTGGGACTGTGTTTGGACTCATGCACCTGAAGTGGCCGAGTTTACGAGTCTTTTAGTTCCAAAATCTGTGTTAAGTCAACAATGGATAGAAAACAACACAATTGTTGTTGTTGTTGTTTATGTTCTTAGCAGACGCTTTTACCCAAAGTGACTTACAATTTTTTTTTTTTACCTATAGGGCATGTTGTGATCTGTGGGGGAAACCGGAGTACCCGGAGAAAACCCACGCATGCATGGGGAGAACACGCAACTCCACGCAGAAAGGCGAGTTTTGAACTTACGACCTTCGTGCTGCGAGGCAACAGTGTTAACCACTGCGCCACCATGCAGCCCATTATGAAATATAATACAATTCTCCCTGCAGGCCAGGAAATAGAAACACCAAAAGTTTTAATTTGATTTTTCTCCCTTTAGCTTTGACCAAAATTCACCTGAACTTAAGCAGAAATGGAAAAAAGACAATTAAACTTTTTTCATGGCTACATTTGCATTGAATATACAAAACAGAATGACAATGACAAGTAAGGGCTAATCATATCATTTATGTTAAATGCAATTTGGTACAAAATGTTTCTAAACAAAATCTAAAAATGTAATTGCTTAATTTTTTTTAGCCAACAGCTTTGTCAGCTTGCCTACTACTTTATTTGTGCTGCTTTCAGACCTTTAACCTTCTGTCATCTACAGAAATACTCAGATGACTCTGCAGTTGTCGGGTGTATCAGAGAAGGACAGGAAGCCGAGTACAGAGAGCTGGTGGAGCGCTTTGTGGCATGGTGTGGAAACAATCATCTGACCTTGAACATGAACAAAACAAAGGAGATGATTTTAGACTTCAGAGGAAACAGGGTGGAGTCAAACACTGTTTCCATCATGGGAGAAGAAGTGGAGGTGGTTGAGGAATACAAATACCTCTGAGTTCACCTGGACAACAGACTGGACTGGAGAAAGAACAGCGAAGCCGTTTACAAGAAGGGGCACAGCAGACTGCACTTCTTGAGGACACTTAGGTCCTTCAATGTCTGTAGCAAGATGCTGCAGATCTTCTACAAGTCTGTTGTTGAGACTGTAATCTCTTCAGCCATCGTCTGTTGGGGTAGCAGCATCAGAAGCAGGGACCTGAAAAGGCTCAACAGCCTAATAAAAAAGGCTGGTTCTGTTCTGGGGACGACTGTGGAACCGAGGAGATAATGCAAAGAAGGATTCTCCAGAGAATCAAGAAAATGATGGACAACCCTGAGCATTCTCTTCACAAGACTGTCCGACAACGGAAGACAACACTGACCGCTACTGGAGATCCTTCCTGCCAACAGCCATTGTAATATACAACAACTCTTTGATGACTTGATTATTATTATTATTATTCTGAGCTACTACAGCAATCAGTTTCCCTCTGGGATTAATAAAGTATTTTTGAATTGAATTGAATTAACATTTTTAAACGTACAGGTCTGTCACAAGTTGGTTTAGGAGGAAGTTTAGGACCCAAGATGCAGATACCAGATGAATGAGGCAGAGGTGGAAGATGAAATAAAAATCCTTTATTTAGGAGTAATCCAAGAAGGCAGGGAGCCAAAAACCAAAAATCCAAATGACAACAACTAGAGATCCAAAAACACTAGAGAACTAGAGACACTAGAAGCTAGAGAGCAAACGAGACGAGACTGACATGAACAATGAACCGATAAAACACTGTAACACAGACAGGGTTTTATACACTGGGGAGGATGAGAGGGAGATGAGCTGCAGGTGTGTGTGGAGAGAGATCAGGTGAACTCAATTACTAATCAGGGAGAGGGTAGTGAGTTGAAGAGGATGAAAAATAGCATGACCTAAGATTGAAGACAAAACCTAGAAACAAGAAGAGCAAAATAACTAACTAATAATCTGAGGAAGGAGAACTAAAGAGCGGGTGGGGGGAAAGAAACACACTAAAAGAGACCAATAGATGAACAGCTGAAACTAAAGGAAAACACTACAGAAAGAAAAACTACAGGGGCGTGACTAAGGGGGACCACGGGAGCACAGGACCTGGAGGGGGATACCTGGGGGAGGGGAGCCTAGAGGGGCTGCAGATCTGGTGACACATGAGGAACACAAGGAGAGAAGAGGTGACCGGACCCTGAGGAAGATTGTGGAGAAGGACCAATTCCAGACCTTGGGGGACCTGCGGAAGCAGTGGACTGAGTCTGGAGTAGAAACTTCCAGAGTCACCGTGTACAGCCGTGTGCAGAAAATGGGCTACAGGTGCCGCATTCCCCAGGTCAAGCCACTTTTGAACCAGAAACAGCGGCAGAAGCGCCTGACCCGGGCTACAGAGAAGCAGCACTGGACTGCTGCTCAGTGGTCCAAAGTACTTTTTTCAGATGAAAGCAAATTTGTATATCATTCAGAAATCAAGGTGCCAGAGTCTGGAGGAAGACTGGGCAGAGGAGAATGCCAAAATGCCTGAAGTCCAGTGTCAGGTACCCACAGTCAGTGATGGTCTGGGGTGCCATGTCAGCTGCTGGTGTTGGTCCACTGTGTTTTATCAAGGGCAGGGTCAATGCAGCTAGCTATCAGGAGATTTTGGAGCACTTCATGCTTCCATCTGCTGAAAAGCTTTATGGAGATGAAGATTTCATTTTACAGCACGACCTGGCACCTGCTCACAGTGCTAAAACCACTGCTAAATGGTTTACTGACCATGGTATTACTGTGCTCAATTGGCCTGCCAACTCTCCTGACCTGAACCCCGTAGAGAATCTGTGGGATATTGTGAAGAAAAGTTGAGAGACGCAACACTCTGGATGAGCTTAAGGCCGCTATCGAAGCATCCTGGGCCTCCATAACACCTCAGCAGTGCCACAGGCTGATTGCCTCCATGCAACGCCGCATTGAAGCAGTCATTTCTGCAAAAGGATTCCTGACCAAGTACTGAGTGCATAACTGAACATAATGATTTGAAGGTTGACTTTTTTGTATTAAAAACACTTTTATTGGTCGGATGAAATATGCTAATTTTTTGAGACAGGAATTTTGGGTTTTCATGAGCTGTATATCAAAATCATCAATATTAGAAACAATAAAAGGCTTGAACTACTTCAGTTGTGTGTAATGGATCTAATATATATGAAAGTCTAATGTTTATTGTACATTACAGAAAATAATGAACTTTATCACAATATGCTAATTTTTTGAGAAGGACCAGTATTTCAGATGTTAACGCTGATGTTTGGGACATCCTTTGCAAAAGACTAGATTTTTGTATATAAGAAAAAGTGTTGATTTTTCTCATCGACATATAAATATATGGACAATGGGTTTCCATAGACTCCAATAACACGTTTTTAAAGAAAAATGGGAGGTGGCCACCACCGCCATTTCGACCGTGTCACAGGATCCGTCAAGCCCAGACAATTCCACAAAAGGGAAGAGAGGTGGAGCTGAGGGTGGGGCTGTAAGGCTGGGATCAACTGACAACACCCGGTCGAACTAGCTACAAGCTAACCTGAAGCTAACCTGAAGCTAACCCAAAGCTAACGTGGAGGTGGGAGCTAAGCTAACGGAGGTGGCAACCTAGCTACAACCGGAGTTAACTGTGCACAACACCAGAGCTTCTGAGTCAGAGATATGCCGGGCTGACTGCTGGGTAAAACCAGGTGGAACACAGAGGTCTCCGAGACCTCCACAAGCTGGCAGCCGCACAGCAGACAAGTGCCGCTGCGATCTGAGATGCGCAGAGCTGCTGCTGGGGAGAACCGGGTGGAAAGGTTTCCATCCCAGAGCTCCACAAGCCGGCAGCCCGTGCAGCAGTCGGGCCGTGGCGATCAGAGATGCGCCGAGCTGCGGGGAGGGGAGAACCGGGTGGAAAACATCGGTCTCCCGAGAGCTCCACAAGCTGATAGTGGGAACCCAGCTCCACCAACATGTTATATTTCAACCCATTTTCTAAAGTGCAGCATTATGTTAAATGCACTGGGTTTTACCCTATTACATTTAAATTTCATGGTTAAACAGTACATGTTAAAATCTAAGCTCAGCTCGGCAGTGACCTAAAATACATAAATATAATTTTACTTACCGAAAAAAATGAAGTAGAGACTCCTTGGACGCTCTATTAGTGCAATTAATGCCACAGCAAGTCATTTTGTCCAACAATTGCACAAAAAATATCCAAAAAAAATGAATAAATGCACAAACGCTACAACTAATGGTCTAAGTTGAGGACTGAAAATGACGGAACAGTTTTCAGGCGAGACCGAGGCTCAGACTGAGGCCTTTACCCGGAGCTAGCTCTGTGGTCACGTGGGTCTGATGCTCATTAATTATACAGAATTTTAGGCTTTTAATACACTTAAACAGAAGAGTGAGAAAAAAATTCACCCCCCCTCAGAGTTGTCATGAGTGTAAACTAGATCATTTAAACCAGAAACATGTTTTTGTACCAGGCTGTAAACATGTTTATTTCTGCTGTGAAATTGGTATTTTTAACATGGGAGTCAATGAGGATTTGCTCGCTTCTGACACCAGCCCCTAGTGGATGAGGGTGGAACTGCAATTTATTTCATTTCCGGGTTTGCTTCAATTTTTCACCCGCATTGTGGAGGCTTGGTTTATCTCTAATTAGAAATAGAAAACAAACGTTAAGACCTGCTATTAAAAATGTTTGGTTACTTGGTTTTGCACAACTGATACCCATTTATTGTAATCTAGGAATGTGCTATAATGAGTTTTCACCCAGAAGGATTATTTTTACAGTGTTTGCAAAAACACCTTAGACATTACTGGCGTGGTCTGATATTGTCAAAGGAACAACAAAACTGTCAGATATGCTGTCTGGTCTGCTTCTTTTCTAAATTTGCCACAATCTGTCAATAACAAAAACCTTTTGAAAGCCATATCTGCGGGTTCTCTGAAAGCTTCCAGGGAGTTCATGACAGACTTTTCTTTTAATAGATCCGATCATCTAATCTTGCAGTTGACACAACTCTTTCTTATTAATCTGCACACTGGAATCTTTAACGGTGCTGTAGTACAACGTGAGGTAAGATTATCTCTTATTTATGTAACGTTAGAAAATGATAACTAGAAAAGTCCTGATGAAATTTTAAAAAGGGACCTGCTACCTGGCACAAGACAGAGCTAATGCAAATGCAAAACGTACAGCGCACTCAAAGTTTGAAAAGCCCTGACGTCGTTAGGTCCGTTTTAGGGGGGCTGAAGCCCCCCTAAAATATTCACAAGCCCCCCTATCATTTTGAGTTTTTTTAGGGCTGGACTTTAACGCATTATGATTAATTAGAAAAAAACGACACGTTAAAAAAATTTCACGCATTTAATCGCAGCTTGCATTTCGAGAAAGGCGGAACCGTTGTCATTGCACAACTTCCCTGTAGACAGAATATCACTGACGCACACAACAATGCACAGTGCTAATGGCTACTAACGGAATAAAAACGGAAAGAAGTTGCCTTGCTTGGACTGATGCAGGATTTTGGAAACACGTCCACCTCTTTTCTTAACTTGAAAAAAACAAACTTCCAGACAACAACGGAGTCCGTGTCGCGGACATTTTTCAGAGATCGTCTCTGCTGCGGCTGCCCGGTGGCAACGGGAACTTTACAAAAATTGCGGTCAGCTATATTTTTAACATTTACGTAACATCTGTGCAGCGCTGAAAGCACCAGACAGAATAATTCTGTGTCCTAACAGTAGTTTATGAATGTAGTCAGACAAACGAGAGGCTGCCGCTGGGAGAACGCTCCGTGTCCTCACTACTCTGTAAACAATCACAAACAACGTGTCTTAAAGTTGAAAACAGAAGTTTAAGTTAAAACAGAAACACTCTGAAACTTTTCTGATGATTTTCTAAACAATTCTGTCGGGGAATTCTATGTTTCTGAGACGAGTCTCTTGTCTAACATCGCATGCATTACTATCATTAAGCAGCGAGGTGTGCTGAAGCTGTCATCAGCTAAGGGGCGGATGCTTAAGTGCATCAGGGGCAGCGAGGAACGAGAAAGTTGTGTTCAGGCTGGAGATCACACCAGATTCGCTGCTGCAGGCGTGAATCTGCGGGGCTGCAGCATCCCCTTCTTAACGTGACAGCAGGACTTCCCATGTAAGGAAGGTCCGCTCACCTGTTCGTCACATCATTATTTCCTCGCCATGATCTTTTATCATCCCATCATCCTCCAGTCATCCAACTGGAACCAGTTAGTGTTCCTGATCATTCTCAGAATATGCCACGCCTGCTCTGGTGTTAAAAGTTAGTACATTTAAGTCCTAGATCATATCTGTGCCTGTTCTACTGTCATTTTGAAGGATTATTATTTATTTGTTTTTACTACATTATGAGTAGAAATGCTAATAAAAACTCCCAATTATACAAACAAGTGAAACTGGAAAAATTAGAATCTGGTGCAAAGTAAAATTTATTTCAGTCATTCAACTAGACAGAGAGACTATTCAAAGGCTCAGGAACCCTTTGCAGGTGTTTTCTATTTGTAATTATAAATTTTAGTTGATTTGGGTCTTGTTTCATATCACACAGTGACATTTGATTAATTAAAATGCATTTTTTTTATTAAAAGCTTTAGTTTTACAGTAATAACTATGTCTAATGTTTAATTCTCTGTCTCATAATTTTAATTAAGTTTTGCTTCGAGAGGACATTTTCCTGAACGATTAAAATGTGATTAATTTAGATTAATTAATTCCAAAGCCTCTAATTAATTAGATTAAAAATTTTAATCAAGTCCCTGTCCTAATTTTATATATACTGTTATTTTGTCTTGTAATTGTTAATTACATACTCCTTTATTCCATATCATATCAGTGTTATTTACATATTAAAACTGTCAACTGCACACTCATTTGGCAGAATAAAAGTTTGACAATTATTAATTTGTTCTTTGTCATATTTCAGTAACATTTATAATTAAGCAAGTTGTAATTAAACAAATGACTGCAACATTTCCCCATGTTAAGTGCAGTAGACTGAAATGAATAGCTTTATTTGGAAATATAACATATCTAATTTTTAATGGACTTATATAAAATCTTTCTTCAACATAGACCCCACTAATTAAATGATTAAGTGTTATTTTTTTTATAAAAAGAAGAGAGAAAATGCACAAAGGTAGGAAAGGAAAAGAAAGTGATAAAATAATAGGTTTTGTTAAATGTTCTTCAGATAATGAATTAATTGACAAAGTTTTTGCAGGATGTGAAAAAAATGTTCAAGGTCAAGCTCCTGGGCCTATGCCCCCCCTATATCTCAATCCTAGTGACGTCCATGTTGAAAAGGTAGCTAAATCTGCCCGAAATTGAGAAATTCTTTGATGTTTCTTGCAAATATTTTTTCCATGGTAAATCTAATTGTTTAGGAAAGACATAGCACACCTCCCACTGCCAAGCCGCTCGTTTTGATGTATAATATGTGGGGGTGCACGCTGTCGTTTGAGACGTAATGTAGCTGAAAAAGAAAATTAAAGGAGGTTAACACTGAAAACTCCCCAGGTGCAAAACAATAAGCACCCTGCTTGCAGCAGCAGGTGCCTTTGTTATGCAAATCGCACACACTGTCTCCATGGAAATGGAAGCCCAATAAAATAATAGATATTAGAACACAAAGCTTCAAGGGGCTGGGGCTTGTTTGATGACATCATAAAGGAACTCATAGTCTGCACTCTGTCTGAAATGTTTACAGTGATTCACCAGCTGCTATATTAGCTAAACAAAATGGTATGAACAAGAGCAAATCTTACTCTGTTCAAAGTTCTCCACAACAGCCAGGATCTCTGCAACCCAGTAGCATAAGCTAACGGTGACTGATTCACTCTCTGCCTCTCGGACTTCACTTCAACAAAGGACTCTGAAAGACTCAAAGGAGACCAAAACATGCCCAAAACGTTTGGAAAATGACATGCCCACACTTTAATGAGTATATTTCTGCAACCACAAGGCCTATCGGATTACATTCGGTCTCATTCTAAGGAGTTCTGGCTTTTAATCAAAGTGTTTGAACCATTCTTAGTCTGACCCCTCACCTGAGGCAAAGTTGCCCTGGACCCCTTCTGGAGCTAACACCCTGGCAAACCAGCCTTAGGAATCATGGGGTACGCAAACCCATCGTTAAAGTGGTGATTCAACGGATGAGATGTTTATTTTATTTATTTATTTATTGCAACACCGGTACACACACACACACACACACAGGACCGCCACTGACTTCTGTTCAATTTAGTGACTGGATTGTGTCTAACCCTAACCCCAGCTCTAACCATAACCAGTCTACTAATAACCCTAACCCTAACTAAGAGTTAATTCACCCCATGTCTCTTAAACTAACGAGCAGAGCTCTGTAACACATGGCCACCATCTTGCTTGCCACTTACAAAATTCCTTCAGGAATTTTCTACTTGTAGTTCGTTTTCCCAACATCCTAATGATTATAACGACAAAACAATAGATTCCCTAAAAATATACGTAATTTCTTTTACCCGTGCACGGTGTATGATGAAATATGCTAGCTAAGATGTAACCACCTTCCCTGCGTTTAACATCAACTATGTAAGGCTTTCATAATCCTACCATCATTAGTTTTACGAACGCGACTGTAAACAGGAAGAGAGACTGAAACAAATGAAGGCAGTTTACCGGTTTTGTAGAGATAATAATAATTGTCGCGTCATAGATCCACGCTGGATGTCCGTGGCCTACGCCCAGCTACTCCAAGTCAGCTCATCAAAGCGACTGTGTAGTTTATACTGTTAATTTCTGGAAATATCCATCAAATTCTTGCTGATAGTAAATGAAATGATGCCCAGTTGTTGAAAAGTGTTGAACTGGTTAACAAACCGTTGAATGCACCTTCTAATGTGCTGGAAGTCTGTCTGACGGCTTCTTATTAAAGCGAATAATGAATAGAGTCACAGTCACCATCTGTGTTTGAAGATGTTAACTGAGAGGACTCAGTAGGCACAGGTTGACTCCGCTTGACTGCATTTTCGCCATCTTCAGTAAATGTAGGTAGGTCGCTGTTCTCTGGCTCTTGAAAAGTCACCTTGCATATCTGGGGATCTTCGGTCCCTGTTTTCAAATTCTCCATCTGTATTTTCACTTTAGTATGAGCCAGAACTTCTTTTATGAGTAAATCCTCAACATATCGAGCATGTTTCCTAAAGTTACGAAGTTCCATCTTATATTCACCCTGGAGTTTTTTCTGTGACTGAGTTAGTTTCTGTGTACTGGGAGGTCCCCATGGACGCCTGAAAATCATCTCCAGCGTTAGCTCATTTCCTTTCTGGCAAGGGTTTCTTTCAGCTTTCAGTTCCTCAGTCACTTCTTGAGTCGCTTTCTCTGAGCTTTCAGAATGAGCTTTGTTTTTATCCGCTTCGGGTTTAAAAACCATTTTCTTGGCCGCAGCCAGTCCAGACCTGAGAGACCTGAAAGTCCCCAACCAAGATTTAGGTTCTTTGCAAGCCTGGATGTCGTTTTTGTTTTTCAGATCTTCAGATTTGGCGCTTGCACCAGCAACGCCGGTCTTGTGATTCATTTCATCACATAAAGTCTTAACTTTGTCAACAGCGACCAATAATTCTTTCTCTGCGTTTTTAAAAGTCCTAATGTGCTCGTGTTCCACTGGCTTTTGTAGTTTAGTCTGTTCTGTCTTATAAAACGTCATCAGCATAAACGTGTCACCATGAGCCTTAACTTCTTCATCCAGTTCGACCTGAAGTTTTTCAGCCTGCTTCTCAGCACGCTCACATCTTTTTTTAAGTTCCTCGTTTAAAAACTGCATATGCTCTAAAGATTTCAGTAAGTCTGACTTTTCGTCAGCAAAAGCTCTTTGTTCAGCAGCTATCAATTCACAGAGGCCGGCTTTCTCAGCTTTGAGGCATTTGATAAGGTTCAGGTCATTAATGTTTGCTTTTCCACGAACCTCAGGATTTTTACCAGGGTCCGGCACAAGGACCAAACACTGCCTTGTAGGTTCTACTGTTTCGCTTTTTAAAGCATCCTGTTGATTCGATTCACGGAAACGGTCTCTCACTGATTTCAAAGCCTTCATCAGTTGCTGGTACTTTACCTTGCTTGATAAATACTCCTTTATTCTCATTTCAGGTATTTGTCCTAATAGTCGAGCACTTTTTATCATAAAATGAATATTTGTAATTCTTTGTCTGGTTTTCTGGAAGAAAGTTACCATCTTGCTGCTTGTTTGAAGTTTAAGAATCTCACTAAGAGTTAAATCAGTAAAACTGTTTCTATCCGTTCTCTTAAACTATAAAGGAGAGACCGTATGTCTAGCTGTACTCACCGCAACGTTCAGGTCAGTAATGACTTTGTCTATGTGACGTCACAGACGTATAGGGCCAACGCTGTCCATACGTAAGTTACGCTGAATGCGTAGGGTACGCAGAATGCGTAGGGCGTCGGTACCTGCGTGGGGGTGGGGGTGGGGGGGTAGTAGTAGCAGCATAAAGCTCAGAAAACATACAAATTAGTTTCCCACCGTTTGAGCCGTTGAGCGTTTTCTTAAATATGAGGACTGTCAGTCAAAATTCGGCCTAAATAGCTAATCTTATTATTTACAAACATTAACACCCCCCGGCAGAGTAATGGTACAGCCCAAAGTTTTGTTTTTAGCTTCATGTTATATGTCGATGGTTGGCTTCACCGGTTATTTGATACCTCGCGGCGCTGCTGAAGGTCCGACGATGAAGAGACAACACGAATCTGGAGCAGAGGAAAGAAAAAATAGAAACAGAGATGACGCCCGTACGTCCCTGCTGGTGAGCTCGTCTTTAGCTACCTGGGCAGCCCGGAAGGTGACAGTTAGAGTCTGAGCTTCTGTGCTGAGGCTCGTAAACATCCCGGTGCTACTGAGCAGAGACTAGCTCTAGTAACGGCAGGTTACTTACATGCACGTCTTAGTTGAGCTTTGGAGACATGTCAGTCAGAAAATCTAATTACTGGATGAAGTGAGTCATAAATTCAATGTTCTAACAATAGTGTCTCATCTAATGATGCACTGGAGGTTTTACATGTATTAAAGGCATCTTTGAGAAAACAGAGACTCATTTATGTATCTTGAGACAGAGCCAAGTGTCCTCTTTTTTATTATCCAAACTATGCTCACCCTAATTCAATTATCTTCCCTTTTGGTCATGTACAAAATGCCACCATTGCTTTGTTTCATGTGTATAAATGGAGGATAGGTTTTGTCCTTGTTCCATAATATTAATATAACATAGTTGAATATCCTTTTACAGTGTGATTAAATTAAGGGCTTTACAGATAAACTGCAGACTGATGATGATTCATATTTGTAGTCACCTTTTTATCCCACTGTAAAACAAAATAAAAATAAAATCATGAGATTTGAAGTGTTGCTGCCTTTCACAGACACTTTTTCTGCAAGTGCTGCAAACAGGATATCCGTCTTCTATCAACTGGCCCTCGTCATTCTTCAAATATCCAAAAGATGCCCGTACTTCCCACTTTGTCTTCTTTGAGGGATAATAAATGTCCTGAGCGCTGCCGTCTCCTCCTTTGGCCATTATTTCAGCTTTAGCTTCAAGAAAGTTTTGGTTGTAAACAACAAAGTGCGCATGTGCCGCCGGCAAGTTCAGCAGATGATACGGTGGCTGGTAAGGGTCACCGCACCCACACCGCAGCCACGGTAATCCACCGAGATAATATATGTTTTTAAAAAACAAGACGGTTATTATTATTGTCAACTTTTTTGCCGGGGTTTACCACTTCACCAGTTACCGTGACAACTAGGGCTGAAACGATTCCTTGAGTACCTCGAATAATTCGAGTACAAAAAATCCTCGAGTCAAATTCTCTGCCTCGAGGCTTCGTTTAATTCATGTTTAATTAATTCATGGCTTTGCGATCGCCCGTGGTCATGTTTCACCCGGACCGAAATAAGTGACACACATACACACTGCACTGAATGCACACGCGAGTAGCGAATGCAACTTAACTTTCTCTTAAGCCATGGCGGACAACGTGGACCCCGGTGGAGTGAGAAAAAGACAGAAAATGTCAGAGGTGTGGGACCATTTTTCACGTCGTAAGGCGGAAAACGTAGTCCAGTATAAATACTGTAAAATGGATGTAGCCTCCCACAACTCCACATCCTCCATGCTGCAGCACCTGACCAGGAAACATGCACATGTAAATGTCACTTCTGCAAGAGGACTCGGAGCGTCTACAAGATAATGCATTTTAGCCTGTATTTCTATATATTCTGCAGACACTGTGTGACTTTTTCATTTGTAGCTCTCAGTTTCAGCTCACACCGTACATCTGGTAGCAACACGTTGGTCTTAAAATGTGCTAAAAATAGCAGTTTTTACACAACACGTCAGACTTTTTATTGTGTTATTGATGTCTGTTGTCCCTCAGGATTGCTGCAGGAGGACACGGGTGTTTATGAGTGGCAGAGGAAAATGAAAGAAAGTAAATAAATGTTGTGTGATCTGTATAATTTGACATAACCACGGCAAACCTGCTTTCTCGACAATCCTTTTTATTGTGTGAGAAAAAAGTGTAGAAATTAAAACGGACGTGTGTTAATAGGGAAACAGCTGGCGAGCCATGTCTGCGCATGCGCCGTGAGCGGTTCTGGTGCTGTTTGGGCCGCAGCCGCTCGCATTTGTTTACTGTGAAGTAAAGTCTAAGTGCGGAAGTTTTGAAAACTAATTTTGAATAAAATTTGAAGAATAACTGGCAATTGCTTTCTCATTTCAAGAAGTCTTTCATATTTTATAACATGCTATTTGATGTAATGGTTTAAAAACACAAAAGAGTAATTTATTAGAGTACTCGATTAATCGATTAAAGATTCGATAGAGTACTCGATTACAAAAATATTCGATAGCTGCAGCCCTAGTGACAACCCTACTCCCTACACACAAAACTCTGCAGCCGGGAGCTCAGTTAGCTCGGTGCAGGCATCCACACGCACACACACACACACACACACACACACAGACAGTAACGGATCTCTCTGTGCTTGCTTCACTGTTGCTCACGTTTCTTCAGAACTCCCTAGGTTTTCTTCAGCTCGCCTCTTTTTCAGTTCAATATTTAAAGTTACTTTTTTCGTAACGTACGTGGTGCATTTGACAAGCCGGAGCTGAAAACGGCTCGTGCTGCGTCAGTCACTGCCTCCGCTCCGGTCGGGTTTTAAAAATTATTTTAACTCTCTCTCTCTCTCTCTCTCTCTCTCTCTCTCTCTCTCTCTCTCTCTCTCTCTCTCTCTCTCTCTCTCTCTCTCTCTCTCTCTCTCTCTCTCTCTCTCTCTCTCTCTCTCACTCACACCTCAATCAACATTGTTTTGTTTAACTGTGTGTGGGGAAAAATGCCAACAACGTTAGGAAAAAATCAGTTTAATCAAATTAAAATAAAACGGTTCTAGTATTTCATATTTCCTTGTTCCTGCTGCATGAGTTCAGATGTATTAATTCATGCACTTAAACATTAATGTTCTGATTTTACTGAAAAACTTGTTCTGTAATAGTTCCTTTACTGTTGTGATCATAATTATTTCACCTCAGTTCTGAGGCTGCTCTGTAAATAGTTTTCAAATAAACAATAGTTTATGAATATGTAACCCAGAAGCTAGAACCTTAATGAGGTATTAACTAATTGGCTTACTAATATGATCCATCCTCAATTTAGATAAAATATAAAATATAAATTAAGGAAATTAACAATACTAATTAATAGATATCTAATTAACTAATAGATAATTTCATAATGAATTATTGGAAGGGTGAATAACTAAAATAACGAGTTTAATATTAAACATCGGTTAAAACAAGAATCTTGAACATCACTAACAGAAACAGAAGAGGAAAGCTGTATACTATTGGTCCAGGTGGGAATCTGAAATTTCATTGGCTGAGAGAAATAAGTCCCGCCTCCGCGAAATAAAACCGTGCGACGCAGCTGAGCGAGAGGAGAGACAAACGGCTGTGCAGCACGCAGATACAGAAAGCAAAGACTGAGCGGTTAGAGAGAGAGAGAGAGAGAAAAAAAAACAACGGTCGAGGCCGTGAAGAACCCTGATTTGGGTGCCGCATAGATAGAGGGAGAGGCGGACTTGACTCCTTCTAATAAGAGCTAGGAACTTGGAACCAACGCGGTGAGTAAAGAAAAAAGAAGAGAAAAAGCTAACGATGCAACTTAAAAAAAAAAGGAAACTTAAATAGCTTATCAAATTAATTCCATTCTTATAGATTTGTGTGGAGACGACAGAGTGAACCAATCCTCTGTAGGAGGGAACCGTTGGAGCGCGTTGGTGAGTGAATGAGATTAAATTCAGTAAATTATTAAATTCAAAAAGCTAATTACAGCAACCGAGGTGACAGCAGTGGGCTGCTAGACGTTAGATCCCAGGAGTTAACATCTCAAACTACCAGTTAACGGTGGTAGGGCATATAGGAGTTAACGGCTCAAACCGCCAGTTAATGGTGGTACGGCCTAGATGTACAAGGTCCTCAGGGGCGTTATAGCTAACGCCATAGAATTAGCAATGCGTCCCTTAACCAAACATTTAATAATAAAAAAAATAGATAAATAAAAATAAATAAAAGCTAACTGATTAGGGAGGAATTATTTTACAAAGGTGGACCAAAGGACCAGAATTTATATTTTGTTGAATTTTGTTATAGAACATATTTATTTATTTATTTATTTATTTATTTATTTATTGTGTTACAGATATACAAGGTGTCACAATGCTGTATAGAAACACAACTAAATGTATCCTTGTTGTCATGAATGTATTTCTTGTTGAATAGTGTAGAGTAATAGAATCTAACTGAGCCTATTGAGCTGAACAATTGTTGTCATATGTAATTATATTTCCAGAGCTACTGAGAATTATTTTAATAGACAATCAAATTGATGTTATGTTAGTTGAACTGTGAACCCAAACATGATTGGCTATGCCAATAGAGTGAAGCATTTGTTTAAGTCTGTAAGACTTTATGCTGTGATGTGACGAGAAGGGTCGATGCCAACTCGCTAACAGTCCTGTTGTTTACAGGCTGGGTTTTTTTTTTTCCTTGGGTTTGATCCCGACTCCTATGATCACTCACTTGGAACGAGAACTGGATTTCTTCCTGACGAGGGAGATGGCGAGCCTTAACCACTGAACGAACCAGGACATCTCAAGTAACTGAAGAGCAGACTGCTCTCTTCTGTGAACAATCTCAACGGTGTGGTAGGAAAAAATCGCACCACCGGACTCTGACTTTCACCCCAAGCGTGGGGATTTGACTTGACGCCGGC